CTCTTCGACCGATAAATGCTATCGGTGCAATAAATTCTCTGCTCGCTCAAAGTGCAGCTTCGAGCTTCGAATCCCGTGAGCTCGATAGATTACGTAACCGCGTGAAAATCATCCTTGAAATCTTCTAGTATTTCTCGAAAGCGAAATACTCTTAAGAGAATTCGTGAACCGAGAGTCGGAAAGATTCGCGCCAAGGGATCATCGTCTGGTCGAAGATCTTCTCGTTAAAAGCGTCGATCGGTGATAACGGAGATTCTCCAGGTCGCATTTTCAACCGGCGGAAACTCGGTCGAAAGGAAAGATCACCGGAAACCGTTCGGTCGAATCGTCGTGACACTGACACTGACACTACGCCGGCAAAAGGAAAGAAAAATTGGCAAAAAGCGAGCGTTTAGAGCAATTGAATCGTAGGCTGAACACCGTCGCACACCAAGCCAATGAGTCACACTGACAATGAGAAGAGAGAAGCACCGTATGGAGCTCAGATGGGAGGACCTAGCTGGTCCAATTTACCGACTCATTAGCCTCGCTCTGACTGTTGTCGACGTCGTCGTCGTCGCCATACCGCTCGCGATTTTCCCCCGCGATATCGGCACTATCTCTCTTCTCACCTCTGTGTCGCGAGGACACTCGTGATCGCCACTTTTTCGAACTCCTAGAGCAACCACGTTTCGTGTTTGCAAACTTTAATCGCGACACTAGCGTCACGATCGCTCTTCATTTTTATTACTCTACGTTTCTAGTACCGTCGACATCAATTCTATTTTTTTTGCATTACGATTTCACTTCACGTTTACTGATCACATGGACTTTTAACCCCTTGCGCTGACTCACAGTCACCATTATATTTAATACAATAATTTTAAATAAGCATTTTTTAACCGATTCTGTAACATGACACGTGTGATGTATAAACACAGTGAAACAAACAATAGTGAAATAATAACCTCAAGAAAATTCATTTAACTTTTTAACTAAGTTTAAAAGTTGCTGTTTGTGAACAGTCAAATTATCTTCGAGTGCAGAGGGTTAATCGATAATGGTATCACAAATTATTTTTCTAGATAAGTCAGAGCACTGTTCGATTTAAAAGTATAATATGCTTTACTGTTTAATTGGAGATAAACTCCTGATAAATGTAGAGAAAGTAGAAAATAGTGAGTTGCCGTTGAAAGAACGAAATTGAAAGGCGATTTCGCGAGAGAAGTCGAAAAGTCTTATCGTTGGAATTTCTAGTAGCGACTGTACGGTAGCCGTACACGGCAATTGGCCACTTCCCTCAACGAGGGCTCGTAGGAAGCTGCCTTCAAAGTCACCAGTTATCATTGATCAAAATTACCACGTAATTTGATGAATGGCTGTCTTACCCGATGCCGGCACCGAGTCTCCGATCGATGACTCTCTCCTCTCTACGCGCGATATTTCTCTGAGTTTTTTTTTTAAAGTAACCAAAACGACGAAAATATCTGACGGAACAATAGAATTCTCACGATGGATGAGCACTTACCTTGAGACGAGAAAATGGTAATTTTATCTGGCAAGATTTTCCGTGGATACAAGTGAACGATTAACCGAATACCCAGGCAAATTGTTCGTATTTATCGCTGGAAGAAGCTCGCTTAATTATGAACGTATTCGGTCATAAATTCGTGTGTTTATTCCGACGAGTAAAGAGATAGCAGATAATGGACCGGAAAGCATTGCCGACTCGGTAAATTTGTGTAACGAAGGAGTGCGTCAACAGCAATTGGCAATTATTGAACTTCCAACGAAACAGAGATGTTTATAAAGATCTTAATGCTCTTGGACAAAGAGAAACAACCGATCTGATATTCTGCTGAATGAATTAGGTCAATAGTGCAGGCGAGACGTCCAGATCGCTTTAAAAACCTCGCTGACTCGTTTACTTTTCGTTTTAGGAGCGTGCTTTTTCGCGGATTCTTGAAAATGAGAAACCAACAAACACCGTATTTTTAGAAGCGAACAAAAACTGACCATCGTTTTTTAGCGAGATAATTCCAATATTCCATCGCGAACGAATTATCAAGGCATCGTCAAATCTAATGCAAACTACTTGTTTGTTCAAGGCAACTAAAAAACGTAAACCGCACGTAGCGATTGCATTCAAATTTATGAGTATCGAAATATTCGCAAATTTTTCCCGTTGGAAAGATTTCTATAAAGTGGATCATAATTGTTTCTGTCCACTAAGGCAGTCAAACACTTAAAAAAAATAAGAATCGAGTACGTGTAGTTACAAAAAAGATGAACGTTCAAATGGAAATTTTTATAGACAGAACAGCTGATTTTCAAAGACGATTTCCACGACAATCGTCTGACGTACTCGCTTAATTAAAAGGCGAGCAAGATTTAGGAGTAATTAGACGCGATGAATATTGAACGGAACCGTTTAAGCGTTACAAAGTATAATTTACGCCAACAGTCCAAGAAAGGCTGAGAGCATCGTTTCATTCAACGGTAGACGTAAATTCTTTCTGAGAATGGTTCTAGCTGTTAATTGTCTAACTGCCTTTAAAACAACCGTTTCAAACATCCAGAGAACAACACGGTTCATTACGTTCAACAAAGACTGGTATCTCTTTTGAAGACTCGGAAATTGCCACCGTTAATCGCTGGAGTACTACAATTTTTACCTGACGTTAAATCCTACCAACGAGATAGTTGTCCAGATAAAAAAAAACTCGACAAACACTGCGAACTATTTACATGCGAATCGATTGCTTTACAGATAAATTCACGCGGAGTTAGCGGTAAGAGAATGTTGAACTATCACCACGGATGTCCCATGGGTTCACGACCCCATGCCGGTATATTAGAGCACTGAATTAGTTAATGTCAGTCACATAGCCGAGGAACGAATTACCATTCTCGTGATGCGTCAACAGTGCATACGATTGCATTTTCGACAAGATCGTTTGTCCAATCATTGGCCCTTCCTTCCTGTTTAGCTGGCCCTTGTTCTTTGAATCACGCTTGTTTACCGTCTATGATTCCTCGCGATCTTTGGTCCTGCTATCGAAAAGGCTTGCTCCTATACCAAATACTGTATAGTGAATTTCCTTTCATTTCAATCATCACAGCGAAGTTTCTTCCATGTAAAACACGTGCTTCGTAGACAATTTTGTTCCCATCGAAACCTCGACTAATTTTTCACCTTGGGATTCGAGTAAACGAGCAATAACTCTTAGCTAATAAGGTCTAGGACGAAGCCGCGAACGAATGTATACGGGTAGTCAGATCGAATGAGATAAATGTAATTAACGATTCTAGAGACGATCGGAACATGTATGCCGCTCTTACCGAAAAAAATATGTGAGTCATCGAATTTATGACTTCGTCTAACAAATTCTTTCCTCCATCGTTCATTGAAACCGTGTTTTTTCATCGAACGTTCGGTAAAAAAACCCTTCGTGCATTCGCGTTATCGAGAAAAAATAAGATAGCCCGAGCACGCTTTTGAAGCCTGGCCGATAATACAGCAACAAAACAAAGCGTGTCGATAACTTTTGAACCCCTTGTACATCCGTCGTGTTCTTAATATTCAAAACACTGACGTTGTTTAATAAATTATAAAAAATGGGTCGAGATGAGAATCGGTGGCAGGGATCTTGATTCTTTCGTGACACGTGCAACATAGAAAGCGCATTTTGTACGTCGATGACATTTCTATTCCGTGATTCTACTTGACACGCGACACGCATAAATGAAGGGATTTGTGCAAACAATGTGGACTGGAATACTAACTCGGGCAATTATCCCTTGTCGAGGAAATAACTAATTCTTTGGCTCAGAAAAAAGTTCCCCTGCTTTTTCGTCAAGGTTACTTGCTACGCATTGCAATGTTGCAAAGTAAAAAGACAATTGAATAGATCACAATAAGTTTCCAAACAAAGTATTGAGCATTGACGTAACACGTTTTTTGTACGCGATAAAGAGATCACCGAGGACTCCGCAAAACTTATCAACGACGAATCAATTACACTTGTAATGTTCTCTTTTACGAACTAACGATAAGAGTAACTGGAAAGAGACGCGAAGTCTGCGAGTCTTCTCGATAACCCTGTTTACCGTCTGAAACATCGAGCTAAAAGAATCGTTGGTTGACTACCCCTGATACGTCGAGGTTTTTGCTTTACGAAAATACTTACTGCGTCGTATGCTCTTTTCTTGCGAACGACGTAAACATACGTCGTCAAAAGTCCACAATTAACGCTCTGCTGATTGCATATTTAACGGATCAACGACCCTTGCGAAAAAAACAGATTACAGAGAAAACTGCACCAATTAAGCATGGAGATTACTTGGGAAATTATTTCGTCACGGTAAATACGACTAACAAATTAAACACGGTTAATCATCCGACTTAATTTCCAATTATAATCGACGACCTTAATCTTTACGTGTAATCGTGCACGTTCCCGCGGAACAATTAAGACCAGGTGGCAGGAGAATTCTAAGATCATGAAAATTATAAAGATCGCACACAGACGAAACGATATCGAGTTTCCGATACAACACGGAATCGATATACGTAATTCCCAGCTAAGGTTTCTTTCGCTTCTAGTTATCGATGGACAGGGTTAAAATCGACGGAGCAAATAATTCTTGGGAACATCCATGTATCTTGTCTCCGTGTATCTGATTATGCAAATCTTTGTTGTTGGTTATCCAACAAAGGTTAGCCCGTCGATAATCGCGAGCGCCGATCGGTAATGAGTGCAATCGAGATCCCACGAGCAAGTCCAAGGACATTGTCGTAGTCATCATCATCATCATCGACCAGCCATTAGACCACAATATCGTTATATCATCGTTCCTATTAAACGACACGCGAGCATCCTTCTGCAAACATTACTCGAAAAAGTGAACCTGTTATTCAGTCGATGCTCTGATTCATGACATCACTGTGGTCAACGATTCAAAGGTTGATGGTAGAGAAGTAAAATGGTCGAAAACTACATTAAAAATGGCGACGTAAGGACTTTTGTATGCTGTATATAATTCGTATAAAATATGTAAATTCTCTTTCGAAATAACAAAAAGTATAATGTGGATTTATAATAAAATGCTTCGATCTCCATGAATTATCACAGAATCCCATGAATTCGATCTCATACTCAGATCGAACCTTGCCGGATAAAATCTTTATACTGTCTCGAAGTAATACATAATCCTGCAGAACACAAACGGTCCACATGAAAATTGTGTAAAAAGAGATCTTTGAAAATGAAACTCCCTGGTCCTACGAGGTCTTTTTTGCCACGAGTTTCATAGGTTCGACTCCTATTGATTCAGCGAGCTCTTCCGACGCTTTCAACTGATTAGGATGATACGCGATGCCACCTTCTCTTTCCACGCGCGCCATGGCTGCTCTTTCTGGGTCTCCAGCGACCATGACAGTCTTATCACCAATAGTAGGTAGTTCTCTCAATTGTTTCATCAACTTGGACAGCCTCTCCTTTGATCCGCAACAGAAAGCTTCCGGATTAATGGCCATGAAACAATGTCCGAGATCAGCGATCTCCTTGCTACCCTTCCACTGTCTAATGTTGGGTCCAAAGTGGCTTCCGGATAAAATACCGGAAAGTACTTCGACCATCGTGGCCAGTCCATATCCTTTGTACCCCGAATTTCTTTCTTCGCCCCCGAGAGGCATCAGAACCGTGGCATCGTAAGCTTTTTCGGGATCCGTGGTGATCTTTCCGTCGTTGTCGAGCGCCCATCCTTCGGGTATCGGTTCCTTCTTCCTGAGCGCGATCTCGATTTTGCCCAGAGCCACGGCTGTGGTGGCCATGTCCAGGTTGAAGTAATCGCCGTCCTCCGCAGGCATTCCCAGACTCAGAGGATTCGTGCCCAACGCTGCTTTTTTACTACGAGTCGGAGCCATCAGGGGACTGGTGTTGGTGCAGCTGAAGCCTATCATATCGACGGTTATCAGAAACTTAGAATAAAAACTGTCGAATCACCGTGAATTTTATTCTAACTACGCGCGATCAGAGGGGAATAAAATTCGAGGTGATTCGAAGTTACAAGTATGCTACCTATCAGGTTTTCTTTGATCGCCATCAAAGTGTAGTAACCACAGATTCCGTAATGATTCGAGTTACGAGCGGACACCATGCCGATTCCGAACTCCTTCGCCTTATCTATGGCGAGTTCCATACAGAATTTACCGATCACCTGGCCCAGACCGTTGTTCCCGCTCACCAGCGCTATCGCCTGGAAGAATAGTCATTGAAGTCGGCGATTCCCGAAGAATCAGATTTACTTGACATTCTAGGTGGAACTCGTAATAATTGAAAGAAACTCGAGCAGCGAAACTGCGGTTATCGTCACGCAATTAAGTAACCGGTGATAAGAGGCTAATCGTTTCGAAAGCAGCGAATTATCGCCTCTGTTTTTCGAGTGGATCAGGCGAGCGAAACTTTTTCTTCAAAACGAAGTTCTTCAGAGATTAATGCGGAAGAAATTAAGCGGAGAATAAGGCATTTATGCTGATATTTCCTTTGTCGTATTCCACCACCATGATCAAGTAAACTGGTAGAAGCTGGATTATTCTTCGCTACTCTTTAATGCATTTCAACCATGCGCTAACTGTGCGACTACGTTTATTACTCTAGATTAAATTAATTAACTCGACCTCTCAGAGCTGACGGTTCTAACAGTCAAGCTAAGACGCCACGTGGATTTTTATTAATTTTCCACAAAACTATTATAGCAGGTACAAAAAATCTAACAATTGTATAAGTTCCCAAGACAAATCTCTAATCTCAAATCTGTAATCCACCAAAGCGATTAAGCGAGATTTGAAATGAAGAGACATTTATGTAATACACTCCCTCTCATAGATTAAGGAGAAACAATGTTTTTAACTACTGCAGATTTCAATTAAAACGAAACTAGTTTTATCTGTGAATCATGATATAACCCAGAAACAATGGACCAGGTGTATAGCTCTAATTAACGATGATGTGATAAGTCGCACAGGTGGCACACGGTCTCGCTGATTTCGATTTAATCGTACCTGAAAGTCAGTAACGATCTCTGGCTTTGCGATGGGATCAGTGATCTTGTTCTGAATATCCTTTACGTACATTGGCACTCTGTTCAGTCCGTGGCTAAAATGGCCACGGTAGTCGGACGTCATTAGATGATGTCCAACGATCTTTCCAGATTCGGCTGATGCTCCAACTTTGCACAGACATTCGCAGATGAATCTGACCACATCGTCTTTGGGTACTACCATCTCGGTATCGCTTTTCTTAGAAAGCAACCTTCTTGTCGTTACGAAGCTGCATTTCGTCGTATTTTTCAGAAGCCTCAAGGAGCTTCGAGAGGAGTTCAAGAAACGTTCGTACATCTTTGATACTGGCTTTTCTTACGTTATTGTGGTCAGAAAGCTGAATTCTTGTGCCGAATCGTAGAAAATCGAATCCTTAACCTTTCACAGGTTCATTGCCGTTTGAAGTTGATTTTATTTCCAATTATCGTATTCGTGAGGTTCGATTGTATCGATCGAGCGCGTGTTCAGATTTGAACTTGGCGCGTCATTAACTCGTGGAACCTGGGCCGTGTTCTACGCTATTACTTTGTAGCCAGTTATCTATTAACGACAAGCGCTTCGGTCTCTTCCTACCTGAATAATTAACTTTCGATCCGGAGTACTATTCGATTAACTTATGTATCAATGAAGTCACCAAGTGATCTATGGATCACGCTCCTATTTTCGCCACATCGATAGAACGTGTTGCACCAGCTTTGCGACCACTACTAGAGGCACAGACTCCGCAAAAAATATATTGGCTGCACTGACTGACGTCAATCAAGCGGGAGTTTCAAACCGTTCAAAATATCGTGAACGCGTAACTCCAACATATCATTACACATTATTGCATAGTTAAATTTCAAATTGTTCTTATTAAAAATTCCCAGGATTGCCAGTGAGAATCATGCTAAATACGCCCGGCTATAAACGTACAAGTGTAGTTGTAAAATATGTGTAGATTTCATAGTTTTTTGTACATCTTCAGAATCTTATCGCGCAGCCGGTTCAAGGTCTCCGCGTTAACTGGTTTTGATATCGTGTTCGAAAGTGTACTTTCACGAGGAAACAAAGTTACGCATTTCACGAGGAAATTAATCGACGATCGAATCACGTGAAAATTAATACGGGACGAATAAATTTACTGAAATAGGAAATACTCGACACTTTCTTTCCCCGTTACACGTGATTTACGTATATTCGCTTTTCCTGTAATTCACATTTTCTTCTATATTTAAAGACACGAAACTAGCACCGTTTGTCACGTTCTACTATTGTTTTCTAGGTTAGAGGAAAGAAGGACGTTTCTATTTTTGCGTCGATGAACCTTCGTGACGTAATCACAAAATTTAAAAAACCCCGAATAACATTGCTTCGAATGTTTAGTACCTATGTATCAACTTACGTATTTAGTACTTCTCTCAGTGACGCACCGTGTGCGTCTCACTCTACATCCATGACGCATCACGTGCGTCACACTCTACATACATACATGACGCACCATGTACGTCACACTCTACAAACATACATACATGACGCACCACGTACGTCACACTCTACATACATATATGACGCACCATGTGCGTCACACTCTACATATATACTTGCATGACGTACCACGTGCGTCACACTTTATATACATACCTGACGCACCGTCTGCGCCCCACTCTACATACATACATGACGCACCATGTGCGTCACACTCTACCTACGTACATACATACATGACGTACCACGTGCGTCACACACTACATACATACATGACGCACCGTTTGCGTCCCACTCTACATACATACATGACGCACCGTTTGCGTCCCACTCTACATACCTACATGACGCACCACGTGCGTCATACACAGATAGTAATTTTCTTAATAATGTTTAAAAATTTACTCGTCCATAGATGCTTCAATGTAAGAAACTAAATATTAAATAACACGAGAATTATTAAAAAATGAGTACTTTTGATTTAAATTAAAAATAATGAAATACGAGAGTTCTGCGTATTAAAAGCATAATGTAAGCTCAGTAAAACGATGGCTGTCATCCACGTGACAGGGTCGTAAAATGAATAATTTCGCAGATGCACCGATAAAGGACGAGATAAAATGTAACTGGCGGGAGAGGTTGCAAGGCAAACCGGCTGATCCAGCCACAGAAAAAATCAATAATCGACCCTGCGTTTCCGTGTGCATTGCTAACTAGCTGCATCTAGCATTACGCAACGCGATCCACAGTTAAATCATGTGCCCGTGTCGAATATTCGGCCCGTCCCGATATCGTACTACCGTTTGCGTAACAGACGCAAAGATGCGATTTCCGAGGGGCGAAAAGAAGAATCGAGCGATCGCGTGCCCATAGAAAACGAATCCTCGGTGTTGAGTGTCCGTAAAGCTACCGTTTCGCTTCGCTTCCTGAAAAACGAGCTACGAGTCACCTGAATCCTCTACTCGTGTTTTTGGCGGGACTTTTCTTCGGTCAATGAATGGTGTAAAATTTGAAAAATTTTACCGATATACCACAATGTGTTTGAGGGTTGAAACCTTTGGCAAATTTGCACGTGTAAATTCATCGAGAGTATCACCTGCGTGTCGTTATAGTTAATTGTCAATATTTGTGTTCCGATTATACACGCGAGGTCAAGGTATATAAACTCGCGTATGTAACAACAAACTTCTTCTATTTTATCGGCGATAACTGGGTTAACGGAATCGGCTGATAATTCTGTCGATTTTAATTGAAATTGTGACAAGTACCGTTCTGACTATTTCGCAAAATCCGTGCATAAATTGGTATATGAACTGTGGTACGAAAATCGTATCTCGCTGAACAACCATCATTAAAGAAACGTTATCAACCTCGTCTTTGATCGTAGATTTTCAAGGCTGCGTTGTCGCGAGTCAAACTAATCACACCGATAATTGTATCCGTAAACTTTGTGGAGCCCGTAGTTCTCTCAAAAAAATGTTCGTAGCTGTGAAGCGTTAAACAGACCTTGAGTAACTCTTTCTGCAATCGAAAAGCGTTATTCGAAGAAAGAAATGTTTATTATTAGAATATTTATCTCCCAAACACCTGAATTTCTCGGCGAAAGTGAAATACAAAGAGCTTGAAGAATAAAGTGTATTCCATTAACTTCTATCTACGTAATTGATATAATAATCGATTACTTATTTTAACGGAGAAACATCTGGTCGCCTTGAAGCGAACGAAATAAACAGAGAACGAAGTAAATCAATTCTCGTGATCGGAAACGAATAAAACTGACGAATTGACGATAATAAATTAACGATATTTGTCCCGGTAGAATGCAAGTCTATCGATGTTTCATAATTCGTGGTCCGCGTCAGAATGTTTAACGCGATAAAAAAGGTTGATTTACAGCAGATCAAACATGGCTCGAGCGGCAGACATATAAAGGAATTAACGAATCGAGAGGGAGGATTAATGCCCGTACTCGCTATCTCGCCTTTCGATCGTGTTAGAAATAGACTAATCGATTGCGATAACTCGTTTAGACCGTTCGTTAATTGACCGTCAAGCGTGTCAATGAAAATGCCGCTTCCTTGAGCTTAATCCTTTCAACCTACACAGGATACTTAAAAAGTTTCTTTGTTCAAGTTTACCTACTTTTTCAAAGATTGGTATTTTCAAAAAATTTGACGAGCAATTTATAGTGCATATGTAGAAAAGAAAATCGCACAAAATGCAGTAATATTTTCTTCATCACAAGATGAAATACTCAAATATTCAATGTAACAAAAAATATTGGTATTTTCAAAAAAATTGACGAGCAAATTATAGTTCATATGTAGAAAAGAAAATTGCACAAAATGCAGTAATATTTTCTTCATAATAACACACATTCTTCATCACAAGATGAAATCCTCAAATATTCAATGCAACAAAAAAATTTTGGTATTTTCAAAAAATTGGACGAGCAATTTATAGTTCATATGTAGAAAAGAAAATTGCACAAAATGCAGTAATATTTTCTTCATAATACACATTCTTTATCACAAGATGAAATGCTCAAATATTCAATGTAACAAAAAAATTTTGGTATTCTCAAAAAATTGAACGAGCAATAGTTCATGTGTAAAAAAGAAAATTGCACAAAATGCAGTAATTTCTTCATAACAACACATATTCTTCATCATAAATGCTCAATTCAATGCCACAAAAAATGATTAAATTAAAAAAAGAATTATATAATTACATAAATTTTCAAATATCGAAAATGAGAAAAAGATTTATGGTCATTGAAATAATGGTCATCGCGGTTTCTCTATTATTTCTGCTCAATGACCAAGAATCGATAAGCTGCAAAAATTATGCAAAACTTGCATAATCTTTCCGCTAGCGTTGCTAACGAATCGAAGTGTCGATGACGATCGGAAAAGCGGTGCTCGCGATTACATCATAAATATTCGATCGCCTTACGTTGCTTAACGAGTACGAGGCGGTCACGGAAAAAAGAATACTGCGTTGTTTCTGAGGCGCTAAGAAAAAAGTACCAACGGCACGCGACAGAGAAAAAATCATAGCGAGAACCTTCGGAGGATTCGATAGCTAATCGACGTTAATACAATGACTTCATCGACGTTTCGTTTCAAACGATTAGACTGATAAACGTTAATATTCTGAAAGATTATGAAGCACTTCATTCGTTTGGAGTACTGATACGTTTTAGAATTTCTATGTACAATTTTAGTTTGAAGACTTTATATGAGTATAATAGGTGAGTGGTAGTATAAGATATTAAGGGTGGATCTAACGCATGTGAAGGGTTAAGTTGCTGTATGATTAACACTAAACCTACTGACACATAATGTGTACTCAATTCAAAATTAAAAAATAAATGAACAAACATGAATTTAGTATTTATCTTGATGAAAATCAATGCAGAAGGAATGTCAAATCAATTGAAATCAAAAGGAATGTAATTTAACAAAATGTGTACCTTATAATAAGAACCTTGTGAAGTCATTTGACTTGGTGGTTTTAGTGTTAATTTGTCAAATCAGTCAGAAATAACTACAGTAATAGTAAAATCATTACAGAAACTCGAAACGTGACCACTTTGTATTCAACAGTCTTTAACTACACAAACCACAGACTTGAACTTTAAATTGAAATTAAATATCAAAGATTTGTCGCATCCAAACCATAAGTGCGTCTGACCAGTCAAAATACTGCAAGGGGTGAATTACAATAAAAGCAACCTTCATATCTCACAGAAATTTTGGGTTTCATATCTATAATAGTAGAAATGTGGAATTACAAACGAGCGAAAAAGGTAATAAATTAAATAAAATGAGGGTAATGGAATGATTTCAAGGAAGATCGATTCTCCTGACGGGACAGGTAAGAACGATTTTCGCCGTGTGCGTGCCGCTAGAAGACGGCAAAGAAGAAAAAGAGGGTTCCTGAACGAGAGGATGTAATTTACCGGTTTTTGTTTCTCCGCCAATAACTGTTACGGGTAAGGTCCTTTTTATCTAGCCTTTCAAAGGATAGCACGACAAGAAACTTTGACAAACGCTTCCACGAAACGTGCTTGTAAATTTCCGAAGCTGAAGTCATATTATCGAAGATATTTGTATATATTACACATTATCGGTACACGATTTTGTTGCGTAAGACGAGTACCATTAACACACGTTCCACGTGTCACGATACTAATGTTCATAAGGTATTTCCTTTTTTTGGAATTTTCTTCTCTGTCAAATGACTGCAAGGTTTTCTAATCGACTTAGGTCATTTTTAATAAGTAAAAGATTGATAAAGTTAATCCCCTAAGAAAAAGATCTCTAACTTATCGTTTGAAAATTTTGATCTAATCGTACTCTAAAGTGACAATTACTGAAGAACGTTTACGACCTGCCGGAAGAAATTACGAAATTAATTAAACACTGATAAGCATCGAGCGATAAGCACCGGTTCTAGTTACAGATTTTGTGGAAAAGATAATGGGATTCTCCTAGAAAATTAAATGAAGAAGACTTACTTCATTAAAACAAAAAATTAGATGAAGACTTACTTAATGCTCAGAATTTGCGCTGAAACCTAAGGATGATCCGATATGACTCATAAAACTTCCTATCGTCTCCGCGAGCGAAGACAACTAATAGGAAGACGAGACGACGAAAGAAGGCATCGAGAAATGGCAATTTGCCCTGCGAAACACAGACTGTTTCGAAAGTGACGCGTCTGCTCGAGGACGCATTGTCTTCGTGTTTGATATAATAGCGTCTGAAAAATCTACCAGTTGGCAGACACGTGGAACCATTGCAAAATCAAACCTTCGCGCGAGGGTGGAGAAAACGTTAGTCAGCCAACAAATGTCTCTTTTCTAAAACCAGACAAATTTTGAAATCCCCAACAACATGTCTGGTCTTTCGAATTCCTTCTCTAATACCCTGTGAGCGTTAAACTGCATAAAAGTCAAACAAAGAAATTATAAATAAATTGTGAAGTCCGTGTCAAGTAATATTAATTCGAGTAAAGAAGTGCAGTTACAAACAAAATAATTTTCAACGAACGAGAACATGAAATACTAATTTGATTACAAGTTAATCGAGTAATTCGGGTCAACTGAAACTGTTTCTACGCAGAAAGTCCTGATAAGAAATATTGGGTCACTGACAGATTCTTACCAAGCTGTTTAACTGTAAACTCGAATAAATTCGCGAATTAAACAGGCTCGCAGACACCTCGTTCCTTCTTCTTACGCTTGCAACTACTGTTCCACATACCGAAGTTGCAACTCTTCCAACGACTTAATAATTTACAACTATTTGCTAGGCGATGTACAGGTACTAAAACATTCCGCAAATTTCATGGAACGAGATTAAACAGTCCCCTGATAATTTAGAGTCAGATGGAAACTTGTACCTGTGTTCATTTTCTTCTTTTTCTACGTTTAATCCGTTTCCCGAACTCGTAAACATCAATCGCACCGATAACGCGTCTGCGTTCCCAGACGGTCTAAATGATTTTTGGACCCGCGTTTATCGTTTTCTATTTATTTACACGAGCGTCCGATAATCTACGAGTAGTCTCGGATTCACTAATTTAGCGAAAGTTCGTCACAAGTGGCGGAAATTCCGAACTGTATTGAATTTTCAAATGAGCGAAATTCTAAATTAAAAAATGTTGATTTAACGCTTGATTTCTCATAGCTAGGATGACACCTGGGATAGGAAAGCATATGATAGTATGAAAATGAAAAAATTTGGATTTAATTCTAGCACTGATTTTCCCGTAGCTGGGATAACACCTAGGAAAGCATATTATGAAAATGAACTCGTGAAAGTGGAGGAGCACGTGGTTTCGCTCGTCACAAACGGTATAAATTGCACTCTAAAGCGAACTATTCACGGCTAGCGTCGGCACCGTGGCCAAGAATAAACATGAAAATAGGTTTGCAACCCTTGCCTACCGTTGCCTTTGACGCGTCAATCGTTTAAAGTCTCGCCACTTTGATTCGAGCACTGTTTATTATCTTTTTGCAGTTTAAAAAACTGCGGCCTATCGCATAATATCACCTGGCGTCATTGGATTATAATATTTAATAACGATAATCATTTACGAAGGTAAAGACTTATCTGAAAGTACGTTCTAGTTCAATAATAACAGGGAAACTACACTGTCATTTACCTCTTTACGATCTTACCTTGCCTTAACATCTAGTAATAGACGTAGCAAAATCCCCGGGCTATTACCTTTATCTTTTTACTAACAGTTGCTTTTGAAAAGAGGAAATTTCTGTCTACATCGTGTTCTCTCGAAAGTAAACTAACGACTAATGTTAAGTTGACAAAATTGAGTAGTAAACAATGAACTCACCAAAGTATTCTGGTAACCCAGACCACCGTCTTGTATTCCCTCGGCGTCTGCCATGTTTGATCTTCGGTTGTCGTGAACGATTTTCGAAAATTCAGGAGACGCAGCCAATTAAAGAGCGGGCAAGCATAGGACGAGAGAAAGGGGAGACAGAGAAAGGAAAGAGGTTAGACGAAGTTAGATCGACACTTCACTTGGTTCGTTAAATCAGACGAATCTTTCTTCCTCTTCCTCTCCTGCTGTCACGATTTATCGACGATCCCCGCTTGCGAGGCATTTATCGTCTCCCAGAACGTTCCTTTTTTATTTTCACTCGTGCACATTCGAATGTCCCGAGAACAACATTCGATAAGAAATTTACAATCATGTAAATTATCAATTCGAAAACGTTCGAAAGGCAAGCGAAGAGGAAGAAAACAAAAGCTGAACAGCTCGTCCTTTGGAGCACGCGGTGATGAACGAGCTAGACACGCGTTGACCAGCTACCTAATCAAACTGAATTCAAAACAAATCCTTTTTGTCCTCGCTCCGAAACACAATCGTATTTTTTACGTCGTAAACTGCGTCGCTCAAAATTTCTTTTCTTCGCTGGCTTTCGACCTATGCTCGAGATCAAATTAAGTCTTTGACGTTAGAATAACGCGTGAAACTACGTGGGAGATTTTGCTCGAAAACTTTCACTCGCACACGAGAACCTTTCTGCTTCGAGGAAAAAAACGGTCGATAGGTAAAACTTAACACTGGTCAATCAAGGGCACGATTCTCGAAGGGTCTCGAGGGTCGTACGACACGAGACTCGCTTCACGAGCGACTGTCCGCTCGGACGGTCGTCAGCCGACTGATAGGTATATGAATGAAGCGGCCGAGATTTCTGCTTGCCTCGGTTTACAGGAAAATCGGTATCCTGCTTTGTCGTCGGCACGTGACACTTTGATTTTTTTTTCTTAGTCTTTGGAAACCTGTGGCTTCAGACGTAATTTAACGGTGATCGAGCGAAGAAAAACGACAATTAACAGACAATAAATATCTGGGTTTAGATAATTGTTAATCTCTATTGGTTTTAAGATAATCTGACCGCCATATCGATCTGTACGAGACATGTTTCGTATACTATCTCCGCGTTGTTTGCACATACGTAATTATGTAATTCCAGTTAACCGAGATTGTTTAAACAGCAGCGAAGACCAGAGATCGGTTACATTTTCTTTAATTACGGAATTAACGACTTGTCCGATGTGACGATGAAATTATTATGTACTTTTGGTGAATTTTGTTAACAGTCAGTTAATTCGAATAGATGAAAATCTACTACAGTATACACGTAGATCTTCCCGTTAAATTGTCCTTCGATCGCGACCGATGCTCGTCCTTGACCATCGTCTAGCACGTTGCCTTTTCAAGAACATAATACGTCAGTGAAAATGGACATATGTAGCAAGACACGAATAATTTAACTTTCACAAATATACTCTTTCAATTTACGATCCGCCACTACTGTAATTACTGACGTAACTGAATTTTTTGTACGAGATGAGTCAAATTCCATATAAATGACTTTCGGGAATTTCTAAATTTCTAGTATGTGTCCTTCATGGAGAAGTACTCACCCCAGTCTCTAATTACGCCCATGAGTACAATAGTAATTCCATTAAAAATTTTATCAACGAGTTAATGCAACACTTTCCGGTTTCGCTCGATAAAAGTCTCGCGTCGTTAATTGGGCATCAATCAAGAATTAATTACATATCGTCTGACCGAGTTACACGATCGAAGGTTCGAATTTAAATAGCAAACAAATGAAGAACATATGTAAACGAAGGGGAAATGTAAACATTGAGTTGTTATTTTTGTCCTTCCGTGATTTTAAAACATGCAAGAATGAACTCAATCGTGAATCGATACGATGAATGAATATGATTTTAAAGTAAGGTTCACTGAATTCGACAGACCTGATGTCACTCGGTTCTAAGCATGACGGTATTCGCAAGAGACCGTCAATGAATATTTATGAGAGCGAACGTTCTAGGTAATCGCGATGGGCTTTGAAATCGAACGTCTTCGTATTCTTACCGTTTGATATTCGCAGATAACGGAAGTTCGATGTGTCAAATCGTGGGACATTGACACTGTGAATAGGATCAAGGCACTTTGGAAATTTCAATCATTCAAAGACCAATGGAAAAAAAGTATAAACGTTATATTATATATTATGTATATCATTAATAAATGTACAATAAGTATTCCAACAAGATAACATTATGAAATGTATTGTCCATTTATGGTTTACAAAAGGCCACCCGTATTAATACTGCAATTTGTCTAATATTTGTGCGTTTTCGAATAAGTTTAAGTCTCAAAAATATAGTTTCATTTTTTGTGCGTTTCATAGACAATTCTTTTAAATATGTATCGCAGATCATTAATAATTAACCACATTATGTTTAACTTTGTATGCCCAGCACTTACTTTACCATAGTTAACTTTTTAGGACATAAATTAACAACCCCTGAATATTATACCACTTTTGGTTCAATGCTTTTAGTTAGGAGTGTCATTATCCGACGATCCTGGTACGACTGAAGCTATTGTACAAATTAAAAATACCTGTGTAAGGATATAAATGCAAATCTACAATCATTTTTAAAACTACTACTTACCAATGATGATAATCAAGATGATGACACAGATGATGCCAATGATGATCATCATTTTAAGATTCTTCCACCAATACTTTCTTTTCAATTTGCCTGCCTGCTGTTCAAATTGCGTGGCTCCTTGTTTCAAAGCATCTGCACGATTCTCCAACTCTGACAATTTCTGATCTCTCTCCAATACCTTCTCCACGTTTACCTTCATGATGCCCACAACTTCGTCCACGGTTGCTTGGGTCTGTTGCAACTTTTTCGTGGAACCTCCCTGCTGTGAGTTTCTTTGACCACCCGCTTCCACATCTCTGGAATTACTACTGCCGTCCATATTTCTGTAAACACACAAATTATATTAGCCACAATCATAAAAAAATAACATATTCATCAGTTGACAACATGGGTATATATGTTGGAAAACGTTCAACAAGTTGCAGCTATATGTAACCATTATTGTACACACCCATAACCTTCAAATTCGTACAGCAACCGTTTAAGGCAGATTATTCGACAGAAATTTTGTAAAATATCGCAACACTGCCTTATAATGTTTGAACGATATTATACCGGTGTAAAATTAACGTTACTAAATAAAAAAAATATAAAACTGTGCTCTGAAATATGTTCCGTTGTTCATTCTTACATGGAAATGACTGTTTGCAAGTGATCCCGCGCATTCTTTTTAAATATTTAAGAAAAAACCGATAGTACTTACTCTGGAATAAATGTAAAAACTCGAAGAAAGAAATAAAATTTATGAATAAATAATGACAGATACGTCCAACTTTAGTCCGATGACGAGTACACTTTACGACGACAACAGTACATGACACAAGATAAAGATGGCGATAACCATGACGTCATGTTTATTAGAAAGATTTTAAAAGTACGCTGCTTATACGAGTAATCTATATAATATCATTTTCGCTTGATCATATGTTACAGGAAGATATCGTTATCTAACTCTAACGATTATCAAAAACAGAATATTTTAGACATACGACGACAAATGTCGCACTTGAATTAACGCGTGCTGCCATCTTAATGAAATTATATAAATTATATATATGCATTTGAAAGTGGATTTCTTTGCATAATTACCTTCTTCAGATGCGCGTATAAATATTCAATAAACAGTATTATGAAACTACGTATTCAATTGTTATATATCTCAGTCATGATAATTACTAATTCCCACGATTTGTTATTGACGAAAAATCAAGACACTTCTACATTAAATTATGACCGATCGAATTTTTCTACATGAATCAGTAAAATATTTATTTTAAACACTCACCAAACAAATAATCCATCTCACGTTTCCGTTCCGTGACTTTTGACGACATTTTTGCGAAGTTAAATCCAGACATCCCCGCCTCGCGACAAAAATTACAACAAGGACATAAATAAAACATCTTGCGGATGCTCTTGCGCGTATTCTCATCGCGTCGACAGGGCCGTATAATCGTACACCATTAAACTACACTTTGACACGAAATAACATTCCTTAACCACGATTAAACTTATTACATCCGAATCCGGTTAACGCGGTCCCGAACTGTCCGTTTACCCGCCACTTTCCGAACGACCGCGTCGCAACCGATCGATCACTCGATTATAATTCCGAAACAATATAACGAATCACGCCGGTCGTTGGCCTATTTTCACGAGAATTAGACACGGGGCCCTCGAGAATCGAAGAAACATCCCTGAATCGGTTTCAGGGTGTGTTTGCGCATGAGGGTTGCGGCTGACTGTCGTTTATTGACTGAAAATTCCTGCGCATGCGCAGAATACATTTCTCGGAACCGTAACTCGAACTCCCACATTCGATATATCGACTCTCGACATCGCGTCCGCAGTGGCAAAATTTAATTTTTGACAATGTTCTGCGTCTTAAATTATATTCACCGGTGAATTTAGCAAGATTTTAACAGGTTTTAATTACTAATTAATAAAAGAGGAAGATAATATTGGGTAGGTAGAAAGTATAGAAAAGTGAAAAGGATCAATTTGAAAAGTTCGAGGGTTGTCGAGATATCGCTGGAACGGAGACGATATCGCGACGTTGCCGCTGGAAATTTTATCAATACCACGACCGTGTAGTCGGTGACAGTCGCTCGTGAAAAGTACGCGGTCATCTGACGGGGTTGGCAGGTCAGCAGATAGCTCTAGTTCAGGAAACCAGCAGCGATCGACAAAGAATATGTGAGTAGAACAACGAAAATCTACCGATTGTGCTCGTTGGCTACGAAAAGTGGTTTTACCCCGAAGTGAAATCGAACAGCCGCGTGAAGTGATTCTATGCGGACGAATCTATATCGAACTGCCCTCGCGAATTTATAACAATTTTACGAACAGTAGAAAGTCTGTCAAATTTGCTAGACCCTGTTGGACGAATGCGATAAAATCACTAAACTATTAACGATATGTAAGTTTGCAACGATAACATCCACGTTCTTCGCAAAGCAACAGTAAAGCTTGATAGTCTCGTGAAATCGTCACATTTCCTCTTTCGATAGACTGACAAACGAGCAGTACGAATTTCTGTTATTTTTAATTTGTCACAACAAAAGCGAGAGGAGTAACATCTGCAGAAGAAAGAGGCATAGATCGATAGCAAAGAAACCGAGTTTAACAAGATTAAATCGCGAACTTCCAACATATATTACGAATCGTCAAAGGTGTACGATACTAATCCTCTTTATACGTTCTTACTAGCGTGCAATGGTCGATTGAAATAAAGTATGATCCACATAAAATTAAGCTTCAGCTATCGATTCGTGTCTGAAATTTTCTTAGACAAATGTTAAGACGCAATTTCCTAAGCTTTTGTCACCAATCGATTTCGTTGCACGACCCATCCGCAACATACCAGAATTTCCGATAAAGTGCAGCAAAGCTTAAAGCAGACCGATTTCCACGATGAAATTGCGGTCATTGAATTCTGGGAGGCTTCTTTCCATCGAATTTTACAAGCTAAACTTTCCAGGCTTATTTTCGGGATTAAAGCTTCTGAACCCAATCTTGAAATTTCTATCTCAATTTCCCCTGCAATTTATTCCTCGCAGTGGATTTAGCGAGGACGGTACGAATTTGTGGAACCCCATTATAGTACGAAATACACTCAAATAAAAACTCAACAACTCGTCGGATATCAAATTGAATTTATCCTGTAATATAAATTTACTGAAGCAGGTAAACTACAACGATCCTCCGCACATTCTAATTAGAATTACATTTAAAACCGTGTTACGAACACGATTTACATTCGCTAGATCCGAGCCGAAATTTGCATTACAATTGCAAGTAGTTAAACCTGAAATAAAGTGTACAACTTTGTAGCGTTGAATTATGATTATGAATTTTTTCCTTGGTTACCTAATGTAATTTATGCCACCGGTAATGAACGCGCCTTTGTATTGTTTAGAGCCATAACATTCTTTCTTTAAACTCATTGCCTTTATCTTCATTCACACCAAGTAGCTTTTGGAAATTTGGTGTTTTGCCAATGCGCGTAACAATCAATCGGAATACACCGAGTTATACGTTCAACTGGCAGTTTCTATATTTAGATAATCAATGACGAGCATATTCGCGGCTATTCCATGTTTCGGCTGTGGAACGAAGCTTTTTTCGGGATGCATACCTGGCTCTAAGTAGATTGTCCCTGAGAGAGTCAGACACGTCGTAGAGCACCACTTGAACAGACTTGACTAAAGATGCTTTTTGAGAGAGAATAGCGCATACTTTGATTCGACCAAAATACTATATTCCTTTTTTAATCACGATTTTAGATTGTGTGATGCAGTTCTTACTAATAATAGTTGATATTTGTCTAAAAATATGCGACGAGGTACGTAGGCGACTTTCCATGAACTTTGCATTCGAACCTGAAGAGATAAGTTTGACGTCATACGGGTTACTTGGAGTACCCGTAAAACGGGTCGTTTTTTTCCTCTTGGTTATAAAATTCCATGGCAGAATAATCGATTTAGCTGTATCTTTCGACAACCTTGTACTATTCACGATAACCCTAAAATTAGAACAGAGACGCGAATATTCTCAGAAGGAACTTTCCACCCTTATACGACCCGAAGATTTTAGAATTCTAAGTTCTTGTACGACCAAAGTATTTGCACTAGAAAATAATTTAATAACTGTCGATATATAAGGCACTTGACCACGGAAATCCAGTGTGAACATTTTTCTCGTTTGTCCATAAAGAAATTTTGCTTCGCATAAATTATTCGATACTTTATATCGTTAAATTCCAAATGCTCGATTATACATACAGTTTCGACGTTGGAGAAATGCGAGAAAATAGAAACGATGTAAATTCTATTTATTTACCGCGATAGCGATATTGGAATAGCGGATCGATCGGCTGTTGCCACTCGGTCGTTCGATCGGCTGCCAAAAATAAAACCCGCAACCTCTTCGATCGCTTTTTAATCTGCCATCGGTGCTCGACATGTTCGGAAAGTCTGATTCATCGAACACGCACTCGGAATCGAAATGTACATTGATCGAATTCTAACTAATGGACAAGTGTGCCGGGGTGAGGTGCACCGATCTACAAGCGTGCATCGATACGTTCACTGCTCTGATTATGTTCCTAGATATCTCCAGACATTTTCTATAGTCTTGTTCTATAGTCTTGGGTATAGTCCTACCCCTTAGACTCCTACCTCTTAGTAATATCAGACACGTGGAAGCTTGCAAATCGACGGCTTAGAACGTATTGAAAACTGCGAACAACGAAACGCAAATACGGAGTAACGCCAACGCGAGACTATCACGATAATTAAACTAACATCCCTGTCGTTCTAGGAAAGGTCTTACGCCGCGCAAAAGGTCAGCCGCATTTACGTATGAAATATCTTCGAGCAAGATGAATCAGACTTAACCTTTTCAATTCCTATATCGTGTTACTCCGCTCGAATAAATCCAAATTAAGTCATAGATTCTGTGACGCAAAGTGTATTTTAGAACTGACCCTCTGTCAACGATGGCAGTCGCTTAAGTCTTCTAACTTAAGTCTTCTGACTTATCTGATAAGGAATTTTCAAATGTAAAGTGCACACGTGTAAGAAGACAATGTAGAATCGTGTCACGAACTATGCCCTTTCGAGTTACTTTCAACCTTCAAAAAATTGCATCCCCCATAAAGCACTCGACTCGTAACTTTCGAAGAACCTTTGAAAGGTACAAATGCGTTTCACGACTTCACTGAACCATGCACTTTAACGATATCTTACGACAGCAGAAAACTCAAGTTTACGCCGAGCATTTCAATCAGAGTCCCTGCAATTTCATTACGACCGATTCGCGCAAATTTTCTTATACATAGTCTTCGAATAGCCAATAAATTTCCATATTCTCCACGGGATAATTTGCGTAGAATAATTTATGGCAGAATTTTCATGGGGGAAATTCGAAGGAGTCTGTAGGTAGTAGTAGTTCAGGAAGGAAAAACGGAAGGGATTAGATTAGTCGTCCTGAGGTTCCCATTGAATAGCCGCTTATGCTAAACTCGTCTGCTTTAAAGCTTTAATCCGTGCATCGCTATAAGCTTATATTTACACTCGAATTTCAACGTTCGAGAATTTATTTACTGTCAATTTGAATGCACTCACACGTAGTCATACATTGAACATTTACGACGATAAAGATATCGAAAACTGATAACTGACGGAAATGAATTCTGTTCGCAGGGCGACCGAGGGCGGTCAAGCACCGGATGCTGCAGCAGGTGCAGGTGCAGCAGGTGCCGATGGAATCGTCGGAGGTCCCAGGACGCCTCAGCAGATCGCCTCGCAAAAACGACTGCAGGCGACGCAGGCGCAGGTCGACGAGGTCGTCGACATTATGAAAACGAACGTTGAAAAGGTCCTGGAGCGTGATCAGAAGCTTTCAGAACTCGACGATCGAGCAGGTTGGTCGACAACCTGTTTCCCCTAACCCTCGATCTCCCCATTTACGGAGATAGCGAATTTGCAAGGGAATCACAAATTCGCGTGAAATGGAAAACACACACGATGAAAAGAAGCAGCTAACAATAACTGAGCGAGGACACGCGACACGTGACGTTCATTATCGTTGTATGTCGAAAGTTTACCTACAAAGAATCCTGCATTGGTTTAGAGATTAAACCGAAGGACAAGTTGTGTCGGTTCACGTTTGTTAGAAAGATATCCTTTCATTCCTTTCCATTCATTCTGTCGCGGCATTAAAGTAGTTCGACCCTGCGCGTCCGACTGCACACTGATATCGATTACTGTGACGCTGTCGAATCGATGCCGCATGCCGTGCTACCACGGCTGACCATCGTCGATCTTTTCCACTACGCCCAGTCGGACCACACAAGCATTTTCTACTGTCGCTTAATCGTTCTGACCAAGAATCCCCAATTAGACCCGAATCACCGCTACCCACTCGCTTCATCCATGACGCGTCATCGAAAATGGGATAATTATCGAGGATACGTTCATTCATTCTTTCATTTTTTAATTGAAACGTCTCTATCGAAATTTCGTCTTACAGATGCGCTTCAGCAAGGAGCGTCACAGTTTGAACAACAGGCAGGAAAGCTGAAAAGGAAGTTCTGGCTACAAAATCTAAAGGTAACATCCTTCATCGAGTAACATTACGTTACATAAGTTTAACCCCTTGCACTATGGCTTATTTGTCAAGCATAAAAATCAAGAGATGTCGTTCAATTTTTATAGACATTTATTGGTTCTATATTATTTGCGTGACCCATTAATGATTTCAGTGTGAAAGAAGTGAATGAGGTTACAAGTGTTTTCGTTTAATTTTCAGTCAGTCTTATGTAACCCTTAACCCCTTGCACTATAACTTATTTGTCAGGTGCGTCAGAACTGACTAATTACAGCTATAACATTAACACAGACAAAAGAATTTGAAATGTTATTATTGATTACGCAAATTGGACTTGAACTTCGAGTACTAAAAATTCGAGTAAAATTGATCACGGCCGAAGTCTGACTCGCCAAAGTAGTGCAAGGGGATACATAAGTAAACGATTCTAATCGTTTTGTTAATCTTACAGATGATGATCATCATGGGCGTCATCGGACTCATTGTATTGGCCATTATCGTTGGTAAGTAATACGACGTATACACGCACTAATTAAAGCTAACGACACTGCCATTGTAATTGTCTAAGTGTTCTGTGTCATCTGGTCAATGTACCTCGCCACGATTTCGAACGACAGATTCGGAATTCCGTCCCTAAAGTTTGTTCAGGAGATGAAAATAATTGAGAAAAAGCCGAATCGATCGTTCTTGACTATCTGTCTCTGTCGATCTATATTTCTATGCCGAGACCGTGGGTCTCCGTGATCGAAACGATATTGTGTTTGCACGACGCAGCAAAAAAAAAAGGACGACGTCTCGAATGAAGTGTCGCCAATAAGCTTGCACGGTTATTCGAGGAATTCCTTGGACGATCAGGGATTTCTCGAGCGGTTAAAGTCTTGTCGACAGAAGCGTCACCGTGCTTCGCTTAAATTTTTGATCGTTGTTCGCGGTAACAAGAAAAGTAGAGCCATGATCACGCGAATAGTAAAGTTGTCGCGTTGAAGGTACTTTCGAATTAAGGATAAATAGAGGATCGAGAAGGATTACACGTTCTAACGTGTTACTAATTATCGCATCGCTCATCATCTAACATGTGTGAATTCTATGTATTTCTCTTTTTCGTTTAGCGAACTTCATGTAAATGCGCTGCTGGTGGAAGAGATTTGTGTGTGAGTGAGTCTGAAGGTAGAAAGCAACAAATCTGCGACATTGCGTTATTATTGTTGTCTCTCTATCTTTCTTTCTCTCTGTTTCTATATATATATACATATATATTTCCTTTTTCTGTTGTCCCTTTTTCACGTAGGACGTGTATTACGAATACCTGTGTACCGATATGTTCCCTCCTCGAATTCGTTTCCTCTCCTCTTTAAGGTGTTCCCCTTGCAAGTGCGGTTTCATAAGAATCTTTCATCTTGCCAAACACGGTAATTAAATTCCTCGGGAAATGAAATCATAGTATAACGAATTCAAGATCCTTATGAAATTAACGCTTACCATCTGTGTTATACATATACGTATTGTCTGCCTGTAATAGGTACTTGCTGGTGTATCACTATCTGTATTCTTTTGACGATCCATCCTCCGAGGCTTGTTGTACATTCATGAAACATCGATTTAATTGAAAACGACTTTCATGAATTTCTGCTAACAGCCTCAACCCCATTTTTCTTCCCAACACGACAGTGACACCACAAACATGAACAACCGAGGCCAGAATTCTATTTATTTCCGATCAGAGCCTATAAAATCACGAGGGAAATTCGACAGATGTTCTGTCGCTACGAAGCGAGAATAGAAAAAATGACCGCAGCCGGATTTTCGAACGCGATATTCTTTTAATTTTCGATCGCGTTCCAGCTTGCGATACGTTCAAAAATATTTGATAAAACTACACAAGCATTCACAGTCCGTGCCTCGTAATTACTGTTATGTGTCTGTCTGTACTTTTGGTGGTATCTTGTGTTTCCCTCCCCGAAGTTAGTCCCAGCCAGTGAATATTTTGGTGAAAAGAGGTTCGCGTGAAAAGAATTCGCAAAACAAACGACAGGACACCACGACAAATTAACAACATCAACAACGAACAACAGTAACATCTACAACAGTAACAACAAAATGAAGTCTCTAAAAAATGAAACTTTTGTTTAACCCTCACTCTTCTCTTCGGTACGGTAAGCTACAACTTTTAATGCTGCACTTTACGGTACCATTTCATTTTTAACTTCTTCGATTTCAAAGATATCAGAATTTCTTTTCTAGAGCAGACTCTTATTTTCATTTATATTCTTCATTTCTCTGCGCGCAGAAATTTAACAAAGAGCTTTAAACGATCGCTGATTGATTTCTGCGCGTAGAATTCGAAACTTCTGCATATTATCAGCATGGAATATTTCTTTTTCATACCGGTATCCTCAAACCCGAACACCGTTTCAGAATATACAAGCTACATAACATACGTGTATGTATCTCGAGAGAAATATTTTCAAATATTTCTGGGACGATCTTCACTGTGCATCGATTACAAAGCATGCTTTTTTATATTTTGCGTTCGATAGAATGAGCATGGCTTCTTCGCTAACGAAACAAACGAAAGGAATTCGATGAAACCAGCAAATTACAGTGATCGTTGGAAGAACTTTTTGCGAGGAACGAACAAAGTTCACGGAGTAAAATATTTAAGATATTTGTATCGAACGATCAGTGTATAGACTGAGTTTTGAGAAACAGCGAGTGTTAAATGTAATCGTAAATTGCATGCGATATGCTTGCGAAATATGGATTTCTGTGTAGAAATATATGTGTTAACGATTGTTAGATCTTTCCTCGTGGACAAAAGTACGAAGTAACGCGATTCCATAGACAGGATCGAAAAATAATAAAAATCTCGGACGATTTGGGAATTTTTCAAGACTTTTTATACATATATTATCGCCACAATATTCTCGTTACTCGGATGGTGTGAAACTATTATTTTGTTCGAACTCTTTTGGAGCTTGATTTTTATTTTATAAAATATTGGGAAGTGCAAGGTTTGCAAATTTTAAGTAACCATGTCAAGATTTACCTTACTAGAATACGAGGACATAATGAACACAAACCTTTCATGAATATCGTCACCATTTTCAACGAATATCGTCACCATAAATTAAAACCGTAAGCTTTGACCTTTGTCCACGACGGTCATAGAAGATGGTGCATGCAACCTGTGTTAAAACGAAAAGATCTAGAAATGCAAACGAACGATGATCGCAAAACGCCGAAGATGAAAATTGTTGAAAACGGTCGTTCGGATAGAGACACGGATAAAAAAAAACAATCGCCTGTTGTTCTTTTCAGCGCGCGCCACCAGCGGCAGCGACTCGCAAAACTGAACACGTGAGTAAAATTAAGCCAACAACAGCAACAGCAAAATAAAAATCTAGAACCGCAGCAACCACAGGAAGGAAAACAACAGAAAGAGCGTAAGAACGATAAAATCAACAGAAACAATAAAGAAACAATAAAAAGTATCATAAAAATGGAAAGGAAAAGAGACGAAGAAAAACTGGACCGATGCAGTCGTTGACGAATTCTTGAGAAACAACCCTGAAAAGATTCCTCGAAGACTCGACGAGAAAAAAAAGAGAAATTGGATCAGAGAAGAGTATTACGTTTTATCGAAGAGAGGAAAAATACAAAAAATCGTTACTCATAGTTCCTTTTGCAACTTTCATTCGAATTTCGAACAGCAGCGAGTGGACGAAGGTTGGCTCCGAAAATTCTTTCAGACAACGTACAATTATCGGTTCAACGATGAGATCTTTACATCGAACGATTAACGTCGATCAACGAAATCGATCGATCCCTCCCTTCGTCCATTTTTCGCGAATCAATCGATGGCCAGTGTGTACAAAAGATTGAAGAGAATTTAGGAAGGGGGAAAATTAAAGAAAAAAATATATATCTCGCGATACAGGGTGTCCGTGAAAACCGTGCAAGGATTCTCTTCGACGAAGGCAGAGTAGGGAATGTTCACTGTGTCCCCCTTTCCCTTCGTAAAGAAGTGCCGAATACAAATAAATATATATGTGTATAAATGTATATCGACGTTTACTTTATAAATAAAACGTGTATGAAGTTACGAGGGGGAGCGTGTGATCCAGAAGCGAGCATCGTTTTCAAGACTGGAAGATATTCCGAAAAGAGTTTTTCCTCGCTGCTTTTCTCTTCGTTCGATTCGGACGCAAGCTCAAGAGGAGGCGACGATGCACAAGTCGGAGATCAGCGGGAAATTGGATCGCACGCTCGGTTCGTAACGTGTGTGTACATCTCGTGCTGTAAATAATATCATTTCTCCTTCACGTTCGTTCGATTACGACCAAACGCCGACAATTAACTACGCAAAATTTGTGAGCGTGTAAATGAATGAACGAAAGAAAAAGAGCGATAGAGATAGAGAGAGAAAGAGAATTGCATCCTTTGTTCTTTCGCGTATCTCTGTATCCGAACCGGGGGAAATAAAAATATATACGAATCAGTAGAAGCCTGCCTTCGTCGAAGATGGCAACGAACGTTTCCGAGCTACCTGTGACGGAACGAAAATCAGGAGAAAACGAAGAAAAATGATGCGTTGAAAAAAGAGACACGTTGCTTCGACTTGCTCGAGGCGCTTATATAGGTTCGTTTTAAGGCTTGAAGAATTATCTACAGATGTTATGTATACATGTTAAATAGTATTAATAATAATAACAATAATAATATTAATAATAATAATAATAACAATAATTATGATAATAACAACAACAATAACGATAATAATAGCGCAAGTATAATATTAACGATAACCGAACAATCTGATGACCACCATGGAATCCAACGAATCGGGTTGTTGTGGATGAAATGACCTCACATCGGAATCTAAAGAAATTGTCTACACATCTCATCTTCATGGCTGCTTCAACACCTGCGCACAATTCCACGATGATTTCGAAACAGAATTTCATGACACGAAAGTACCACGAAATGACACAACATATCAAGGCTCAAGAAAAAGCATTTTGTTAACAATGACTTATCGATTACAGCGAAAATTCGTGCGTTGCTCATCGGCCATTTCATTCACAATAACCTATCACTCTGCAGTTTCTTTTTTTTGATACGTAGTTTCAGTATACTTTGACAGAATAATTCCATCACCCCGTTAATTGACTCGGAAGTTTGATAACCTCTTGGATTCCACGGAGGAATATCCTCTGTGTTTCTCATCGTCTAAATCGACGGATAAATATTCGGCATCGTGATTTTTCAGGCTCGTCGATGGTTTTGATTTTGACGTTGACTCTCGTTTCCACCTGTAAGCGTGTTCGAATAACTCGAGTTGAAGTTTCCGAAAACGAATCCATCCAGTCCCTTTCTTCGCGATTCAGGAGATTGTTTGAAAACTAATTTTGAAATGCGATCTTATTTTTCCATACTTTGCAAAGCGCGCGAAGAAAGGGACCAGATTGCTGAAGCATCGTTGTTCTTCAAGGCGGAAAGGAAGTTTACGATTTCGCTCCGAAATCGTATAGATGTTTGGAAACTATGTTTACGAACTCATTAAACGCATAGGTGTACCGTCATGCGATACCTTGACCGTTGACGTGTTAATTATTAACGACGTTTATGACCATAATTATGCTGCTTTCAACATTGTACAGTATCGAATAAAAAGTTACAGTGCGTAGTCAGAAAACAAGACAAGCTGTAGAGAGCAAGGAAAGAAAACAGAGTGGAAACTTTTTATGCGTCAATGTTTCGAGTACGATCGTGTTCAGATTCGTTTTCTTTCGTTTTTTATTTTCTATTCTTTTCGAACGATTCGAAGATCAACGAAGAGATATTCGTGACCAGAAAAAAAATAACCTCTATAAAAAGTATTACTTCACACCCACGGAGAAGAGGACCATTTTAGAACCTATTATAACTTTAACTCCACTAGGAGGTAAGAATACTAAAATTTCCCTTTCTTTTCCTTTTTGTTCATTTTCTTTGACTCCCGCTCCCGATCGGTTCAAATGGCAAGAATGCCATTTCCCTCACGATTGTACTCCGATTAAAAGGCAAACCAACAAGCAGACAGATACATAACCGTTCTTTTCTTCTGATTTAATCAACCCACAGGATTTCTTTTCTTTCTGGAAAGAACGATTTTGTGTTTGCAATCGAGTTTAGATATTTCGGAATTTATCACTCACACAGTCTCTCCTCCACACGACTTTATGATTTCAATGATTAGTAAACTCTACCTTCTCTACATAATAGGTTTAAGAAGAACCAGATCAACCCTTGCTGTATAAATGTTCTTCGTAACGATTAATCTTTCTTTCGCTGTATTTTCGTTTAAATGTATTCTATCTCCGTCTGTACCGATAAGTGATGTACAGAGTATTGCATTGGTGTAACTAGGTTTCTTTGGACCTACGTCTCTTTTGGAAATTTCAGGATTACTTAGAAATAAATTATAAATCAGAGAGTTACATCCCAGAGTTAGGCCCACTCAATACCCAGTTAGGCCAATGTACCTAAATGTCTTTGTTAATCTTCATTCGTTCTTGCCCCGCAAAGCCTTTAACACAACAGTTTTCTAACCGTGTACGAGGGTGTTTAAAAAGGATTCAGGCTGAAAAAGCAGCACACTTAATGTACATAATTAATAACAATGAATCCTCTGTTTAAACACTCTGACATTGATATTTTGACGCAAACTAATCGCATCGATTTGCCATTACAGCGAAATTCATGCCAGAATCAGCACCACCACCACCTCCTTACGGTTATCCACCACCGGGAATGCCAGTACAGGCACCAGGTCCCGTTCCAGCTCCAGCGGGTGCCGCCGCATCAGGTGGATCAGGAGGCGCTAGCGGACCACAAACCGCTGGTGCAGCGTTCGTTGGCAATTTAGATGGCATTCACAGCGTGATGTAAACAGGAAAACACCTCTGCACCATACCGCAATAAGAATTTTTTCCAAGCTAATCTTAAGCGAGCAAAAATTTGTTGGCGTCGAATCAAAGCTAAAAAGGAAACTGATCCGTACCGTATACCCAATGAAACCCTTTTCGGTAGGAACTCAGGTCCGATTTTTCGGGCTTCTTTAAAAACAATAGTACTTTCATGAAAAATGTGGCGTTTAATTTACTTGCCAAATTTCGACCGGAAAGGGTGAATCCTTCGATCAATAGGTTTCTTCTGATTTCGATCTTAAGACAGAAAGAGAACATCGAACCGGTTAACAATGAAATAAACGTTTTAATCGAGGAACGAACAGCTAACGCGTTAACTGCCCCGATTGAAAAACCACTGAAAATCGATCTGCCAGGTGTTCTATCGCGATCGAACGAGTGCCCATTTTCTCCTTCCACGATCTCAATCAATCGAGTCTCGATATGCCTAAACGTGAAACGAGGCAAATACTAGTTCCTGTGAGAGCAGTTAATGTGTTAAATATACGGCTACAAACTTGAGTTTCGTGTAGCTTTTAGGAACGGCAAACGTTAAACCTATGTTATATTGGTACAATAACCGATAGACTATACTGACGATACCAGACCATCCATTATACCCGTGTAAACGATTGGACAAGTGGTTCATAGAATACTAAACGTTGGTAAATTGCGGAGTACGCTAGTATGAGGCAATGAGAGAAACCTAGCGATGTTACATGATGTGTACTAGGTTTTTCTCAATATATGTCGTTCTACCATTTACCTTATCGATAAAAATTTAGTATTCCATTTCCGCGATCTTGCGAGTACAATAAAGGGATGCATTCCGGTAAAGTTAGCATAGTCTACCAATGTAAGCTAGGTTTAATATAAATGTAATTTAGGCTTTAGAACGCCGATAGGGAAGAAAGTTGATCGACCCTCCAGAACGTTTATTTCCTAACAGAGATAGCAATCTATCTAGATAGAGGTATTCTTGCGTGCATCGTCGTTCTCGACTAATCGAATCTTCTCCACACGTATTCCTTCGTAGTTAATCATAGGCGAGGAGAGAGAGAGAGGTCCGGTACGAGGGAAAACGAAAGAAACCGTGGAGGATGATGCTGATCCGCTGTATCGGTGGATGAACATGCGTATCTTACGTATATACGTGTAATGTGTACATAAATTATTACAAATTGTCAATGTAAGAATGAACTATACATATATACATAATATATAAAATACATATAAATAATGTGACTTATAAATATGTAGTAAATACGAACAAGAAACCAAGAGAGCGAGAGAGAGAGAGAGATAGAGAGTAAACGAGAGAGAGAGAAAGAGAGGGAGAGAAAGAGAGATTGTTAAATTTTATTATTCTTTATTATTCACGCGGAAAGATTAGCAAATTGTCGTGAATATATTTCGAGAATCGAGAAAGATGATTTTTGCAAACTCTGTTTTTATGGATTCCAATTTATAGCTTAGGTATAATTATAACTTTCACCGTTGTTCATTCACGTGAACATCACCACCTTGAAATTGTTAGGCACTTCCGGATGTAACACCTCTACGGCCGCCGCTAGAGTTTGGGGGCTCGAAAGAACTTGCTGAAGAATTTCTGAATTTAGAGATTTTAAGAGTCGGATATTTGGAAACTTGTAGATTCGGCAAATTTCAGAATTTCTAAATTAAAAAGTTTGGAAGAGCCATGAACCTGGCAAGCGTCCTCTTTGCCCAATGCTAATGGCGGTAGTCCTTGTTCGTTCTCTAGAATCGCGAATTGACGAACATGATCCGAAGATAACTTCCTTTTTTCATAAAGGATAGTTCTTGGGTTGTAAAGTATTGTATATTGTATGATAAGTTCGATGATCGACTATCAGATTATTTGTATATCTCTCGGAAACGATAATTGAAAAAAGAAACGTTCAAGGATGCGATCGTGACAAAGGTTTTCTATTATTTTTATGTGTGAAATCGCACCGAAGAAAATGCTCACTGTACTTAGTAATCACTCTAACATGTGAAATCTTTATTCGAAAAACGAGGACATAGTTCTTTCGACGATTGAAATCCTCTTTTCTTTTTGCTGGCCTAAATCCATTCAGTTTTTAAAACTATGAACATCGTAGACGAAACGATTAGTCGAAATAATTCATACTTGTACGTACCATCTTTGTGTACTCTAATAGACTTCTAACGAAACCTTAATCTCTAAATTCCGAAAATGGAGACACCGAGGATCGAGAGAAACATCTACTTGTTGTTAGAATAAAATTCAATAATCACCGCGTTGTTAACACAGGAATGGAAATAAATTTAAGCAAAATATTCGTAAAGGGTTTGCGATCGAACTTTATCGAAATAAGATTCATTTTGCTAATACTTAGTTTTCAAACTGCAATGATCGAACAATCTTTTATCCTGATAAATCGATATCTCGATGCATACCTTCCTTGCTCAAAATGCAATTAAAACGTAATCGTCCTTAAACCTTGATCCCCTCCCTTTTTCTCCGAGAAAGCTTATTATTATTGTGTCCACCACTCGAATAATAGAGGAATGATTATTTAAGAGGTTTGTAAGTACGGCGAGAATAATTATACATAAAAAGGCTTCACCACATAGGCAGTTAACATATTATTACGAAGTATAGAGATACGATTAATAATCGCGATAATTGATTCAGTTGAACGTCATTCGATTTAATGATCGAGAAATCTATGTTCATCTAGTTTTAGATGTTACTGTATATTAGTCTTAAATAAACACGATTATGACAACAACAAAATATATTTTCTACTATCTTCCTGTTCTTTCATTTTCCATCGACATTTCCTAAGCATGCTCTTCTACCATCTTAAAACTTTGAAACTTTGCAGCTTTCAAACTTCAGGTCTTGGAGATTGTGAGATTTCTTAAGAATTTTGCAGTTTCGAAATTTTGGACTCAGAATTTTTAAATAATATATTATGAGCTAAGTCGCGAAATTTTGTCACCCCAGAAAATAAATTTTAAAAAATGAAGATTTGATCTATGTACGGCCCTGATGGCATTCACGCTCATTCTGCCGCCTAGCGGTAGACTCTTCCATTTGTCGACCATTTGTAAACATGGCTCCGGTGAGTTTCTTTCTCGCAAAATAAATGAAAATAACTCAGGAATGTGTGAAAATCTACTGAAAATTCGATGACAATATTGTACTATGTATTGCAGTCTTCGTTTCTGTTACAATTGAATTAATAATTTTCGAAAGATCACGAAGATTTAGTTGGATATAAACTACACGACAGATCACGTCGCTTCGGTGCCTAGCACATGTGTCTTAAGTGATTAAGACATTGTTTAGTTAAAACAGTTTCAAAATGAGAAATCACATGTTTTTCAGACCACGGCGAAAAAGACTAAAGGACCGGCCATGAAAAAACAAGCCCTACGGGGTAAAGGCCAAAAGAAAAAGGTGTCCCTCAAGTTCACCATTGACTGTACACATCCTGCAGAGGACAATATTATGGACGTAGCCAATTTTGTAAGTTTCTTTTAATGTATATATGAAAACTAATGTAATTTCAATTCAGTGTTATACATATTTGAATTAAAATTTTTGTTTACTTGCACTTCAAGTACCTAAGATCTATCATAACCTAACTAGAGATTGTTTCTATGTTGATGTTTTATTTTTACAGGAAAAATACCTGCACGAAAGAATTAAGGTTTCAGGTAAAACGAACAATTTTGGCAACAGCGTCGCGTTGGAACGCGATAAGATGAAATTGTCAGTTAATAGTGATATTGACTTTTCTAAACGGTGAGCATCGTCCTTAACTTCAAAACTCCTACTTATTTTTACACAAAGAATCTACTTCTACATATTAATTGCTTGGAGTTAACATTATTTCCAACAAGATTACCGATATTTGCACTAATTTGATAACCTGTTTAAATAGGTACCTTAAATATTTGACAAAGAAGTATTTGAAAAAAAATAAACTGCGTGACTGGTTGCGTGTAGTTTCAAAAGACAAAGACACCTACGAATTAAGGTACTTCCAGATCAACAGTCAAGAGGATGATGATGAAGAAGATGTTGAATGAACTTTTACTTCTTAACACAATTACAGAAACATCTGTACATATTTCTATTAATAAATAATGAAAATAATTTGTTATATCTTTTAATTCATTTTCTTGAAATCCGTTCCAACTAGTTTCATATTCTATTTAAGCATATTAGTAAAACTGCTATAATCATTCTTAAATTTTATTTTAAACTCTAGCAATAAATTATGTTTTGCCATTTAGAAAAGAAAATTTATAATTTATTGCGGATTGAATTTTCCCGCGAACGTGTGAATTTAAAAGTATGCGCTACCTTGCACGATGCAATGAAAAACAGAAGTCATTCTACTGAGACAACCAATTAAAGGTTCCTTTAGAGCCCAGCTTCAAGGACTCCAATTATTGTTGTTACATCAATTCTACTGTATACTTTGCTTTCAAGTTTATTAAATAAAAAACATAATATATAATTATGCAACAAATTACAAACATAAAATAGTCCTACTTCTTATATTGTAACAAGTGATTCAACTATGCTTGGAAACATTTTTTTTCTACAGATATATCCACGTGTAAAAATATTAAACATAGTTAAAAAATCTTGTCAAACATAAACTATTATTTTTCTTGGAATTCTAACATAATATTAAGTAATCTACAAAGTACAAGGTGCAAAGTAGTATAATTACGATCCTATCTTATCTATCGCACACATCTGTAAAGCCATTCTTCTTCAACTGGAAATGAACGTATCGATAATGCGTAGAAATACTTTTAAGTGACTCAAATAAATTGCTTCCAGATATCGCATGATCTCTGTTTATTTTTCATCGAGTTTCACGAAGAAATTCAAGGGACTATTTCGTGCAAGCGTAGAGAGAAAAGTGTCCGTAGTGCGCAGACGGTCTGACGCACGGTGATTGTTGTGACAGAAGTATAGAAGAGGTATTGTGTCGCCGTCTTTCCAGTTCGGAATCAGCAAAATCCGTGTGAAATCGATAGACAAAACATCCACCCAGGGGCAGGAACAGTAAACGGTCTCGTTGAATTGCACTATTTGTGCAATTTGGAGAAAGAAAAATGAAGTTTCGTTATAAAGAGGAACACCCTTTTGAAAGGAGGAAGGCTGAGGGTGAAAAAATTCGACGAAAATATCCCGACAGGGTTCCTGTGAGTAGCTTTCAGCTACTAAACAAAGAAATTTATTCTACGTTCTGAAATCGAAATAATTATTTTGGAAAAACTAATTGACTTGTTAACAAGAACGTCTAATTGATATGGTCGGGCGAGTTTAATATGTCTGTCGATTTTATTCGTGAGATTTCCTGATCTGGAATGGAGCAAGGTCGACTATCTGCGTCGCATCTGCTTTTATTTCGAAATTTGTTCTTTTTCTTGATTCAAACGCTGATTTAGATGAAATTCGTATTAAATATTTTTATGCTTTTGCCCTCTCTCTATTGCTTCAAATCTATTGATCACACTTTCGTCCATAGTTGTAATTCATGATTGACAAAACGTGACAGGAAACAGGAAACACCTTTCCTTTCCATTAAATGCACGGGAAATTTAAACATATAATTTCTTGATAAACTTTTGTTTTATTATGCGAAATGATACTATATTGAAAATATAGACCAGCTGTTGTTGCTTTAGAGATTTGGATAAGTGTCAAATACATGTAATATCAAACACAGATTTGAAGCTGGTTTTGATCTTGACAATGAGCCAAGTTATAAACATTCTATAGCTTAAACAGCAGGAAGGAAAAATCTGATGGAATGACTGAAAATTATATATCAATTTTTTCCTGATTATTTTAAAATATTAATTAATTACATGACCAAATGAAACACTTGTATTTGTCTTACAGGTAATTGTTGAGAAAGCACCAAAGGCTAAAATTAGTGATTTGGACAAGCAAAAGTACCTAGTACCATCTGACTTAACTGTTGGACAATTTTATTTTTTAATCCGTAAACGAATTCATCTTCGTCCAGAGGATGCTCTATTCTTCTTTGTTAACAACATCATTCCACCTACAAGCGCTACCATGGGTTCCCTCTATGCGGTAATTATAATTGATTTAATGATTACTTAAAATTGATGAAAACATTGCTGTGCAAGATTATTGTAACTTTTACAGGAACACCACGAGGAAGATTTCTTCCTTTACATGGCATACAGTGATGAGAACGTATATGGACACTAAATCACCAAACAGGAGACATTAAAACAAAAAATTCAGGCAACAAAAATTTGCCATCTGTGACGTAGTCCTTTTAGATGCTTTCGGAAGTATTAACAAAATTATATCTTTCAATCTTTTAAGTGAAACATTAAGTCTTAGCACCGCACACTAAATTAAGTTTGCTTCCTTAAGATAAATTGGACATGTTCGTCTGCCAACTATACAAATATAATTTCTTTTTTAATTACATCACTCACCGCCGATTGAGGAAGCTTAGGGTAATAAAATATAAGAAGGATTAATCAGAGCTATATTATGTGATCTTGTATCATGTCTAGCCTAATATTATAAATTTGAAAAACTGTTTAAACAAAAATGTTCTTTATATTACAAAGAATAACTAATAAATTCGCGATTCTATGTAGACATTTCATGTGATATCGTTTTCTCTTAGTTAGGCTAGTATTATATTCTATTCACATGATTTGATGTTATTCAATCACAAAGAAATAAAATGAATTTGCCAAATATTTGGTGAGGTGAAAATTTTTTGTAACGGCTGGGTGTGGGCCAATAAAAAAAGTATAAAAACAAATTGCATAAAAATAATTATTTTCCTATCCAGAACTACTTGTATCCACAATACTGTGGTAACAGGATTTATTCGCGTTTTCAGAAAGCAATTGAAACTGCACTTTATTCATAGTTAATGTGTTTTGCTCTTGGTTGATCTATTTTTAACATGTTTTCTTCAAGAACACTACAGTTTCTAACTACGGGAACAAAATACTTGTAGTTGATGTTACTGCTTTCATGAGAGAAGTCTTCAAATAAAATGGAAGTAGAAACTAATGTGACAAATATTACAAACAGTTCAGTTACTCAAACATACATTGCTTCTGCTTACAATCTCAATCAGGAAGATAGCAATTGGATTGTGACAAATTCTTTTATAATTTTTACTATGCAAACGGGTAAAACTTTTGAATATAGTATCAAAAGATATAGAGACTTTAACGTTTAATTTTTGTAGGATTTGGTATGTTAGAATCTGGATGTGTTTCTTTAAAAAATGAAGTTAACATAATGATGAAAAATGTAGTAGACATAGTACTTGGTGGATTGACTTATTGGGCATTTGGTTTTGCTATGAGTTTTGGGTCAAATAGATTAACTAATCCTTTTATTGGTATGGGCGAATTTTTGATAGATCCTTCTATAAACGACAAACTTATGGGTCCAAAATGTGCTGCATTTTTGTTCCAATTAAGCTTTGCAACAACTTCAACCACAATCGTCAGTGGGGCTATGGCCGAACGGTAATCTTGAAAAATAACGAAGAAATTTAGTTTATTTTATTTGAACACTGTGTTCACAGATGCAATTTTAAAGCATACTGCTTATTTTCCTTCTTAAACACTATTGTATATTGTGTGCCAGCTGGATGGATATGGAGTGATCATGGGTTCTTACAAAAATTAGGTGCTGTTGACATTGCTGGTTCAGGAGCAGTTCATCTTGTTGGGGGCACTTCTGGTAAACTAATGTGAATCTTTTATTGAAATATTTATAGTTTCAATACTACTTTATTGCAGCACTTGCATGTGCCATTATGTTAGGACCAAGACTAGGCAGATATGACAATGGAACTGATCCATTACCTCTTGGATGTCCAGTTAATGCTATAATGGGTTTATTTGTACTTTGGTAAAGTATACAAAAAATCTATTTCTAGAAATTATGGAAGGGATTAACAGGTAATAATAATTCAAGGTGGGGATGGTTAGCTTTCAATAGTGGTAGTACTTATGGTGTTAGTGGACAACGATGGCAATATGCTGCTAGATCAGCAATTTCAACCATGTTAGCTAGCATGGGAGGTGGTTTAATTGGATTAGGTTTTAGTTTATGTAATTCAAATGGAATTGATATTCTGAGTCAAATAAATGGTATCCTTGGTGCACTGGTTGCAGTTACAGGTGTGTTTCAGGAAAATGACAATTTGTCATTAGTAAAAGACAATTCTTTGTTTAACCATTGTTTTTGCAATGTCAGTCAGGCGGTTGTTTCCTTTATAGAGCCTGGGAAGCTATATTTATTGGAATGGTTGGTGCTTTCATCACATGCTTCATAATGCCACTACTAGATAAAATGCATATTGATGACCCTGTTGGAGCTAGTGCAACACACGGTTTTAATATTTATTCCCCTTTTTTGATTCCACTTATTTCTTTCTCTTGTAATTTCTTAACTATTTGACCTTTAATACAGGTGCAAGTGGAATGTGGGGAATCATTGCTGTTGGTCTATTTGCAGACAACCCATATCCTCTTAATACTACTAAGGGAAGGAAAGGGCTGTTCAAAGGTTTACAATAATAAGTTCTTCTGCTCCTTGAAAGAAATATATTTCATGGAAAATATTTGCTTTTGTAGGAGGAGGTTGGTACTTATTAGGCATACAATGTTTAGCTGTTATATGTTTAATGTTTTGGAGTTTTCTTACATCTGTAATTTTATTGTGGGTAAGTCTTATAATATATCATTTAAAGAGATTCTCTAAATTGAAACTCATATAATAACTCATTTAGTTATTATTTCACTATTTCAGTTTATTAACAAAATTATACCAATTAGAATGGGTGTTCAAGATGAACTTCTAGGTGCAGATTTAGTAGAGCATCGAATAAGACATATGCAGGTTTTTATTATATAATTATAATTTAAAGATTTCACAGGGTTTATTGTTAACATTTCTAGATCGGAGTAAGCAGAGCTATGTCCGCTCTTCGTCCACTTTCTCAAGAACATGAGTTAAAAAACGTGCATCCTGTAGGAATCAACCCAGGTAAGATATATGGTTAATAAATATTACTTATAAACTAATCATACAAATCGATTTGTAATAGGTCACGATTCATATATCGAAAAATACAGTCGCAAAAATCGCTTGAAATACAAAAAACGGTTTTCTATTGGAAAGAAGTTGTCGAAAATCCCTCAAACAAATACAATTACTGATATTGTATTGAATGGAAATAATAAGCCAAATTTCGCTTGGATGGATTAATAGTTGTTAATACTTTATAACAATTTATCGAATGTTGATTTATTAGAAACGTATAAATGTATTCACGTACACGTTCTAACACAGATCACACATTGTTATGACACATACAATATACTCACGCTCTTTAATAAATAATCAAGATCTTACACAGTTATATGTATGAAAATTATGCACGCTAATATATAAAGAAATAATCCTGCTGAAAAATCACAGACACAGTACATGTATGTAATATATCTATACTTTTAATGGCTCAATAAGTAGCATGGCACATATACAGAACTTACTTCTATCATTAGTTAATTTAAAATAAAATATTGTTATGAAAAGTTATTTGCTGTCTTTACTTGTTAAGGACGTAATGTCGGACGTTTCGCTATACTATTATAGGCAGGAATCGAAGATCGTAGTAACAGATATTCACAAAATAACAATTTCATCTACCTTATTCAATGTTCTTGAACATCAAAATTCTATTTACAAATTTATGGTACTCATGTTAGTAAATGCAAACAATGGCTATTCTTAAAACTGTCATTATTAGACACAGTTTTAAAGGAATACTTCATAGCTCTTTAATTACTAAGTTTGCTTAAATATATGATCTAGTATATGTAGGAACATATACTCTTGAAATGAACACACGTTTACGCTTATACAAAATATGATATAGAAAAAAAAATTCTACTCCTCTAGTAAATACTTGTAGCAAGGTCGATATTTTAAAGTTACAGAAGACCAATGCATTGCAAACGCAAAATTTGTCAGTATCTACAGTTTCTGTAATCATTGCTATTATATGCTACTTAAAGCCCATTGAGAAACTTCTGTTGGCAGTCCAGGATAATTTTTCACAGCTTCCATAATTTGTTGAGGTGTAAGTAAAAATTTATAATACTGATACTCTTTCTCAACTTTGGAATTCACTCCTCCCACTGGCATCAAGAATTCTAAATTCTGTGGAAGTTATGTGCATGACTAGTTATTCAAACTTTACAACTACAAAACTATCATATTTATAATTCTTACCTTAATGTGTTCAAAAGCTTTCATAATAACAGGCTTCTGAACACTTTGTATAGAAGAATTCTGATTAGCAAATTTAACATATCTATTATAAATTGCTTCAAAATTAAATGGTTCTCCATCATAAATCTCTGTTTCATGTTTCATTGCTACTATCTAAAATGATAATGTAATAAGTATGTTTTGTCAAAAAATAAAAACTAAACCTAGTACACTTACTAAACACATCTCTACCACAGACAATCCCTCAAGCATTAATATTTTGTCATCTTGAGAAAACATTTTACTTGCTTCTACAAAATCATTCACTTCTAATCTCTGATGCTTTTCGGATAATGTGGAAACCACAAGTGCTAAAAAATTTCTAAAGCTTCTTTCGCTTACATCAATTTGATATAATCTTTTTAACAAGTTCACCACAGTAGCATTGGTGACTAGACTTTTTATATATTCATTCCACATTGATCCAAATTGTGGATCTATTGTACAATCATCATATTGCTGTTCTATCCTATTTACATTTTCATCGTCTGGAAGACTGAGAAGATGTTCAAATAGCTCTAAACGACTATCAAAGCCAGATGTTGGTTGTTCTGAGGATGATGTATCACCAGGAAATAAAAATATCTGTCTATGAGAAAATCTTGATTTTACCCTTTTCTCTAAAAGCTCTATAACATCCAATCTACAAGTCATTCCTATCACGCATACTGGTGCCTACAGAAGGATAAACTAATTTTATGAAAACTTAAAATAAACAATAATTTAACATTTCATCAAATACTTACTTGTGCAGATTGAGCAATATCAAATAAATTATACAACAAAGTTTGATTGTGATGTTCACAAAACAAGTCAAATTCATCTAATATAAAGATAACTGGTTTTGAATGTTTTTTATCTCCTGATTTCAAACAGTCAAGTAGAAAGCTTAAATTTTCAGCAAATGTACCAAAAACTTTATCGCCAACTACATTTTCTAACTGCATTTGACGAGTTGCATCTTTTAATGCCAAACGATCATCAGTATGAACTAAACCATGAAGATTCACTATCAATGCATTTTCTTTAAAACTTTTTATAGAAGACAATTCTTTTAACACACTGTTCATCAACTAAAACAACAATTATCCATAAGGACACATCTTATAGTCAACAATATCATCATTTATTTGAATCAAAAAGTTGAACTTACTGTGGTTTTTCCACTACCTCTAGGTCCAATTAACAAAGCAGAATTACTTTCACCCATATCTACTGTACGCTTTAACAACTCTAATACATGTAGGCGTTCTTTAACATGATGCCTAAATTTTGTTTCAGGACACATAATTTTACGTTTTAAATATTTCCTTGTCAATAAAATCATATTATCTTGAAAATCAATTGCCATGCTTTTCTTTTTATTCATACTGTCTCTTCTCTGAAACGCGCCAAAAATTTATTACCCGTTTACTTAAAAATTACTCTTAAATAATTGAAAATACGTTAAATATCAATAACAGACTTAAAGTTCCTTGTCTATTAAATTAATTCATTTATGTTTTCATTTATATCATAATTTTATAATGCACTTTTATTAAGCCACAATCTGACGACAGAATGCAGCGTCTTTAATTAATCAAACACAACCTATTAGTCTTTGAAATAGACATACGTAAAACCTTTAGAACATACTTGCTTAAAAGTTGAATTCACTTAAATAGATTTAGTATTGATCGACCAAAGGAAAGATCAAAATATATACTTCTACCAGTTCTAAATTAATAAAAAAAATATAAAATCTTCAGGTTACAAAGCGCTGGAACTGGATTGTTTACAAAACAAACATGGAAGACGGAGAACCCAAAACAGACAAGAAAAATTGCACGTTTTTATTCAAAAGAAGAAAAATTCGAAGTAGCGCAGCCAGGAAACGTAAAGCGACGAACGAGGAAGATGGTACGTGTATTCAAGAAACACTAAATTTCTTTCTATTCTTCTAATAAACTGTAATTTCATTATATAAATTTGATTAGTATCCTTTATAGGTTATACATCGTTCATACGAATATTTACGTATTTCCTATGTTTATCTTTTAAACAGAAAGCAGCGAAGATGAAACTACAGTAGTTAAAAAGGAAAAGAAACAGGATGATCATAATCCTATGAAACAAAGTGTGAGTATCAAAATTACATGCGTTATATATAATCTTTATTAACGAATAATGAAGCTTTATTTATATCTAAAAAAAGATTTAGATGTTAATAAATATAGAAGCTTTTTGTAAATATAGTGTTTTGCAGACTAATACAAGAAGATTGAAAGGTCAACAAAAAGCCAGTGACAATGATAACAGCGAAGAGGAAAGTATCACTGTCTCTTACAAAAGTAGTAGAACTCCAATGCCAGCTGGGCCAAGCGATCAAAGGGCAACTGCAATTTTGGAAACAGAGACAGAGAAGGACAAAGATGCTCAGGCTTTATTTGAAAAGGCTCAAAAGATAAATGAAGTAACTATAGAAATAATGAAAATGATAGCTATTTAAGATATCATGGAATTACATAGTATATATTTTAGGAACTAGAAGGGAAGGAAGATGATAAAATCTATAGAGGTTTGAATAATTATGCTCAGTACTATAAGAAAAAAGATACTGCAGCTGGAAATGCTTCCAGTGGTATGGTACGCAAGGGACCAATTCGTGCACCATCTAATTTAAGAGCAACTGTTAGATGGGATTATCAGCCAGATATATGTAAAGATTACAAGGAAACTGGATTTTGTGGTTTTGGAGGTACTTTGTTTAATACTGCATGAACCAGTAGACAGAGTATCAGAAATAATAACTACAATTTTATGTTTAGATAGCTGTAAATTTCTTCACGATCGGTCGGACTATAAGTTAGGGTGGCAATTGGAAAGAGAAGCTGCCACAGGAGAATATAACAACAGTGGAGACGAAGATGATAAAAAATATGAAATCGATAGCGACGAAGAAACATTGCCATTCAAATGTTTCATTTGTCGAAATAGTTTTACAGATCCCATTATTACAAAGTATGCATAGCTTATTAAGAGATTCGATTAATAAGATTTAACATACTATCAATTAAACTGTATAAATTTCTGTTTCAGGTGTAAACATTATTTTTGTGAAAAATGTGCTCTGGATCACTATAAGAAAAGCACAAGATGTTATATATGCAATGTACAAACAAACGGTGTATTTAATCCAGCTAAAGAGCTGATTGCAAGGACAAAGATGGAAGAGAAGGAAAGAGCTATGGAAGAAGACGAATGTTCTGATGAATAATAAAGCATATTTTCTCCAAGAAATAGTTATTTCTTATTGAACAGTTATAATTTTAAAAATCATGTAAAACTAAAATCCTATATACATAGTCTTTTTGAATTTTAATCAAACAATTGTTCATCAATTTTTAAATTATTTAATAAAATAACAAATTTTTGGTCAAAATTTGACCAAAATTGAAAAGAAATTAAACATGAAACGTTGATGTAAATTAATAAACCCATTCTTTAATAAAAGTTTAGATTTGGAAGATCTTTTCTATGAGCCATTCTACAAACACTCGAGTTTGACGTCGAAGGGGTCGAGGGGTGACTCAGTGGTACCTGCTATATAGGGCGAAGGTGATTTTAACGGCTCGTAGTTGTTCCTTCAATCGATACACGCGCAGTGTTGTTTGCTTCACAGTAGCGAAAATGTTAGTGAGCTCGTTGTTCTCTGCGAGCATCCAAAAAACGTTTTTGGACAAAGTGTGAAATGCCCTAAAATCACATTGCCGCGATATATGATTTGTGAAGCGATAAGAATAGATCGTAAAATAAAATAGTGTCGCTGAAAACTCGAGAATTTCCGTGTCCGCGCTTTGCCGTCCGTTCATTGATTTCCAAGAAAACATGCCGCGCGCAAAAAGAACCCTTCAATTCTAACGTGATTGTTGTGCCAGCAAAAACGATATCGTAAAAGTGCGTATTCCTATCAAACGATCGTAGACAATGTAATGTTAGTGTTCACGATTGAAGTCAATCTCAAACTCGTTCGTCGATAATCACCGGTCAGTTGAAGAAGACCTGGTCATCACGAACGGGGTAACATTGCGTTAACCGCGAGGTGACTTTTTAATCGAATCATGATCATTAAAATTCTGCTGCATACGTAATTCGTTATCCAATTCGAAACAAATGGATTTGAATTGTCCACGAATAACAATTTCTATCGAGCTAATATCCAAACATAATAACATTATTATCACATCATGAAATGATACGTCGAAGAATTTAATACGAAGAGGAACAGTAATCGAAACTCATCAGTTCTGGGAACAGCTGTTACCAAGATTTCTACAGTAGCACAGTGTAACTGATATGACAATGAAAAGTGGAATCGCATTTCCATCGTCAAAACGACAAAATTATTGCACCCGGTTAGACGATAACTGTTCCTCGTAACCAAACTAGACGAACGCCTCGGATCGAGTAATGCTAATTGAGCCATCTGTAACGACTTCGAAATCATTTAGCCGGAAACGATAATTCGGAAGGTGTTACGTTTCACGGAAATCTTCTATTAACCAGGTACGATATATAGTTGCGCGTCAGGTTATTTTAATACCCTGCGACACCCAGGCCGTCCCATTGAAATCTAGATACGTTATTACGCTTGACAACGCAGCACGTCAGACTGTGTAACTCCTAATTAGCGATAATCACCAATTAAATACGGTTATCATGTGCGCATTACTCTCGGTGCGTATCGTAACGACAGTCATTGCGCACGGAGGTCGGAGTTTCTGTACGAACACACACGAAGCTGTGTAGGGTGGTAGCGCGAGTCAGAGACCGACGGAACAGCGAACCTCGAACGCTCGAAATTTTCTGTTTATGCGTCACACGTACGACGTATATACATAAATTCAACGAGTGCAGTCTTTAAACGCGTCGTGACGCGGCCACGTGCGGTTTGTGTCCACCCTTCTATCAGTATAATATTCGAAACTGTTCGTGACAATGAGTGAACGTAACCGAAGTGTGACAAAATTCAATGGTAATCAGTTGGCTAGAAAACGCGACGTGTCACGCTCTACTAGAAGGGGCTAATTTAGTGCAAAACGAAGAAAACAAAAGTGCGCAGAGACTTAAGCTTTTCGTTTTTCCTTTTTTTTCATATTCAAAAATATTGTAAATCGAGAGAAAAGGTCAGAGCATCTGTTTCGCTTGTATGCAGTTCTTATTTCGTGCAATGATGGTGCTGCTTTATCGTAAAAGTTGACAAATGTTTGTCGCTCTCCAGTCTCTGATAACCTTTCTGTCGCAAATTTCCTACAGTATTGTTTAATATTATAAAACAATACGGCATATTATTGTTTCATCGATCGAATAATCACCTTACATCCGTGAACAAATATTACTGACATTATCAATGATATTTATGTGTCTCAATATTGTGAATCGTTCGATTCAGCCAGCGTAGTGCAATCATGAAAATTATAATTTAATGACTGAGCAAGTTTCGACGATGAAAGTTATAGGTGATTAAACCTATATCCGTAATGAATGTTTCAGTTGTCTCGATTCTCGGAAACACTAAAAATACATACACCTGTCTACGGTACGCATCTATTCATTTTTCTCTTTGAGAATCTGTCACTTTTATCGTTCGTAAAAAGCTATTGAGTGGGAAATAAAGTATTTATTTTCATGAGAACCAAAGACGAGAGTTGTGAAAATTTAGCTACTGTTACACTTTTTTAAATAATTGTGTCGAAATTTACGATATAATTCCTTGCAAATGTGGAACGCATCTGTCATTTTTCTCTTTGAGAATCTTGTCGCGTCAACATTCGTAAAAGGTTAACGAGTGGAAAATAAAATATTCTTTCACCGATAGCACAGACAAGAGATTGCGGAAATGCAAACTATGTTACAATTTTAACTATTACTACGTAATGTAAAGTTGACACGTGCTGTTGTGCATATTTAAATACAGCACTGTACAAGACATGTACGCGTGTTAGTAGGCGTTTATGATAGATTGTGTGAGTGAACGCAAATCGATAAATTATAACGTGTCAACGTGTATATCCGACGACACGTTTTCAAAATGTAACCAATAATACGTGTTCACGGACATATAATGCACGCTTCGATGCAACTTGTTATGACGTCGATGTTGACGCAAGATAGACACTATTACATATAAGATGTTTGAAATGTTTTCAGAAGCCTAGTTGAAGTTCATTTGGGAACATCACGCCGGTAGTAAGCGGGTAGTTGACTCATTTTATTGAAAACATTTCAACATTGTCGACGCTTTTCGACCTTAACATTATTAATCGAAACGTACGTACTATTGACACGAATTTATTAATTCAAAAATAACATGAATTTTAAATGCGGTCGAAAAGCGTCGAAGAGGAAAATTATGGAGTGTAGAGTGCTGTAAACTCACGTTTCAAGTTCACTGGTTCTGTTTCGTCATCGTTGGGCCAGATGAAAGGGTATTGTTGACCATGTTTCAGATGATTTGTAGCAGTAATGCCCTCGTCGGAGGAGGAAAGTCAGTGGCTCGTTGGCAGCGGGGGTGGTCTTGCATCTTCCGGCGGTGGTGCGATATCCGGTACTGGAGAACGTACATTGAACACTAGAGGAGGATTATACACTGAAGAGATGACGACTCAACAGACGAACGCAAACACTGCAGGTGTGAACGCGGCTTCAGCCGATTCTGCTGAGCACGATTTGATCGACTCCACCGCGGATGCAACACTTTTAGCACAATTTCACGAGGACGCTATCAATCAGGTTCGTTTTTCCGTTTATATATTTTAAGGAGATTAGTGGATTAACCGATTTGTTAAAATTGTAATTACCATGATCTAGTTATCTGAACGAATATTTTGAATAATATGAATATATTTCTTACACTTTTACACTCAGAAAACCATTGTGAAAACAAAAGAATATTCTACTACGTCCACCCCTTTCGAAAGACTCCTACGCAACTGCAATTTGAATTGTTACTCTTACACTATTGCGATTCTCGAAAGATATCGAAGATCGATATCGATCGATGATCTTCGAGACAGTGCTGAAGTGTGAACCAATGAGTTTCTACAAATTTGAAATCTGTATTTACATTGGCTACTGTTATTCTTTTCGACGTATCGAAATGAACTATATTGAACTTTGATCGATTATATGCAAAACATAACCTACAGTCAATGGCGTCCTTTTTGGTCAAGTTATTTTTTAGCATTTAATAATTTTATCACTGCCAGTGTTAATATTTTATTCATCCAAAAATGGACGAAGTTTTAGACGAATCAATCGTGAAAAATAAATACGAGTCGCGAGAGATACCTAATTATCTCAATGATTTTCCAGTAAATAGTTTTCCATTCTCTAATTTTCTTTGAGGTTAAATTTGTTGGTTCAAATAAATCTTGAATGAATCAAAAGTGGCATATAACTAGATCGTATTTATATGTCGGCTGAGTGTAATAAATCGTTGAATCGTTAAATATGTTTCAGGCTGGAGTTGGTTACTTCCAAATATTAGCTGCTCTATGTACAGGCTTGAGTCTCGCAGCAGATACTGTTGAATTTTTTGTTGTACCATATATTTTGCCAAGTGCAGAAGTTGAATTATGCATTGAGGACAATGAAAAAGGATGGCTCAGTTAGTTGCTTTTAATATACTTAATTGCATATTTGTTTTTAAATAATTGTTTTATATTATTGTATTATAGGTAATATTACTCTGATGGGGCTGGCATTAGGTGGATTGTTTTGGGGTGGTTTAGGAGATAGAATTGGACGACGCAGATCATTATTATCTGCAATGTCTGTTCATTGTTTATTTAGTAGTGTTGCTACTTTTATGCCAACTTATGGCACATTTATGACTGCTAGATTTTGCTCTGCAATTGGGTAAGAAACTTCTTTCCTTTTTTGTTTTGCACTTCCTAGATATATCATTCAAATGCATGCAAAGTAAATATGTATATAAAAATTACAGAGTGGGAGGAACTTTACCATTGGCATTTACGTATCTTGCGGAATGTTGCCCAAGATTACGCAGAAGTAGATGGGTTGGTTTACTTGTTGCGGCAGGAGCATTAGGAGGCGTATATGCAGCTCTTTTAGCATGGGTAGTTGTTCCTACAACTGGGGAAATGGTTGTTTTGGAAAATAAAGAACATTTCAGTGCTTGGCATCGCTTCCTTTTACTTTGCAGCCTGCCTGCATTATGTTCTACAGCTGGACTCATCTTTTTACCAGAAAGTCCAAGATACTTAGTTGAAGTAGGCAGAGATGTAGAAGCAATGATGGTTTATCAGGTATCTTTTATAATTATATTTATATCTGTAATTTAAGGGGCAAGGTTCCTTTATAAATTAATGTATTTTTGTAGAAAATATATAAAAAAAATAATGCACGAAAAGGTGCAACAGGTGCACAATATCAACTTTCTGAATTAGAGCTTCCTACTAAGAGGCCTCGTGGTTTGGCACCTCCATCTCCTACTAATCATACTAGTGTTTTGGCTGATATAATTTATTCAATTGAAATGGTAAGGAGTAAAGAATGGCCGTCGATATGACATCTCAACATAAATATTTAACTATTATTGAAATTTTAGTTTTGGAATTCTTTCTTGGAACTGTTTGTATCACCGCACTTGCGCGTTACGGTAGTGCTTATAATTATTTGGTCGACCGTATCGTTTGGGTATGTATTTCTCTGAAGCATTTTATTAGTTTATACTATTACTATATAATCCTTGCATCCTCTTTCAGACTGTATGGTCTCATGATATGGTGTCCTGAATATCTAAAACTTTTACGCGCTACAGAGTATAAAGCTCACACTGTACATATTTCTGGAAAAGAATATAAAGGACAAACATTTAGCGGATCTATAGAGAATTGTCAATACAAAGATTCAACTTTTTTGAACTGCAAGTAAGTGGATGTGTATTAAAAGCCACACAAAATAACATAAGATTAGTTTATATTAAAGTTGTATGTTTTCAGATTCACAAAAATGGTCTTTAGTCATGTAGATTTCGATAATTGTACTTTCCAATCAGTAGAATTTAGTAGTATAAAGTCGAGTAAAACTCATTTTACAGACAGCATTATCGTATACTCGAAGTATGTATATAGAACAGTAATTTCCACTAACATTTTTTCTTAAATGCAGATTGTATCCTTGTGATTTATTGTTCACAGATTTGTGGATACGGATTTATCTGCACAGGTTTTTACGAATTGTAAACTGGAAAATAATACGGAATTAAGTTTAAGTGGACCCTGTCCGACTCTTGATTTGGATTACAATATTTATATAGAAGAAGCACTACATGGTCATCTTGTTGCTCAACTGGCTTTTGTGCCTGCTGCTGCTTTAGCAGGATTGGCACTCACTGTACTTCAGCGGCCAAAAATGATTGGTATTTCGTTATTTTCATCTTCTGTAGCTGCCCTGTGTTTGATTCTAGTAGGCTCAAATAGTTCAGCGGTACTTGGCTTCGAAGGCGGTTTTATAGCAGTTTTTGCTATTGCTTGGACATCGCTTACATTGGTTACGATTGAGAGCTTCCCTACGCATTTAAGGTAAATTAAATCATTATAACATTACTATAATCTATATCAAAAAATATATAAGTGCAATTTATAAGTGAATGCAAAATATAATAATGAATACATTGATTTTTCATAGGTGTACTGGTTTTGGTTTTATAGCGGCAGCTATAAGAATATGTGGTTTAATAGGAACAACAACTTATAAAACTTTAGTTGGCGCACCTTTAATTGCGCCTGCACTACTAACTGCATTACCTTTGGTAGTAGCCAGCGTTGTAACATTCAAGTTACCCCACACTCATACGGTTTTCTTATAAAGATATTCCGAGTAAGTGATAAAAAGGAGCAAAGTTGTTGCAAAAAGACGTTTTCAATTTATATTTTAATGGGTCATTTATGAGCTGTGCTAATCTTTTTACTCAATAGTTTTATGACGCGAAAAGTCTTAAGATACGTTTTGACGATCGTGGAATCGATTTTTATAACAAAAAAGGGTTGAATGAAAATTATAAGTGGTGTTCTGGACAAGTGCGAATTTTCAAATTTGCAAATTAGACAAAGATACGTTACATTTTCCGTTGGAAGTGTAACTTCATACAAAGTGGATTATACTAAACCGGTGCATGAGATGATGAGCCGTGAAGAATTTGAGAATTTAAAGCGCACAGAGATTAAAGTGTAATCGTCTGATACGCTAGAATATGGAATTTCTACAAGATTTTAATACACAAGTTTCAAGCGTCAACGAAATTCGTCATTATTAGCAGACAAATTTTAGAACAGACGAAAGACGTACAGAAATCCAATGTTTAAGTCAAATTATGGAAATTTTATGACTTAAAGGTTTTATCCCATCTAACTACAACTTCGAATATAAGAGTCAATATACGACTCGTCCTCCATGGAGAAAAGTTGCAAAATACATATACATGTTTGTAATGCTATTTTAATAGGATAATGGCAGTGAAGAGTGTCAATTTTAATGGATGTTGAATGGATGATCATTATCATCCATATAATACGGTGTCTTACGGTGTTAAGACAAGAAAATGACTAAAACTCTGAGAAACCTTGTTTATTGAAAAAGCATTTGAACATCCGAGATAGAATACGTGGAATGTTGTCTATAGTGCTTAGATGTTTTTTTCTGTTCATAATTAATCTAGAAAAGTTACGCATGATCCTAAAATTACTACATTTCAAGCAGATCGATGAAAAAAGTTTGCCAAGGACAGTATCATAGAAACTTTTGTATCTACAAATGCTATGAATGCTTTTGCAAGAAAAATCAAGTACATGTTCTAAAGAAATAAATAGGGATACCCCGAATCGAGTTATAGTATGCTGTTTGTACTGCAAGACGAAAGTAAATCAGTAAAAATATATTTATTATTTTTGCTTTTTAACGATTAACTAGCTTGCAATTCGCTCTAGATACTAGACTCCGATAATCAAGAGGCATTATCCGTGTAATAAGAAATGTAAATGCTGCCGTATAAATCCTAAATTTCCAGCTTAAGATTTGGAATCGAAAAATGGAAGCATACGCTTCAACGTTTATTATAAATCTAAGAGATTATCGCCTCTAGTCAAGTTTTGATCATCTTTAAGCTTACAATGCGATAAATTTTAAAAATGCGTTAAACTTTCTAATACTTATAATGACGTAGGAAGTTATTTTCTACAAGATCAAGACGAAAGATCGCATTGTCATTTTATTGTAAAAATCGCTATTACATTTATGAAAATTATGCCAGAATTTTACTGTCGTTGTGAGTCAAGAAAAACATCATGATGGCATGCCAAAGTTGGAAAAAAGTACTGGTTCCTCAGAACAAATAACTATTTCTAGGCAATAAGAACGTAAAGTAAGTTTTACGACATGATTATTGAAATATCTCATAAGTTTTACGACATGATTATTGACATATCTCATTCTTATTAAAACTTAAAATATATTACTAAGTATTTAAGCAAATTTCTTAGTCAAGTAAAAGAAGAAAACAAACTGCTGTTGGCAAACTTAAACACATAAAAATCTACGTCCCATGGTTAGTGAATTTTTCATATCCAGTTGTTGGCAGCTAGTTAAGAAAAAGATATTAGTCTTATAAACCAAGTTCTATGTGTCATTTGAAAGAAGTAGAAACGAGTCCAAAAATTTTATCGATTGCATGAATTTTTTTTGTATGATTCGGTCTCTTTTTTTATTATACATACTAATAGTGATTATTTCTTTGATGAGCAAATGTTACTTGTTTCTACTTCCACGAACTTTGAACTTGGTAGTGAAACAAGCCTGTGCTGGCGTTATATTTAAGAATCATAATGAGCAACTATTGTCAACAGAGGCAAGTCGAAATTTTGATTAAAATAAAATCCTTATTTCAGTTTTACTTGGAATCGGGACCACAAAATAGCAACTCATGTAATATGTACTTAATTGGAACACAGAAAAGGATTTACTGTTCGCATATTTCCGTTGATTGGTCAAGCAATTTTTAATGAAATTTTGGTTTGGTCGCCGGCACATGTAGTTCCACAATTAGTGAATCGTTGCTACAGCATTAAAATCATTGTCGCTCGTAGATAATATACTTTACTCGACATATCACTTATGAGCAAGCACTCTAGATTGGTAGGATTTAATTAGACTATTGATTAAACATGCATAGAGATATGTACCAGGAATCATAAGAAGGTAAAGTCCCAAATCAGTAAAATAGAAGTGTGTGTGTGTGCAGACAAACCACTTAGTTATCAATACCAGTTACAGAGCTTTTTGTTAATACTATAAACTCAACTAATCGAACATGATAAATACTTTGGTTGTACACGGATTGATTATCAGCGGATCGAGGAATAAAAACGTAGTAGATAAATAATACTATAACAAAATACTCAAAGAAATTTGTGGATTGACACTTCGTGCAATATTATATTTGTAAGTGTAAACATTATTTTTATGTCGAGGATCTAGTGCACAAATATACGAGATCCTCATTTTCTGTTATTAAAAACTGACTGTATGCAATTGCTCAGATTATTCAAAATAATTAGGCGAATATTCAGACGTTTTAATATTTAGAAAGGTATGTAGAAAAGTAATGAAAACATCCTAATTATTTTGCGTAATATCTTTTATATAGACTGAAGATACAGATTGGTTGATAATCACCGTGTTTTTTTATAGAGACTGCTTTCTAACGCTTAAATCTGTAAACTTTTCCTCCGAGAACAGGAACACATTACTTGGTGATAGTAAGAATGAATATGCAAATAACTAATTTCTTGAAGATTTCTGGTTGCACTTTTTGTTAAACAATGAGATTTTACTATAGTTATTATTTGATTCCTATTTAAAATAGAAAGTTATAGATACCATATTCACATGCAATACTTTAATATCTGCCACATTAAATTGAGCAGATTTATGATTGATCCATCTTTTGTATTTAAAACAAAGAGCTATTCATTACATTATGCAACCAGTACTTAACAAGAAACTAAATAAAATTATTTGTTAATATAATATATTAGTGAAAAACATTACATATTCCTGTAATTGGTTTGAAAAATTAATAAGGGTATTATATTAATGCTTAGAATATTGAGTCCATTTTATAGAAAACATTGATCATAAGATAGTAGAAACATAATATCAAGAAGACTTTATCTGAAACATTTATTTTATGATTTAATTAAAAGTGAATTTTATTTTTATTTACTATTTAAAAGAATGTGGTCCACCTTTCTTTTTGTTATGTTTTTTTTATACATGAAAGGAACAATCAAGTTTCATATAATGCTTAGAACATTAGAAGCAACAAGTACATAGCTGAATAAAATTACGCTTTTAAGATTGTTCTTCAAATGTAATGGACTTTGTTTTTTAAATATCTTTTTTCCGAGGGACCTAGAATAAAAAAAGAGAACGGTTTGACATTTCGAGCAAAATACGTACGTAAACAATGGATTGGTTAATTTGTATTATAGCAATACGTATGTAAAAATTGTTAAAACGATTGCGATTATAGTTTTAGATGTGTGTTTATCTTGCAATACTTTTAGATCTTTATTCTATAACAAAATCTGTATATAATTTGTAAGGAAAATCTGCAAGCTCTTGCAAGTTTTATAGCAATATGTAGTAACTTATTCGTAATATTAATTGTCATACTGTTGTTAATGTCGTACACTGATATTCTCAACAAAAATCAATCTCTCGAAAAGTTATTTGAAATTTTATCTAGAATATCGCAAAAGCCAGATAATTTCGAGAGTTTTTAAGCATTCTGTTTTATAACATCGACAAGCATAGAAAAATTTAGGGTCAATTAAAAGAAAATGCTCTGTTAAATAACGAGATTAAAAAAAACTGTAATACGTCGCTGTGAACAGTTGTAATTTGAGAACGGACATGAATGACCTGCATAGATACTATGTACTTTCCAATTTCGTATTTTTATTCCATCCTGATGATACGATTAATTGGAAAATCTATAATCGTGATATTTTTTTATATGTTTACTCTTTTATATTAGCAAACTATGTGTTTTAGACGATTTAATTACCTATGATCACTTATTTGTATTCAGTGACACATTATACTTTAAATACTTTTCGTATCGTTGTGATTAAGAACGGGAAATTAATTTTTTCGTGTATTTCATTCAAGTATACAAAGATAACTTTAACGGCAGTTGATTGCAGATGTAACGAACATTTAAGCTAAATAACAGAATGTACCAGTGGAATAAACAAGATAAATTTATTATGTCTAAAACGTGCCTCATTTAATAACCCAATAAACTTTTTAAATATTGGCGGGGAATCGTAACATAGTTTCCCGCCATTTTTTTCGACGGATAAAGAAGAATTGTCGCGTCGATAAAAAGAACAAATATTTTTCATTATCGATCGCACTCTTTAAAGGAAACTATTTATCGGTCAACTCTGAACAACAATTTCCTAATTTCCTCGTAAAACGTACAAGGAGAAGTCCGCTTGTAGTTCGATGATTCATCAGTAAATATATTAAATACGTAATTTTTAATCAGGTATGAATATTTTCCTGTATAATCAATAATATTTACACGGTAATATCTAATACTTAATAATTGTGAATACGTTAGATAATCGTCACTAGAAATCGAATGATTCATCACGTAAATATACAGGTCCGGTCGTACGAAACAATGTCATGTATATCTACAATATCCTCTCGATTCTTCTAACCCATAATTGACCTTGAGCTTGACCTTGGATGTGTTCTCGACCTACGAAGACGAACGTGTCGAACGAGCCCTGACCTAACCTATTCTAGGCTATGTCTCCGTTCTCCGTATACAGACAAAGCCTAGGAGAGGCTAAATCAAGTTACTCCGTTTCGTAGAAATTAGTACCACACTGTCATCTTGTAAGTATTTTTTCATTGTAAATTTCATTCATCTCTTTTTCCCTCCAATTAAACGCTACGTACACATAATTTAAAGACGTCGCGTTAGATTGTTTTATGAACAGTTTTCTTTTATTATATGTATGTACATATATACAGTTCCAGTCACTTTTTATTTTTCAACATTTTCAGTCGTTCAGTCTTTTTTTTATCTGTAACACTATCAAACGCACCAATATTGCAATTTTTTAAAATTGTTCTCTACGTCGTAGATACTCGAAAGAACGTAATTTCATATTCAAAACGTGACCAAGCGATGGTCGACGTAAGAAATGAAAGGCAAGTGTGCAACGTAACCAGGCGGTGGAGCAAAAGAAAAAAGAGAGCCAGTTGTGTCGGTACACGCATTTTTTCGAGGAAGTTCTTTTTACGGCAGTGGCCCGCACGGTACAAAGAAAGCGTGTCACGCCTAAAAATACGCGAGGCACGCAGGTAGATGTGAAAAGGTCGTAGGGGCCGGGAAGAAATAAAAAAAGAGGAAGAAAAAACAGAAAAAGAAGGCAAAGGAATTGCACAAGAGCAGTGATTTGGTATTCAAATCGCTAGGCATGTTCCCGCCTCTCTCGCGGCACAGGTCCTCCTCCCGTAGCAGTTATACGAAGGTCTCCTTTTCGTTTAAGTGTTTTCTCTTCTTGTTCTTCCTCCTTCTTCTCCTTGTGCTTCTCCTCGTCATCCTTTTCAACTACTTCTTAACACCGAATCTTTTCCGTCGTGACGCACTTTTTGCTCAATCAACTGCCATTGTTTTATGTTAAATTATGTCTTCCTACATTATCGCTCTTCGTCGCAATCCTTGATTTTTTCTTTAAGTTGTACATTTAAACACAGGGAGAAACAAAATTTAATCGATCACTTAGATTATGGTCAGGCAATTTTTGCATTCGTTTGCTCGCACTAACGACGAATTACTTCACTTACAGAGAAACGCGTATGCACATAGTTCTACAGCCTTCCTCGAGAAATTTCAACGCGGCCACTGGCAGCAGAGGCGTGGAGACTTCAACGACTGCACGTGCGATATCCGAGTGGCGCGGTTACATAAACGAAACCATCGAGAGAGGCTAGTGATTTCGTATTTCCGAGTTGCTCGCTTTCTCTCTCGTAGCTACGAAACGAAGTCGTCGTTTTATCGCCCAAGAAAAGAACGAGCTCTACTCAACTCCTTGCTTCGTCACGATCGCTGAACCGGATCCTGAGCGTTCACCAAGGGAAAACCGTATCAGATCAATGTCACCGTTTACCTAGAACGAGCTGTTTATGTCCGCTCACCATTCGGTAAGCTCGTAACTATTAACGCGTCGACTCCACTTCGGCAACCATCAAATTTATCGCGCGTATTCAGTATTTATAGAATCCAACAGAGTCATCGTTTTGCCATGGAATCTTCGTCAAGGAGGATCGAGTCACGATACCAAATATCAGCCGCGCATGTCGTCACACCTCACTGGATGGCAATCTTCGTCACAGGAGAAGCACGCGAAACTTGAAGATAACCGCGCGACAAAGTCGTCAGGATGGCACCGAAATCACGTGTTTGCCGAAAAAAGCAAAGTGCAAGAAGCGAATAACGAAGTCGGCGATCGGTATACGTGGCACCGGATTGGCTGCCGGTAGCATACCTCGACGACACGCACGGTGTGCGCGCACATCGGCAACCTGTGCACCCACTAACCACTAACCGCCGAACCACGGGAGGCTAAGGTGTGCGCGCGCCAGGATAATATATGTATCTACGTGCGTTAACCACGTGAGAGCGGCCAGCATCTTTCCACGGGCCCCTCTGGTGGGGACTTAACCTCTGGACTGCTCTCTCTGTCTCTCCCTTCCCCTATTTTTCTGTCTTTCTCTTATGCGAACCTTGAATTCCCGGGAAATTTGCTGAAACCTTCGTATCAACGAATTTCAACGTTCGAGTTTTCATTTGGTCAAAGAGGCAGAAAATAGAAACGATTTGGATTTAATTTTCTTCCGGATGATCTACTAACTAAACGAAAGGCAATCGTGTTTCCAAATTATAATTTTATTATCCTCAACTCGTCGATTTATAAACGAAGATTTTATTTTCTTAAAGAGTTGAGACCGCGGTTGATGACGAATTTATTTCGACGTAGTTAATTTCCGTCGCGCGATTGATATTGTTCTTTTTTTATTTGCGTCATGGTACTGCCATGTACTCGGTATAATAGCACTGATGTATCGTTTGCCAAGGTAGGCGCCTACTTTTTTATTCGCCACCCTATAGACGACGACTTCTCACTCAACATTCTCGGCAATCTCTGATCGACGAGTTTTTATGAAGGTCGTACGAACTACGTGAGCCTACCCACTTACCCAGCTGCATTGCTAATGTACGTGTTTATACTATTTGTGGCTGTGCACGAAAACTGCATCAGCGTTACGTGTGTTCTATATAAAAATGAATTATGTATGATCACAGCAGTCGCAGACAAGTATGATTTTTGCGGTTTTAAAAGATGCGCGTAATTAGCGCGAAATGATGTTAAAAGATCTTATTTGTTCGAAAGTATAAGTTGCATAAAATTCGCATCGTTGAGCATTCATGGTTCAATGGATATATTCTAATGTTCGTGTTACATTAGTATCCTGTTATCGTTCATGTATCCGTTTGCAACTTTTCTACTGGGTGTACGCTTGAACACCATGCGCAATTAAAAGAATATCAAATTTTCTACAAAATGATAGGGATGAAACGAAAGTTGAGCGCCGAACCACGGGAGGCTAAGGTGTGCGCGCGCCAGGATAATATATGTATCTACGTGCGTTAACCACGTGAGAGCGGCCAGCATCTTTCCACGGGCCCCTCTGGTGGGGACTTAACCTCTGGACTGCTCTCTCTGTCTCTCCCTTCCCCTATTTTTCTGTCTTTCTCTTATGCGAACCTTGAATTCCCGGGAAATTTGCTGAAACCTTCGTATCAACGAATTTCAACGTTCGAGTTTTCATTTGGTCAAAGAGGCAGAAAATAGAAACGATTTGGATTTAATTTTCTTCCGGATGATCTACTAACTAAACGAAAGGCAATCGTGTTTCCAAATTATAATTTTATTATCCTCAACTCGTCGATTTATAAACGAAGATTTTATTTTCTTAAAGAGTTGAGACCGCGGTTGATGACGAATTTATTTCGACGTAGTTAATTTCCGTCGCGCGATTGATATTGTTCTTTTTTTATTTGCGTCATGGTACTGCCATGTACTCGGTATAATAGCACTGATGTATCGTTTGCCAAGGTAGGCGCCTACTTTTTTATTCGCCACCCTATAGACGACGACTTCTCACTCAACATTCTCGGCAATCTCTGATCGACGAGTTTTTATGAAGGTCGTACGAACTACGTGAGCCTACCCACTTACCCAGCTGCATTGCTAATGTACGTGTTTATACTATTTGTGGCTGTGCACGAAAACTGCATCAGCGTTACGTGTGTTCTATATAAAAATGAATTATGTATGATCACAGCAGTCGCAGACAAGTATGATTTTTGCGGTTTTAAAAGATGCGCGTAATTAGCGCGAAATGATGTTAAAAGATCTTATTTGTTCGAAAGTATAAGTTGCATAAAATTCGCATCGTTGAGCATTCATGGTTCAATGGATATATTCTAATGTTCGTGTTACATTAGTATCCTGTTATCGTTCATGTATCCGTTTGCAACTTTTCTACTGGGTGTACGCTTGAACACCATGCGCAATTAAAAGAATATCAAATTTTCTACAAAATGATAGGGATGAAACGAAAGTTGAGCGAAGCACGGAACCAAGGTCACCATAACTGCGATGGTATCTCGACGCCTGTGGGTGGTCTATGAGATTTTTTGAAACCGTGACAACCTTCTGAGAACTCTAAACCTTAATATGCATGTTCTACGGCCATATTCAGGGAAGAACAAACATTTTGGTGGGACCATTTATTTTTAATAACAATAAAGAAAATATTAAACGGCTTGCATAATTAATTGAATAATTATATTCGTTCCAGGGATAGCCGTTTCAAACGTTGGAGCATTCGAACAGGTTACGGTGTTTTATCTTTTTGCGTGTAGCAGACCGGCGCGGCGTGCAATCAGCGTGAGGCTTTATTTCGCAATTGGTGGTCAGTATTCCGAATTCTCATTTGCAACTTCGAAGATGAAGATGGCGGCAGACTACGATAATTTATTAACTAGTCTGGCAAGTCAAACCTGTTGGTTCCCTGCGGACGTGTTTTGCTGTTCGTGTCCGAACGCGAAGAACTGGTGTCCTTTGATATCTTTCTACAGAAAATTGTCTCCTTATCCTTCGTCCTTTGGTTTTCACTTACTTCGATTATTCATCGTTCAATGTAGAGTTACTTACAAAAACTACCTTCGTTATCTTCAAAACACTTAGACTAACAATATAGAAACTTGCTCGATACACTGAATATTTGGTAACGTAACATTTCATCCTTTTTAAATAACAATTTTTAGTTATGTGTTCATGCTTAGCAAGAAACACGGCATTGATGGATGTTTTTGTTCTAGAGATGTTTTCGAGGTAAGATCACGATGAAGAAGACGGAAAACAAGTTGCAAAAGCTGTCGAGACGAAAATAGCTTTCCGCAAGTCGTTCGTTCTCAGGTCACGTCCCGATGCGTGTCCCTTAATGTAACAAAAGAGCGTAAGATATAATTTCCAGACGTTTATTTGGATTCCATGGATTCTTCCGTTGTGCTCTCGGCTCTTAACGGTTTGATATTGTGCCGGTACTGTGATTCGCAATGGCGAGCAGCCAGCGGGTAGGAAATTCTCCAACAGTGACGTAAAAAGGTAGCGCTCAGGGGCATTTCTTTAACGCGGCGCCACCCATACGAAGATCCCTTTTATAGCTGTACGAATCAAAACAGACTGGCTTATCTTGCTCGTCCGAGTTTATTTCCTTGCGTTTCTGCAACTTTAATTGGATGCTCGCAGAAGGAGAGGTATTATAAAGGAAAATTATCCTGATGCGAAAGAAACTCGCACAAAATTTATCTGGTAATTGTAACGGAATGATTTTATTTAAGGATGTATCGACTGTAAACGAGTCATGGAAATTGATATGCTTCGATGCTCCAATTAGAACACGGTCCCTGCAGATATGTTAATCTGGCAAAAGCATCTGCATTTAAATCGTGTTTGTCTGAAAGGTTGCTACGTATGCCGGTGACCCTGACATTTACACTGATGCATTTCACGTGTGTTGTTCGTACGTTGAGCACATTAAGTGGTGCTCACATCGACATGCTCTGTCGACAGCGCCGCTTAACAAATGAGTCTGTCTCTCGTATAATATCGCTTGTCTAATTTCAATACGGTCAACAACTACGATATTTTTATATTTTTTCTCCTCGAACACACGGTAATCACCGCAATAAATACTATCGATATGAGCAGACTTATTATCAGAATGCAGTGTAATTCAGAAGCTACAACGTTCCTGCCCGTATTTAATAACGAGGCGCTTTGGAACGAAGAAGAAGAACAAAAAGGAAGAAAAAATGAAATGATCCCCTTGGTGTCGATGTGCTCGTGTTTGCAAATCCCCGTCGGAGTATTGACATCCTCCGGGCGCGTAACAAAAACGAGAGAGAAAACCTGTTTAACGTACAAATATTGAGCAGCTACTAGATTCTTCTTGCGCCTCGTACAACACTCGTGAAAATAACGCGTCAGGCAACGAGTATATTGGCGAGAGATGAGCGGCAAACAATTCAGTACGATGCATACTTTGAAAAGCATTGTCTTGTCATTATTTTCTGTGTCTTGAAAATATCTATTGGCATAACTGGATAGGGACCAGGGTAGGTCTATGGTGACCTAACGCGCAGCGCTGTAACCACACAATATATGGTGATATAACACGTAGGCGAACTAAGATTGGTCTTTTCGCAAAAAATTCTAGGCACGTCAATGGTATTATCTTTCCTTACATATATTCGAGTATGACGTAGGCTTGCTTTAGTCCAAAGGAGATGTAGGAGGAACGTGTAAATCTAGATTCTCTTTGAGAAGTTCCTAAATAGAAGATAAACGGTAGACTGCATCTCTTTCGTTCATAACCAAGGCCTGCATTGTACGTCGAATGTAACTGTACTTTAGCCAAACTGCCTCACGCTTTAACTTTTGTCAATTTTTTCTTCTAAGGAAGTGGATCATCCGACAGATCGAATCGAACGATTGGTCGTTGAAATGAAATGCAAATAGTCTGTACAGTGGACGCTGATGTAAAATATGTTTGGAAAGAACACCCTGTGCTGCTGCAATCTTCTTTCAAGCGATAAGATCGAACGTCTAAAAATAAACGGTTCATACGCACCATACGTGAACGGCTACGTACGAACGACATGGGTACCAAAAATTTACGACAGCCTACGGTACCAGGATTTTATTAAGATTGGCGCCTCGAGGAATGCAAGTTTAACGGGCCGTCGTGGCCCAACCTTCTTCTTCTTCTTCTTCCTTCTTCTCCTTCTCGACAAGCTTCTTCCCGATTCGTTTGCTCGCACTTGCGTGTACTTACACGCTGATGCCGATCGTTTTGCATCTGAATCAAACAAAAAAGAAAACGTCACTGTTTCGATAAAGCAAAAAGTATTTCATGGTGAATTCAGCTACAAAGAAAAGATTCAAAGATTATGATAAGCGAAACAAAAAACGATCGTGCGAGATAAATTTATACTTGTACTCCGCGAGATGTACTTTCGAATGTACAATGAGTTTTAGAGAAGCGATTTAATTGTTCCTGCTACGCTGGTCGCTCGATTAATCAACTGTATCGTTACTTGCAGGATTTCCCGTGGATACGTCGAGTATCGGGTAACAACGCTGAGACCTTCGACGATCGTAGATGAAGCGTGAAGATGTATAAACTGCATTGTCGAAGGTTGTCCAGCAAGGTCGCGAGCTCCTTTATATATAGATGATTGCAGAACAAAGATGAACGAAATGCAAGAATAAAGAAATTTCACCATTTTCCGATTTATGTCTTCTTTTAACTTTTAACATACTGTTAGAAAAGGTAAACGAATTAAGAATTGAATATTTTATCTCGGAATAATTTTCAAGTGCAATCCCTGCCATAAAGAGAATTCGAGAACTGTTCGCTTCTGAAAGAAAATTATTTTACAGAAATCCTGGATAAAGCAAAAATTCAATCATCAGCGGAGGTGTGTCTAAGTGCAACAGAAGAAACCGCAGTCCTTTCCGTTACTTATGTTGAGTCAATTCGCTTGGTGAATCCTAGCGAACTCGACCACGGTACTCGCGAGCTCATAAACGTGGGCGTGAACTTTTCAATAAAGCCTGTCCCTCGCAGATGCTTGAACGCGTGTATCGGGATCAATGACACGCCCGCAGATTCTCGAGGTATCCTCTACGAAGGTACGTAGAGGCATCCTGTAGAATTCCAACCACCTTCCTCGACTTCACAGCAGGACCTACTGGTTTCTATTTATATACCGCGCGAGACCTTGTAGCTTAGAGCTCTCGCGTTTACGGACTCGGTTCCGGACCTGTTCAAAGCGCTGTCGCGACTTGAGCATTGTCACGAAATGATAGTTTATATCAATTCAAATAATTATATCAATTATTTTGAATTCATATTATATATACATGAATACATATTAAGAAAAATTATAGTTTCTTATCTACATTTTCTTTTTAATAGTTTTTTATACACTCTAGACATAGTGGAAAGTTTAAGTGATTAAGAAAATAACTCATAGATTCTAGAATATTTATTCAAACATATTAACACTTCTTTTGTCAAAGATTATTATACTAGAACAAAATACAAACCTAATTTTGCATGGGAGTAATTATCAGTAGGCTTTCGAAATTTCTAAAAGTATAATGTCGTGATAGGCATCAATTTCCAAAAGTGAATGTGAAAATAGTTTAAAATTCTATACAGCTACAAAACACTGTAGCCATCTATGAATAGGTGTGTAAACTAATTGGGGCGCTTTTAAGAAAAATTGTTTTGACCACATTATTACTGTAATATTCTTTATGTATATATATTTTTATATGCATCCATTTATGTTACAAAATATTATTTAGAAAAATAAAATAAGTAAATTTTGTTTGAGGTCCAATCAATTTATTTCCGCAACTTGTCAACAGGTGACACGACCTGTACATTTTCAGCTATTCAAAAAAGAAATGTTTTCTGTAAATACAAAAAAAATTATACATTTTCAAAACAGTAATAAATCTATGATTCTTTTCTGTCGAATCACAATTATAAGCATTTGTTTCTGTTCCAGTTAAAGTGAATATAAACTGAATGTATAATTTGACAAAAATATGATAACCAGTCCTTAGTCGCTAGTGTTTGCCGTGTATGCGCACCTGAAACTTGTTCTGATAAAATTCGTTTGTTTTTTACTAAAAATTCCAATAATATTGTGGAAAATATGGCTGAGAGAATATCAGAAATTTTTAATGCGTTTCAGGATTATTTAAATAATGAAGAAGAATTACGTGAGGTGTGTTGTGACAATTTGTTATCAATTTATTTTTTAGTACATGTCCAGATAATGATAATACCAAGCAATTGTAATACCATTTAAATAGAAATTTATTATAAACACTTAAAACGTTGTTTAATACTTAAATTTAGAATTTATTAATTTCTTAATATACATGAAATATCGTTATGTTATGTTATTGTATTAAGATACATTATTGTTTTTAGGTTAGAATATTTTGACAAACTGTCATTTAACCATTTTTAAACTATTAAATTAAGTTATAATGTTATAATATATTTTGACAATTAAATATTTTTAAAGTATTGTTAATATTAATATTTTATTTTGCTGAAGGAAATCCGTGCCGTTGTAAAAGATCTTGACAAGAGTGCCAGAGACATTCTTATGATATTACAAAATATTCACAGTGAAAATAATATGGAAGAAAACATAAGTATGTGTTTTAATTGAATTTATTAAGTATTAAGATACTTACCTATTTTTATTTGCAGTAGTATCACAATATTGTGCAAGTGCAAGAGAATTATTCAAAGATGTACGCATAAAATATTCAAAACTTGCATTAGTTGTACCAAAAGAACAATATTATAGATTTCATGATCAGTGGCGATTTGTTACACAGAAATTGTGTTTTTTAGCTTCTTTAATAATATATTTAGAAATTAAAGTATTAGTTACCAAAGAGACTGTCGCAGAAATGTTAGGAGGTACATTATTTGTCAGAAACATATTAAACTCAATATTATATTTGTATTAGTTTATACATTGAATTTACATTGTTTATATAGTTAAAGATAACAGAGAAGATGGTTTTCATTTGAACCTAGAAGATTACTTAATGGGTTTGTTGCAATTATCTGCAGAATTGGTATGTACCTCTAATATTCTAATTGTACCAGCAATTATCATTACTCATTAAGCATTATATTTCAGAGTCGTTTTGCTATAAATAGCGTTACTAATGGTGATTACAATCGACCTATAGAAATAGCCAGATTTGTGAGTGAACTAAATGCAGGCTTTAGACTTTTACAATTGAAAAATGATTCCTTAAGAAAACGCTTTGATGGCTTAAAATATGCTGTTAAAAAGGTAGAAGAAGTGGTTTATGATCTTAGTATACGAGGTTTAAAACCATCTTCAAATTTGGTAACACAAGAAACAGAGTAACTATTTTTTAAGTTTTATAAAAATAATAATATATATATATATGTATATATTATCACATATAATATATTACTGAAACAGTTATGTTTATATTATTTAAACTCTATAAAATATTATACTTACATATTTTTATATTAATTTCTATAACTTTTGATAATTTTGAGCAAAAAAATTCTTCTACATTATAGGCACCAGATATTCCTAAAATATGTGATGATATAGTAACCTACACACAAATTTTAATTAATCAGAATTAAATTATATTGATTTTAAGTAGTAACATTATAAACTTACGGCAGTTCTTCTAGAACATCCAAACTCCTGAAATTTACTGTTTGCATAAAACTATTATTAAATATATTTTTTTGATAATTGTACCTCAATTAATACTGATAAAGACACTGCCATAATTTTTACAATTTTCTAATACATTTCCACATAATAAACGTAAAATTTCTTAATTTTTCTAATGCATCACTGTTATCTGAAACAGAAAATCAATAATCAAATAAATTAAAAGTACATTTACATTGTTATAAATTTAAACTGAGTGGTTTTCCACCAAAATGTAAACATTCGATGCATAAATTCAGTGTTTAGCGTACTACAACGGTAGTAGTAATTCGCCTCGATACAGACTCATTGCGATAATTCTTGTGATCCGAAGAAATTCAAATTTCACAAATATAGGAAAAAGTGAATATAATAAACAATAGCTAACAAACCGTCAAATACTGTTAAATTTGGAAGTTATATTCGAATACGGTAAGATAACCTAGAAACCACGGATAGAATTGAAACTTCATGCGCCATGTCGATACGCGGGAACATTATCTTACTTCAATAAGAGGATGCTGTAACTAAATGTAACGACTGTCATTTTCATCAATTTGAAACTGTCATAATAAAAAATTTGACCTTTCGTAGTTGAGTTCGACATGTTGCATCAATTTATCTAACCTTTGATCTTACATTTGATTTTACATACACTACTATCAGTTACATTCTTTTCGTTCGTATTACTTCGTTTATCTTTCTTTTTTCATTGATAATTCTAATTTACTTATACTGTAATTATATTCGCTCAATTAGTTTTATTTTAACAGATAAATATGCTGTCTAACAAAATTATAATCGTAACTTTCTGTATTAGTAGATCATAAATTCCTTAAAAAAGTTTTGATTATAATAATATATTTTTAATACTAAAATTGTAAAACAAACAAATAAAACTCATGACTTTAAACGAAATAAATATAATTACAAATTTTTTTCGCGCAAGTAATTTGAAAATTTAAACTATATGCATCCTCATAGGTGTAGCGCATGCGCAAATCGAAGGTATTTAAAAATACAAACAAGAATATACACATTATGGTAATAACACTATTACGTTGTAATTTGTTGGTGATTACTCAGCTTTAAATTTTATTATTTTTCAAAATATTATAACTGAATGATTGTAAATATAAATCGCAGTTACTGTTTCCTCGAACCAGTACTTTGACAGATACAGTAAAAAAATATCAACCTATAAATGTATAAAAAAATACTAAATATATTTTTTATAACAAAATTATTATTTTTCATTGCTGATATATTAAAAATGTTTCCAAATTTTTATTAACGCATATGGTGTATGTATATCTTTAGTCAAAACAATTTGTAAGAGGTTAATGGAAACCCCACCAATCTGAACGCCACTTTACATGATGCAGCATGAATTGCATTTTCCTTAAAAATTATCGAACTCTATTGCAATGTTTTATTTGACTACTGTTATAACATTGTTAAATGTTTAAGAAAAGCTGAAAATTAGTTTTGAAATATATATAAAACAAGAGGGTAGTGTGAACAAGGCTTGTCCAAAGTGTAACTCCAAGCGTCCAATAGACGGTCGCAGATTGACCGGTGGCGGCAGCGAGCCGATTCCCGCGCGGCGCACGTCGCATCACGGAACTGCTCGAGCTGAACGTGTTAAATGGCTGTGCGTCGGCCATGATGGCTTTGAGCAGGGACCGTGTCACGCAAACATGTTTTCAAAGTGATATATCTCGTTTGGTGACTGAGTGACCGTGTTCCAGCGCGATGGCCGGAGAACGATGAGGCCCTGAGCGCTCTCTGTGCCGGGTATTACGGCCGCAGGGCCCCCAGCCAGGCCCAGTCAGGTTCACGTTCCCCAAGTCCGAGGCCCGAGCCGACCCGACTGGCCTCACGGTTCGACACCAGCCAACTCGGTTGTCAACACGCGAGCCAGCCGCCTCAGGATGAGCAAGCTGTCGTTCAGGGCCCGCGCCCTGGACGCTTCCAAGCCCATGCCAATTTATATGGCCGAAGAATTGCCGGATCTACCAGATTATTCGGCCATTAACCGTGCTGTGCCCCAAATGCCCAGCGGCATGGAAAAGGAGGAGGAATGTGTAAGTCGAACGTTCAGCCTTCTTCCAGCATGTTTTCCCTGTCCGCCATCTTACCCTCAAGCGCATCTTCGTAAACAACCGGCAGATGGCACTCTATTTACTATTATTATGTACAGAAATTTTGTATTTTTATTGTTAAACGTAATTGGTAGTAATGTTTATTACATTAAATTTATTCTTTAAGTATAAGTGCACTTTGTTAAGTTAATATTAACAGCTGTCAACTCTTTGTTTCATAGTTATAACAGAATTAAGATAGGTGTTCCAACGTTAATGTTCGACATAGAATTCTTCATTTGTGAATGCTCTAGACTTTTTTGTAGCCTTCTATAGTATATGCGAATGTTTATGATAGTTTTTATTAAAGAATTTGATCCATTTCTGTATTAATTGATATGTAAACATTGATTATTCCATGCTGCGTTACATATGTGTTCAATGATAGAGTTCAAATACTGTTTATGAAAAACAGCTAATATAACATTATAAATCAAGAATTATGACAATATTCAATATTATTTTGTACTTTTGGTACATGCTTTTAATACTTTGCATATTATTGTCAAGAATAACTATATTTGTATATTAATTATTGATGGAAATTATAACAAACTGTGCTGTTTTTATATCTTTTAACGTGTTTGCCATGTATATCATTTATATAAAATATACAATTAAGTATTCTTCAACAAGAATATTATTAGCATGTTTCTTTATGCTACTTTCTTTCACGATAAAATGTAATTCATATTACTTATGATTCTTTATTTAGGAACATCACTTGCAAAGAGCAATATGTACAGGTCTAATCATTCCTACCCCAGAAGTAACTGACTTGACAGATGTAGAAGCTTATGACAAAATCTATCCAGCTGATTATAAGCTACCTCGTCAGCTTATACATATGCAACGTAAGTTAATGTTATAAAAAATTGGTATTTAACATATATTGTGATGCGATTAAGAACTTTATTAATTTCTCCTTTCTTTTCAAAGCTTTTGCAATGGAGCAAGATATTCCAGATTATGATATGGATTCAGAAGATGAAAAATGGGTTGCGGTGCAGAGCCGTAAGATGGACTTAACTCCTCTCCAATTTGAACCAGCCAACTCGGTTGTCAACACGCGAGCCAGCCGCCTCAGGATGAGCAAGCTGTCGTTCAGGGCCCGCGCCCTGGACGCTTCCAAGCCCATGCCAATTTATATGGCCGAAGAATTGCCGGATCTACCAGATTATTCGGCCATTAACCGTGCTGTGCCCCAAATGCCCAGCGGCATGGAAAAGGAGGAGGAATGTGTAAGTCGAACGTTCAGCCTTCTTCCAGCATGTTTTCCCTGTCCGCCATCTTACCCTCAAGCGCATCTTCGTAAACAACCGGCAGATGGCACTCTATTTACTATTATTATGTACAGAAATTTTGTATTTTTATTGTTAAACGTAATTGGTAGTAATGTTTATTACATTAAATTTATTCTTTAAGTATAAGTGCACTTTGTTAAGTTAATATTAACAGCTGTCAACTCTTTGTTTCATAGTTATAACAGAATTAAGATAGGTGTTCCAACGTTAATGTTCGACATAGAATTCTTCATTTGTGAATGCTCTAGACTTTTTTGTAGCCTTCTATAGTATATGCGAATGTTTATGATAGTTTTTATTAAAGAATTTGATCCATTTCTGTATTAATTGATATGTAAACATTGATTATTCCATGCTGCGTTACATATGTGTTCAATGATAGAGTTCAAATACTGTTTATGAAAAACAGCTAATATAACATTATAAATCAAGAATTATGACAATATTCAATATTATTTTGTACTTTTGGTACATGCTTTTAATACTTTGCATATTATTGTCAAGAATAACTATATTTGTATATTAATTATTGATGGAAATTATAACAAACTGTGCTGTTTTTATATCTTTTAACGTGTTTGCCATGTATATCATTTATATAAAATATACAATTAAGTATTCTTCAACAAGAATATTATTAGCATGTTTCTTTATGCTACTTTCTTTCACGATAAAATGTAATTCATATTACTTATGATTCTTTATTTAGGAACATCACTTGCAAAGAGCAATATGTACAGGTCTAATCATTCCTACCCCAGAAGTAACTGACTTGACAGATGTAGAAGCTTATGACAAAATCTATCCAGCTGATTATAAGCTACCTCGTCAGCTTATACATATGCAACGTAAGTTAATGTTATAAAAAATTGGTATTTAACATATATTGTGATGCGATTAAGAACTTTATTAATTTCTCCTTTCTTTTCAAAGCTTTTGCAATGGAGCAAGATATTCCAGATTATGATATGGATTCAGAAGATGAAAAATGGGTTGCGGTGCAGAGCCGTAAGATGGACTTAACTCCTCTCCAATTTGAAGAAATGATGGATCGTTTGGAGAAAAGTTCAGGGCAAACTGTAGTCACTCTTAATGAAGCAAAGGCTCTTCTGAAAGAGGATGACGATTTAATTATAGCTGTTTTTGATTACTGGTTGAATAAACGTCTTAAAACAGTAAGTCTTTTCATCCTACTTTTGTCTTTCTATCTTTTTTTTTATTACATTCAAACTAGTAGTGAGAACAATTAATTATTCAGTATAGAAGCAGCATATTACATAATGAAATCATATTAATATACATGTCCTTTCTTCACAGCAACACCCCCTTTTATTATCGGTAAAAACAGAGCATCGGTTTGGTTCAGCTGCCAATAATCCTTATTTAGCGTTTAGACGTAGAACCGAAAAAATGCAAACACGTAAAAATCGTAAGAATGATGAAACTAGTTATGAAAAGATGCTAAAGCTCCGTAGGGATCTTAGTAGAGCAGTTACACTTCTCGAAATGGTTAAAAGAAGGGAAAAAACCAAACGAGAACACTTACATCTTACAATCGAAGTTTACGAGAAAAGGTTTGATAATAATTTTCGTTGCTTTTTCTACCTGTTTTGTATTTTATGAGAAAAGATTTTAAACTGAATATAATTTGAAAAACTACATAGATATCAAGCACAGGACTTCAATGGACAGATATTAGCGGAAGTATCAGCATTGAAGACGCCGAGACCAGCCTTTGCTCCAATATTTACAAATCAATTTGGTGTTCATCAAAATTGGGCGAATAAAGTTTGTAGTAAAGCAAGTATTTTTTGATATTTTTATATATTTACATCTGTCAAACAAAACTACATTTCAATGATGTATTTAATATTCTTTTGATTAGGACGAAGTAGTACCCAGGAAAGAAAAAAGACAATACAAGAAACGGAAACATAAAACTGACAGTAGAGGAGGTAACTTGGACGACAGTGGAGTACGCGGTGGAACAGGTAGCGGAGGTGGTCGGGGTAGTCGGCCTGGTGTTCTTGGAGGCGGGCTGGACCCGCTGATGAGCTCAGACGAAGATAGTCCACTTCCATCTCACTCGCATTCTCAGCCCTCGGTTCCCTCGGATCGCGATGACGAAGATACCGCTGATGAGGGTCAATTTGCTTTTCGACGGAATAGAAATAGCACTTATTTACCAGTGAGTGCTATTGAATTCGTCAAAATTTTTCTTTTATAAATGTGTTTTTGTACAATTTGTAAACCGACTGTTGTAAAAATCTATATTAGGCAGGATATTTTTCTGTTACATGGGCAATTTTACTTAGTATATCGTGGGTGTCAATGCAAATCGTCACGAACTGCTATAAAAGTATGGAAATAGTCTTAAAGTTCTTTTTTTCAGGATTGTAGATATAGAGCTTTTCTCTTTGCAGCCTGTATCAGGTGGATTTGGAAATTGGCCGTGGTGTGATAAAAGCGAAGGGGGCTTGGCTGATAAGAAGTATAGGTTTGCGCTGACCAGCATTAGCAAACCAGTACCACGGTGTATTGGTTTTGCGCGACGGCGAGTTGGTCGGGGTGGCAGGTATGATACGTGCTATATAAATGCAAAGAATCAGTTGGAATCAGTTTTAATAATTCTTCTCCTTTATTCGATATCACACAATTTTAGAGTAATATTGGACCGTTGTTCAACCGATATGGATGATATGTGGTCTTCTCTAGACTTCACGATACATCAACCAAAACGAGAACCTGTGGATTCCGATACAACTACCGCGTCAACTCCAGTTAAAAAAGAATGGTATATTTACTAATTATACGTAAAAACTGTGTTCAGTATAATTGAATTAATCGTTAACTTATTTTTATGCAATGTAGGTTACATTTCCGACCAAAGACTCCACCTGTGTCAGTGTATAGTCCAAGCGAAGAAAGTAGTGATACGGACTCGGATTCAGAGCCAACGTTATCTCGACCGAAACCGCTTCCGTATCCGTTCCCACCAGAGGCAACATCTATCTGCGTGGAAGTAGAACCTGAACGGCCAGGAGATGAACCACCTTTCACGTCGGAATTCAATATCGCGGATTATTTTTCGGTGGATGCTTTGTCGGACTTCGACCTTGCCGTGGCGAGTATCACCGGTAGTGCGTGCGTTAGTGGACTATCGGACAATAACTCTAGCGATTCGCGGACAGACGATCTGGGCAGTTCACATTTCGTTGTGACTCCTTTACCTTGCAGTCTTTTTGCACAGCCTGCGACACAACAGAGTCGGCCTCAGTGCAGTGGTAGTGGTTCTAGTGTTGTAAATACTTCTACGAGTTCTACAGTCCCATCGTCTTTCTTGTGTGCGACCAATCAACCGACAACATCAAGTACGGTATCTACGCAATGTACAAGTACTACTACCGAGACACAATTGAATCAATCTAAACAACAACACAGACAATTTCCAAACAATAGCAGTTCCGCCTCCATTCTATCTAAGTCCCTGACTAGTCCAACAAATAATAGGAATGGCGGCAACTGCGGCAGTGGTAGTGCTGGAGTCAGAGTGTTCAGTGCAAGTACCACGACCAGTGGAACAATTACAAACTTCGGTAATGGACATCAAAATGGTCCATTACCACATATAAATAACTCTAATAACCTTTCAAATAGCACTCATGTCGTGAATAATCAGTCAACGATAGTTCTGCCGCAAAAACATCCGCCGTCCAATCTGCTACCTGGCTTGATCGCACAGAGCAAATTGGCGAGTCTTGCGAGGCAACAACAACAGACGCAAAGTCAGACGCAACAAATCCCAACGTCCGGGGAAATTACGCTTAATAGTAATAGGTAAATGTGTCATATGTCTTTATTTTAATATATAAAGTTTGACAAATTTTTATTTTATAGAAACGACATAATTGAAATACCTGTTAGTTTTGGATACTTATTCAAAATTTTAAGTTTGATATGTAGCATCTTAAAAAAAGTATTTGTTAGCAAATGTCATATGTTTGATTATAGTGAAAATTTGGATATGGAGGTGGATGGAGTGGAAACTGCAGCATGCGACGGTAAACCGCAGCAGCAGCAACTTGTTCGAGCAAACAAAACAAATTCATTAGCAATGGAAGTGACATGATGCCTGCTATCGGCACCCCTGTTGCCGCCAATACGTCACTGGGGGCTTCGTTAACTACCTTGCCTATGTCTGTCTGACTTCGGAGACTGGACGAGTACTACGTGCGTGTTGAAACAAAAGAAAAAGTGGTACGGCTAGATTCGATTACAGAAATGCTCTGATCAGTTGCCTATTGTGGCGATGATGACGGAATGGTGTTGATTCCATTACAAGTACCAAGTTATCTTGATCACAAGAAGATTGTGCTTTAATTTATTTTTCTAAGTTGTTTGTTTCCTTGCTCATTGGACAACCTTAAATTGATACTAGTTTTCGGCTAATGTTATTTCTCTTTTCTTGAAACAAATTTCGAAATGGATGTAATAAGTAAATATTGAAATACTAATACGGAGATTAGAAAGAAAGGGAAAAAATTAGAAGGATATAAAATTTTGTTCAGCGCAAGGGAACTTCTATACTTGACAAAATTATAATTGACACTGACATATTGAAAATTTGGCAGAACTCCTTTGTCATTTTTTACTCATATGCAAGTAATGATACTGGAGTTTCTATACTGAAATTGTTATCCTCATAACATAAGCTTTCTCAAACACAGCATTAATCATTTTATGAAAAAAAATTGTGCGCAGATACATATTTATGTTAGAATTATTTTTTCCAAATTTCGCAGTTTATCGAACTTAATAGTATTTAGCATTATAAGAAAGGTAAAATTTTCAAAATTAATATTGCTGGATATACGTTCGTGATTTTTAAATTTATTTAAAAGATACATAATAAAAATATTTGCTTTCTATGAGAAATATATATAAGCACCTTATAAATATTTTTATTAATTTCATTTTGCCGCTTATTTTAGTACTCAGAAGAGAATACTTTGATTGTTTCAGTGATGTATATAAATTCAGTTTAATTACGATGAAACGTTTAATTTACTTCTTATTATAAAGTAATAATATGTTAAAAGTTTTTAGGCTGTGAAGTAATCAAACTATCATTACTGATAATTATCGTGAAATTAGCATTAAAGTTATGCTTATAATAAAAAAGATTTTAATAATTTTATCAATCACTGAACTATGCATTTTTGTCTCAATAGTGTACAAGTAAATCAGCCTTTACACAAACAAATACAGCCATAAAGTTTAAACTGAAAATTCTAATGTTGCGTTTGGAAAGCTTGTATCATGAAAATTTATATTAAAAATTGACAAGTTCATGACATTGTGGTAGGGTTTATAAAATATTTGCAAGAAGTGTATATAAATTTTTAAGTTTTTAAAACTTTAACAGATACAAACTATGGAAATAACAATTAATGAATTCGTTTGCCATACAAAATATGAAACAGTCAGTCTTTTTCTCTCGTACAACAGGTGGATATACCATAAAGGTGTTTCATTATTTTAGTACTTTGCAATAAGGCTTCAATTACGGTACTTCGACAAGGAACAAAAATTGCTTTATATATTTTTATTCGTACCAATAGAATTCTTTATTATGATCAATGAACACAGCATATACAAGTTAGAGCAATAGCTAAATCTACGTTTAAGCTTTAAATAAACAATTTAAATTTTTACTTAGAACAGATAAATATTACATTTAAAAATGATATTACCATTAAAAGAAGAGTTATTTATTCAGTTGTATGATTTATCGTACGCAAGCCGTTTATCAAATTTATTGGTACAAGTATAGAAAAATGACGGTTCAAATATTTTGGCACTTCCTTGCACATAGTTCATATGTTTTATTACATTATCTTGCTGATAAATTTCAAATACTTTTAAACAAGACCAATATTTAAATATTTACTGAATCTGCGCACATTTTTTACGCGCGTCATTCTCTTCCTCTTAGTCTTTCTATATTATTGTCTCCCATTCCATATCAATATTAAGAACATAGTAATATAACATAAGAACTGAGCAAAAAATAAGCTGATAAAAAATGGACAATATTGTAATCTGGACATCAATGACATGGATAAAATAAATTTTTTCTTTATTACGAACACATATTTCATATTTCTGTGTGGCTAATAGAAATTATGCATGTAAAACTAAATAAAAATAGTTATTCGAAATAAGTTATCAGATATATGAGTTTGGAACTGACGAAATTTAAGAGTATCTGTCACATCATTTTGATAATTCTTTAAAAGAAGTTTCACTTATTTATCTGTTATTTATTTAAAATTTCTAGGCACTGATCGAGATAAATATCCTAGCCATTCGGATCGAAGATTTGTTATTTAAATTGTATTATAAGTGGTAATGGCAGAGTGTTTCAGATAGTCATTGATTTTTTGGACTCGAAGCACAGAAATTTCTTTCAAGTATGCAATAAGGAAAGCTTTTCTCGCGAGCCGTAACGCGAAATTAAGAAAGAAATAAAATTAATGGTGCAAATATTGCAAATTCTAGGAAGACTTCATGAAATCATAATAAGAAAGAAAGAAAGAAACAAACAAACAAACAAAAAAGATATATTGTACATATAAAAATAATTACGCTTATTGTATCTCTTACTTTTAGGTAATTAACTAAAAAATAACTGTAATTAATGTTGTTGTGGTAGGCGCACAGCGATGTGTATGAAAATTTATGAATTCGGGACGATTTTAGAGGAGGAGTAATAAAGAAATTTTATCCTGGATAGGACTTATTATTTTGTTAAGAATTTCACTCGCCTGTATATTATATAACATTTTGTGAAATTTAATTTCTGCCACATTTGTACATACTTTAGATATCTGATTATTTCTCTCGTTTTTCTCAAATTCACCATTATGCGAGAAACAAAAAGAAGTACTCATGATCAAGCAATTCGCTTTTTATCGCCATTTTTCTTTTACATTAATTTTATAATTCTCTTCATGAAATTCAATTGTATTTACAAAGAAAGAAAAAAAAACGAATTTCCGCTATATATGATTTTGAGAAAAACGAGCGATATGCGGAAAAAATTTCCAAAAATGTACTTGTAAAAACCATTTGTTTATTTTAGTTGGAACGCTTTAAACGAAATATAGTGGTACATGGATTTTTATATAAAATTTATTAATGTTAAAAATATTGACCCAATAGCCACTTTACAAATAAAACGTCGAAAATCTTGAAAGTTTGATCGCTCCAACCAAAGACTGAGTTCGCTTTACATTTTCTGATTTGGCAAACACGAAATTCTACTGACAAAGAGGCCGATATCATATATTTTTTCATTGGTTTACTACGAGCGAACTAACGGTAGTTAGAGTATTACCTAACAATATTCGCAGAACGTTTGATTATTTAAAGAGATTTTTAGTAATTTATGTAGTTAGTCGATGAGATTACATAAAAAAGAATACAAAAAAATTCGGTCGAATTCGTATTGTGAGGACTTCGTGTTTACCTAATTCGTTGCATTCGTGGAAAACAATACTGTATCATGTAAGTAGGAGTAAGCCGAATCAATGCAACTATTTAGAGCGATCGAACAAGACCTATTAATCGTTTCGTGTAAAAAAAAATTATTGAGAGAAGAATGAGCTTACAGATATGATGTTTAACGTGAAGCTCTTAAAAAGTTCTGAGTGTTAAAAACTTTTACGATAATATCGACAGGTGTCGAAATGCGGTGTATCTATTATACGTGTATTTTATTCTGTGAATACAGTAGGACTTCTATGTCGCTGTGCGACAGGAAGATTTAATTGGAAAAACGCTCCAACCAAAGCTCTGATTCGAACGAAAGTTTGACGAGAGTATAGAGAATTTTTCTCAAGATTGTACAGTCGGAGAACGTAAGGGGCAGATATCAAATTCTATGTACGTAGAATGTTTGATCTAGACTCCCTTTAATTTGTTCTTCGATACATACATCATCTACTCTCTCGTCCCCTGATAACACCTTTCGCTAAATGCATGTATCAAATTTAATTTGGTCTAAATAAAATATTACCAGATATAAATCGAAGCGTGAATTATATTTATTGTTTATAAACCGTCAAAGTTTGATAAATAAATTACATTCCTAAATTTTTTGCTTTTTCGACTTATGCTTATAATTTTTTGCTATATCCCTGTTACATATTTTATAGTAATAAAGCTGAAATTCTTTCGTCAGTGAAATGATATTTTGCAATATAACTGAAGATGCTCGCTTACATTTATTTCCCTTGCTACGTAATTAGAAAAGTAGAGATGTTATCAGGTAGATGAGTTATTTTCTATAAATTACATATAAAGATTTAAACTCAACTATTGTTTAGCATTAATATCTATAATCAATGTGATTAACATTTGAATCTATTAGATAACATAACTAATTGAATGTATATATGTCAATCTATGGGTTGCAATTTATATATCAAATGTACTCTGATTATGTAATTTTAAATTGGCAGATTATAAACAATCTGATTATTGTACACATACGTTATTAACGTATGGCAAAAAGATTCTTTATCAATTGTACAGAATATGAACAATATGCATTTCTATGTAATTTATGTTAACACATCAAAGTTTTACTTTGTTTGACTATTCTATTTATGCTATATTGTATACTTTGTACGCTATGTAGCAACAAAGTATTTATTCTAATCAAGATATAAAAATATTTTATTTTAAAAACAGCCTATTTTAACATGATAACATATGATTGCAAAACAATTTAGATGAAACATTTAAAGCAGTATTTCTGCTGAAATAAATTTTGTTTGCATCGCGTAAAAATAAATTTTTATCCTTCCTAATAAAATAAAACAAATTATCTATTAACATTTTATGTATTTTTTTTTTACTTAAATAATTTCAACAAAGTATTCAAATAAATTGTTTTCCCTTTTGGAATTTTAACTACTACTTCGTAATGAAGATTTAGATTATGATTACATATATTTAATGTTTATGTTATATATTTATTTCTTGTAAATGCGATGCATTCGAAAGTGCTAAATTTTATGATTTTGAAAATCATATTTTCTTACTTCAAAAACAGGAATATATTATTTTATTTTTTAAATATTTTGAACACGCTATTTTTCTTATCTAAATTTCAGTATTCATTTTGTTATATTCACAAATACAATTTTCTATTTGTGTTTTAGGTTACTTTTCTTGATGTCACTATAATCGACTGACAGGAGCATCTATCTATAGGCGATAAAAATTTAAGCATTATTTCTAAATATTATTTTATAGCTTTAATGATTATTTGTTTAAAAAACATTGTTACAAACGAAGCTTTAAATGCAATGCATTGTCGGCATTAGTCGCCATTTTTTTTTAACTTGTATAGATAAAATCTAAGATTTTACTTTACTGAACTGTAAATATACAAATCCAAAAAAATATAATCGTATATTATTTTCACTATAATACGTAATAAAAAACTAAATGCATAATATAAATTATGCAAACTCTACATTATTAATGCATGTATATAAATCATATACTTAAATGTGCCACGAGTGTTTTTGAATGAGGAGGTTAATCGATTTTATTTTGTTTGTGAAATGTTACATTTTGATATAAACTTGTGATATTCCAGTAAAATAAAAAAAAATGCCACAATCAACATTAGATAAATATTTTAATACTAAGAAACGAATATTGAATGAAAATTCAAAAACTGTAAGTTAATATTTTATTACTTTAATCTTTTGATAACATTTTGATAAGTTATATGATATACTGTATGCACTTAAACTACTTTTATTGTGTTTTCAGCTAAAAAAACGCAAAAAGTTGAGCATGCACACCAAAGATTCTTTATTGTATGTTAGTCAAGCATCACAAAATCATGAGAAACCTTTAACAAACGAATTAAAAAGAAGTAATTCTGTATCCCCTATCAAATCACAATCTAACAACTATGTACCAAAAGTTCCATCAGGAAAATTGATGAAAACATCTTCATTTCATGATATAATTAATAAGACTGTAAAAAATGAAGCAATAGATAATATGAATTTGTTAAAAACAGGTGCAATATCATATAATAATTTCAACTTAGAGAAAATATATGGAGATGGTAAATTTTATTTTTCGTATAACGATGTAGATAAAAAATCTACATTAAAGTATGAATTAGATGATGCAATGTTACCTGTGGATTTACATTCTAAAATTTTGTTTGCCACTATTTTTACTGTTTTCCGTAATCCAATAAATGTTGGATACTTTAATGAAAGTGAATTGGATTTTATATATTCAATATTATCACTGCCACATAATGCACAGTTATTATTATCACGCATGATAAAAAGAAAAAAGTCATGGTTTAGAAAAAGTCAAATCAGTTACCCAGAAACAGCTTCGGATTTAAAACATATATTTCAAATCCTGGCTACACATTCAATTTGTACTTTGGACCTAAAAGACATAAATTTAATAATGATTCTGGAGTTGTTAACAGCAGATGAAATTAAAAAAATTTGTCAGAAATTGAAATTAAAATGTTGTCCAAATAAGAAGGACAACATTAAAACATTACTAATATTTTCTGAAAAAAAGGCATTATTTCCTGGTATGAAAAAACCTAGTGATGTTTTATTTAGTTCAGTCATTAATATACTTGATTATTGTGTAAGTTTGACTGAAAAAACATGGGTCATTATAGACAAGATATTAACATTAATTATGCCGAATAGTGACCCAAAAATGAGTAGAGCAGATATATTTTTTGCATTAAGTGATGTTTACTTAGGAAAAGTTATGTTTCCTAGTATTCCAGAAAATCGTTTTCCAATATTTTCTAGCAACTTGCATTTAATGAGGTAAGTTAATTTTATGTTTTACATGCAACAAAAGGATGAATATGTTTTGTTTATCTAATTTATACTTATAGTTACATAGAGGCTAAGACAACTTTATCTACAACATTACAATTAATTGAAGGAAAGAAATGGAAAGAGGTAAAAGATTGTGGAAAATTAGCCATGGAAACATTACAAAGATTGATAAATACAGAATCAGTGAGGTAATTCAAAATTTAACATATTATTAAGTTAGACTGTACATAGATTTAACTATAGTATTTAACTATACAACTTTCAGATTGAGGAATTCTTTACTTCCAGTGCATGTAAGACGATACTTACCCGTTTATGTATGGTTCAAAATACTTTCTCTATGTGTAGATGCATTTAAAAAGGATGCGGATAAGACTCAAGTTGTAAAAGTCTTACGTTTCTTACTAGAACAAGATTGTTGTATGCATACAAAAAAAGGGGAATGGTATTGTGAATTAGCACTCACTGAAATGCATCACAATAAAAATATAGAAGCTAGTGCATTAATAATAATCGAAGCTTTAAGTAAAGACTTAACACAAGTAGATATAGTACAGCTTATAGAAAGAGCAAAAAGAATAGCAAAGAAAAAAACTGGGTTAAATCCCACAATAAAATTTGATATTAATAAAATATTAGATGAACACAGTCATCAAATGCCAGAACACGAGAATAAAACTAATGTTATAAGCGCTGCATTAATGCCAGAGTAAGTTTTGTCATACACATTTATCTTCTTCTTAAACTAAACATTTAATCATTGCAGAAATACTAAAACAAACAAAAGCGTTTGGTGTATTGAAAGTAATTCGAACGGTCGAAGTTATGGATCAGTTGAAACTGTAGCAGTATACCATTATTATCAGGAAGGTTTTTCTAATGGATTGCATTGCGAGGGTGCATTGCCAATTATTTTTTTTTATACTTTATTTTGGGAAGAACTATATGATGTACATATTCCTGGCGCATTCGTCACAGATTATCAATATGCGCCAGATGATTTATTCACTGGAAATTTTTATGAAAATAGAAAAGAAAAAATACAGTTGAAACTTGACATTATTAATAATTTAGATTCTATGTCTTTAAGTACATTAATGGAGCAAAAATTTCAAATTTGTAAACAATTCCAGTCAATAATGCCAACAACTTTGCTTAAAGATAATCAATTAAAAGTACGTATTACATTGATACTATGTTACTCTTTAATGTTATACAAAGTAACATAATAAAAAATTTTAGGAAATAGTGCAGTGTTTGGGAGTTCAAGGTGTTATAGGAATCTGCAGGCGTCTTATTGAAAATTTTAAGTTGTGGAAAGCTGGCTTTCCAGATTTAATTATATGGAATTTTCAATCTAAAGAAGTGAGTGACTATTTAATGACATTGAAAAAATATTATTTAAAATTATTATCTTTTATATATTTTACAAACGTAATTTATTTACATTACTTTACAAAATATGTTTCATTAATTATGAAATATCTACAATTTTCTACAGCATAAACTTGTAGAAGTCAAGGGTCCCAAAGATTCCCTTTCAATTAAACAACGATTATGGCTGGAATACTTAAATCAGCTTGGACTCAATACAGAAGTATGTTTAGTAAAAGGTAAATATACTCTAATTTTGAATTTTTTTCATAATATAGATTTAGGGTTTTAAAGCTTCTGTTACAGTTGTAGTACAAGGACCTTGAAAGTGATACCTTTAAAAAATATACATAACGTTATTTTATTTCAGCTCAACGAGAAAAATAAAGCACTTCAATCAGTATTTATATGTATCATAAAACAAAATAATATATAAAAATGCAATGCTTAAGTACTTTTAAAAATGATCAAATTTTATATTTTTTATATGAACTATAAGACTATTGCATGTAAAAAATATTTAGAAGATTGGGAAACTTAACTTACTGAAAGTGTCTTGAAGCTGGAGTCATTTCTAAATTAAACTCGGCAACAGGAATACCGCGATTTGCTACTTCTGGCGCAAACATTGCCGCAGGATATACAACGGATGATGTACCAATAACCAAACAAACGTCACACGTTTCGACTGCATTAACTACGATTTTAGATTGATATGAAAAATATTTTTATTTTATTGAACATTTTATGTATATTTTATATGTACAAATAATTTTAATTTGAGTTGTTTATTATAATTTTATATTAGTGTACAATATATTATAAAAACACTTACTATGTATTATATATTTACTTAAGTACAAAAATACTTACAAGCCTGTTGAAGTACATTTTCATCTAAATTTTCACCAAACCATACAATGTGTGGTCTTAACAAACCATTACAATTTTCTTTTTGACATCTTGGTAATTGTTCTTTTGGAATATCAGACGTCATAATATTTGGATCTGGAGATCTATATATAGTTATAATGTTATTCACAAGATAATTTATTTAGAACTTTACAAAATTATACTTTACCCTTTTCCCTCTAGTGCAGGACATATTGGAATATTTTTATTTACAGAAACATCATGACAAACTGTACAACGAGTTTTATAAAGTGAACCATGAAGCTCTATCACATCTTTTGCTCCAGCTCTTTGATGAAGTTCATCAATGTTTTGTGTTATAATAGTAACATTTTTACCATTTTTTAAACTACTCTCTTGGAAAGCTGCTATTGCTTCATGAGCCTAAAATTACAGTACAAGTTATTTACAAATACATTGATCAGAAATTAAACGAAATAATCAACCAAAATACCTTGTTAGGTTTGACTTGACTGGCTACTGTTCTACGATATTCGTAAAACTCCCAAACTAAAGAAGGATTTGCAGCAAAAGCTTCTGGAGTTGCAAGATTTGGGGCTTGATATTTTCTCCAAAATCCACCAGCACCCCGGAATGTAGGAATACCAGATTCTGCAGAAACTCCGCTACCAGTTAATATTAATACATTTTTCGCATTTGCTAATATTTCTCGGAATGACTTCATGACATTCATATCTTACAAATCTTTCTGTTTTCAAGGTTATGTTTTAAGCAATAAGACGTCAGCTGATTTGTATATATTTATATTATTATATACTTATATTTACGTACATACTTAGTATGTAACAGTGTTATGTTCATTTTTGGGAACTTTATAAATTATTAATGTTGAAAATATATCAAATAAATATTATAATTGTATGTTTTTATATAACATACTTTTATAATAAATAGTTTTCTTAAAAGGAATTAAAATTCCTGTAATAGTACACATTGCATACACAGTACCGATCATATTAAGGGTTAAGTGAGAGTTAGTAAAATGTTTTTTAGAAATTTCTTCAAACGCAAATCACAAGTACGTTTATTTTTAAAGAATAAATGTTTAGATAATTTCGTATATTTGATTAATATTATTTTTCTTTAGGCAACTGCACGTAAAGTTGTTAACAATTCTTTTGGCAACTATGAGATTATTGAACCATGGGAAGTAACTGAAATTAGAAAGGTACCACCTTATATTCCTAAACCTTCATACAGTCAGTCATCTATACCCCGAAAAGGACCCAAAAATCCAGAAATTAAAGACAAAAATCAAATACAGAGTATGCGATATAGTTGTAATTTTGCTAAACAAGTGTTAATGTATGTCAGAAAATATATAAAGGTACATAATAAATATTATTTATAAAGATACATTAAAACTTTGACTGAATTAACAGATCTCATTTTAGCCTGGTATAACTACAGATGAATTGGATGCAATAGCCCATGAACTGATAATAAGCAATGGAGCTTATCCTAGTCCACTTAATTATCAAGGATTTCCTAAATCAATATGTACTAGTATTAATAATGTAGCATGTCATGGTATTCCAGATAAACGACCATTACAAAAGGGAGATATACTTAATGTTGACATAACAGTAAGTAGATTTTTATCTTCTGTAGAAAATTACACACAATATATTTTTTGCTTTTGCTTAGGTATATTTACATGGATATCATGGAGATTGTTCAAAAACATTTGCAGTAGCAGATTGTGACACAGAAGCTAAGCATCTAATAAATGTAACAGAATTATGCTTGGCAAAAGCTATTGATATTTGTAAACCAAATGAAAATTTGTCTAGTATAGGTAATTACCAAAATAATAGAGGTGTAGGAAAAACTGCTCATACATTTTTACTAATTTACAGGAAATATTATTGAAGAAACAGCAAATAAATTTGGATATTCTGTAGTTCCAATATTTGCTGGACACGGTATTGGAACTTATTTTCATGGACCACCAGATATTCTGCATTTTGGTGGGTTGATATATTAATATAAACATCTATTATTATGATCACAATTGATTATAATACTGTATTATTTTTTAATACTACTAGCAAATAATTTTGATGGAAAAATGTTGCCGGGAATGACATTTACCATTGAACCAGTTTTAAGTCAAGGCAGTAAAGATGTTGAAATTTTAGAAGATGGTTGGACAGCTGTTACAGTAGATAATTCACGAACTGCTCAATGTGAACATACTATTTTAATTACAGACACTGATTATGAGATATTAACTTATTAATCTTGTTATAAATTTTTTCTTGTACAAAATTTATAATTAATTATAAGAGGTTAAATAACAGCGACGCTTTTATTTATATTGTAAATATTTTTATTAAGAAAAAAATTGATTATATTTGTCTTTACATAATAGCAGGATCCCAGTAACTATCTAGAGTTATTGGTCCTTGTATTTCAATATTACCATCTTTTGTAATTATACCAAGTTGATACTAAAATTAAATAGATTAAATTCGTTTATATTTCTTAGCACACAAATCCTGTAAAATTATTAATATAAACTTACTTTTGGGAAAGATCGAGCATCTCTGTAAAAAAGTACTTGCATCACTTTGTATAGGAGCTCTATTGCTTCTTCTTTACTCATGTTTTTATTTTCTTCATATGCCTTTCTGAGAATAGGTGTTGCCATATATGCTCCATATCCAGTTGCAATTACTGGATCACTGTAAGCTGTACCAAGTTTATCCACAGTACCTAAAAATCTGTATAAACATTCAAATAAATATTATATGTATGTAGTGAAGTATATATTGTTTCAAAAAAAACAAACTACTCACAACTGGTCTCCTTCAATACCACCAATAACAAAATTATTCCAAAATGGATCAAAATTTGACCTTCTATTATACATTACTCGAGTTAACCAGCAATGTAGAGATTTGGGTTTTAAAGATAAACCATCATCCAAACACTGTTCTTCAAGTCTAGACAATGTATAAAGTATAATATGAATCAAGAAGTACAAAATAGCTATAAAATAAAAACTGGAATGTACATTTTTCTTTCTATACTTCTTTTGAGATACTGATAATCAGCATAATCTCCTCCAGCACCAAGAATAATATTATCATTCACTTTCATCACACGTTCTAAATTTCTGAATCGAGCTAATGATCCATATGATCCAAGAACATCTGCTGCTATAAGAATACCATCTTTAAATTGAATTCCAACCACAGATGTACCAGTTGTCATCGGAGCTCTATGAAACAAACATTGATGATTACTAAAACTGTAGATTATTTAAGATTAAAGTTGTTTTAAATGATTGAATACATAAGTACAGTTCAACAAATTTTTTAACTTGTTGTAAAAGTACTTCATTACAAGTTTATAATAGTTTTAAATGAACATGACATGCAATTTTGGATAAAAGGTTATATGAGAAAAATGAATATTTTAAAACAATTTACTGTGATCTTTGAAATCCTCCATTATTGGACGAAGTAGAACATCCAGGAAAGTTATAAAATGCACCAGGTGCAGGTCCATTTTGCCAAAATGGTGCAGGAGTATTCCAATCAACTTTACTGAATGCCATGATTCCTGCAAGTTTTAAACACAACTTTGAAACAGTTTAAAATATCATTCACGTGAAGTTTCAGACTTTAACAAGTTTGTCCTGCAAAAAATGTCTCTAGTTTGTGCGTTTTCATTTTATTTTGGTAGTGTGCAATTTGGCTTTCCTAGGGAAAATGGCAGTAAAAAGTAAAAAAATCCTCACCGCCCGCCAATACAAAAGTATTGTCAAATTCATTGAATGAATCAGATTTGCGAACGAGCAGGAACATAATATACATTAGTATTCGTCTACAGGCCCTTACATTATTTCTGTCCAGCTGTGTTTACCTCAAAACTGATTCGAGAGCAGATATGTATGTGTGCTTTTATGGTTGTTGGATAGGTTAAAATATTATCTTTTATACAATGCCACTTATTATTATAACCGGAATTCCGTGCAGTGGAAAAACAACACGATCTATCGAATTGAAGGAATATTTTGAAAATAAAGTAGGAAAAAAAGTAGAAGTTATTCATGAGCTTGATTTTGTGTCTAAAGCAGGCTTTGACAGAAATTCATTTTATGCTGGTTAGTTACTATCTCATTTATGTTTTTGTGCAGTAAACTCTTAATTTTAATAACAGTTTAAATATTATTTATTGCAGATTCTAAAAAAGAAAAAGGTGTTAGAAGTGATATAAAGTCAGCAGCACAACGAATGTTAAATGTAACTGACGTATTAATAATCGACGGTAGCAATTATATTAAAGGTTATCGTTATGAAATTTATTGTATGACAAAATCGTATAAAACTCCTCAGTGTACAATATATTGTGATATACCTGTTGAACATGCTTGGTTGTGGAATGAAAAACGACCAGAAAGTGAACGATATAATAGAGAAATTTTTGATGCATTAGTAATGAGGTAATTGAGAGTAAACAGTATACATTTTTGTTACTACATAATAAAAGAGTTTAATAACATAATACGTAGATATGAAGCTCCAGATAGTAAAAATCGGTGGGATATACCATTATATTCCTTGTTACCAGAAGATGTATTAAATTTTGATGAAATTTATAAATCACTATACGAAACAAAGGCACCAAAACCAAATCTAAGTACTCAATGTGTTAGTATATACAGAAAATTACTAATTAAAATTTAAATTTATTAACCTTTTTGTATTTTATATAAGTATACATCTTGTTTTAGCCGCCCTTGTCATCAACAAATTATTTATATGATTTGGATACAGTAACTCAAGAAGTTGTTAATGTAAGTTAGTTTAGAACTTTATCATAATAAGATTTATAATGTTACAAAAAAACAGAAATTTGAAAACTCAGAATTGTAATGAATTATAAACCTATATATTTATTTTGAAGGAAATACTGTCGGCCAAACAATTGGGTATTGAAAGTGATTTCAAAATTCCAAAGTATAATTTAATAATGCAAAACCCATGTACTGTGGCACAGCTTATGAGGTTACGAAGACAATTTTTAACTTACAGCAAAATGCAACAAATTGAAGTTAATCAAATTGCAACATTATTTGTACAATATCTTAATAAAAGTTTGTAAACAAAAATGTTATTGTCATACTGCATCTTTTGATACCTTTGGATTGTAAGTATTTTAAAATAATATATCTTTCTAAAAGGCAATAAATATGTTAACAATATTTTTTATTACATATTTTTTAATAAAAAATTAAATTAATTACATTATCAGGTCTAACTTGTAATAATTTTGGTCTGCATGTATTTCACATTGCAAAGTAAATTTTTATTTTATGATATTGATAAATGCATTATCACAATTAAATAACATTAGTTACTTTTTCTTCAAAAAGAGAATGAAATTTATGCAATTTTAGTTTGTTTTATTAAAACAAAGTACAAAAAATAATGAATATGAAAATGAATCATCTTTGTGATATTAATATTTGAATAGTTCAGACAAAATTGGATAAGGCAACACTGGTTTCTATAAAAATTTAAAATTAATATGCATACGTTTCAAGATGCATTTCATGTGAAAAGTATCTGTTCAAAAAGTGGAAAAGAACATTCCAAATGAGGGATATTGTATATTATATACATGCAACCAAATTTAGTTTCTTTTATTTTGTATTATAATGATATTTGGTAAATAATTCAAACAATAAACGTTAATAATAATCTAACTCACAAATGAACTCAAAGGAAAATTGCAAAACTGTTATTGGCATTATTCTAAATTAATTTGAATCAAACTGTGTTGATTTTTAACAAAAATAACCATGTCACTTTATTATCCAATTTGTTAACAATAAATTTATCGTACGTAGCTATTACTTACATTGAAATAAAATTTATGATAAAAAAATATCACTTTAATTATTAACTAGATTTAAAGATTTTGTTTTCTTTCTAGATTCAAATTATCTAATATTGACTTGTGTTCATAAAGTATAACAGCTTTGCTTTTGTAATAATTAAACTATTACATAATGCATTTACAGTTATATCAATCTTTCATACAAATAAAATACATCAGGTTGTCAATAGTTAATTTTCTTGTTCTTGTATACCGTTACTTTCGGACCCATTTCTATGACTCGTATCATTATCTATGCGTCTCTTAAAATTCTTGGGTTTTCGACAGACGAAATATACGCTATTATATTCACACTGCAGCATACTGTTAACATTCTGAGCATAACGTGTTTTTACGCGAGTTTCTTCTTTCTAAACATAGAGTAAATAACAGATTCGCTTAAAATTACGTTAATTCGATATTATTTAAAATTCTCTAATATAATTTACCTCTAATTCAAATCCAAAACCTTGAATCACATCACGAACAACATCATAACTTGGTTCAATTGAATCCTCCATTGGCATATCACTAAAATGATATAGTAATGGCCCAAGATTAATCCATATACCTCCTGGTTTTAAAATTTTATAGATAGTTTCAATAAATTGTACGACATTATTTGCGCAATCTATAAAAAAACACGTAGCAACACAGTCCCAATGATTATCTTCTGTATAAACCTGCAATGTATAAACTTTGAGTATATTCATAATTTCTTGCTATGCAATGAATCTACCTCTAGAAAATCTCCAGCTGCCATAGAGAACTGTGCATTTTCTGGAAGATCACTAGGATTTACATCAGGAAAGAATACAGCTTGAGTTTGATGTTCTGGTTTTAAATTATTCATATACTGATGTACCCATGGATGTACTTGATATGAATTTATTCCCCTACACCTTTAAAATATAATAATTTATTAACTCACATATATAGTACCTCATCTTAAAGAATTTGTTAAATTGTTTCTTACTTATTTAATACAAAATGTGAAGCAAACAGCATAAATAGAGAAAATTCATTTCCTTGACAGGTATATCCACGTCTTGCAATTTCATATGCCAATCTTCCCAAACCTGCACCAGGTACTAGAATTTGCACATCTGATGGTGTACTGGAAATTTACCTATCATTTCATACTTTTCTGAACTATGTGTTACTACAATGAAATAACTATTCTAGATATCTATAATAGTATTAAAAAAAAAAACTGTACTTGATATATTTATACAGTTTGTAAGAGTCATACCAATAGTCTAATGGAAACTGATTCATGATTTCATCTATAATAGGCTGATAACACGCCGAACGTTCTTCTGTACCTTCCACGCTCCAATCTCGAACTAGTTGTTTAATTGTAGCTTGAACCTTTTCCTGATCAGCCATTACTGGACGAGGATTTAATGTCTGCAATCAGACCTACCTATATTTTGTACAATAGAATACTTTTATAAAAAAAGAAGCTTGTTAAGACAATGAGAAAAAGAACCAAGCTTGAAAAAGAAAGTAAATTAGACAATTTTTTCTTGAGAACATAATATTAAAATGTACGGAAATTGTTTGTTTACATGGTGTTAGTAGTTCAATTTTTCTAAGCAAATGAAAAAGGACTACATGTATGTGATACTACAATTTTGGTTTTGATTAATATGAATCACATCATTAACTATTTGGTAATTCAAACAAAAATATTTGTTCATATTTAGGGGTTGGTTTACATTGAACAAACAAATGCTTATGCTTCTCTGATTATAGAATAATTTAAGTGCAAAAGAGAAGTAAGGACTTTTGAATTTTGTTCAAGCAATATGGAAAATGATTATTTGTTTGTTTAGTGTAAATATACCACAAAAGGATTAATGAAATGACCCAATCATAACATTATGAACATATAATAATGTACAACAGGGTATACATGCCACACACCAGGTGAACTTTTCTTACACTTTCAGTCTGTGCACTGGATGGGCTAACATTTTCAAAAATATGTGCTACATCCTTTATGATAAGCTTAATTATTTCATCATTATTTTCAATACATCGTTTGACTTCTTGTAAATGTTCTCTATATTTAGAAAGAAGCTTCTGATGTTTTGTTGGAAGCGATGATAAATAAGATTCTGTCTTTTTAACCCTTGACAGTGAATGAGTTCTGCAAAAAGAGAATGTCAAAATAAAAAGTGTTCATTATATTGTTACATTTATAAACTATGTTCCTTATATTATGGAGCTACCAATTTAAACCAAATTGCAGTTTAAATTGATCAACAATTCACAAATTAGCATAGCTACATGATTCTATATTTCATGAATTCTAAATGTGTCCTGCTAAACATACATATATAGGTCATTGTGCTTTTGGCTGAAGAACTGTATTCTAATGATACAGTTTAAAACACAATTTCTATAAGCATCAGCCGATCATGAAATGTTAGAAAGAAAATGTCATAGCATCGTATCGTATCATTGAAGGTTAAGTAATGTTGAAGAGTTTTTAATAAAAGTAGAAAAGTTGAACTGAACGATTCGCTACTTATTGCAGCTATCATACACAAAGAACAAAGTAAAAGAATAAAAGTCATAAAGATAAAGGCTAAACACCACCTCAAAGATTACAGTCTTATTAAATGGTTTTCCGTGAAACACTTACTTGTAATATTTGAAAGCTGACACGATACGTTGAAAATGTTTTCTTTCCTCCTCATCCTCATAAGTGTCGTGCATTTTTTTTGGATAAGGATTTGTCATTGTTTCCATTATTATATTTGAACGTGGACTTTAATATTTTAATGAATTTTTTAGCACGACTTTCAGCGGCGGCTTTCTTGGTGCACGCGTTACGACGCGTTCACATTATCACAAATAAATCGCTCTTTAAGGCTGAATTGTCTGCAACTCATCTCTTATGTGATGTATATACATATTATTTTATATATACAGCATACAAAGTATATATGAATACTACATGCATAAATATATATATTTTATATTGCATCTATACATATATGTGTATAAGAAGGCAAAAAGATTTTCGATAATTTATTGTTTTAAAGGATAAAAAAGAAAATAAACATATATTAATTCGATTATAAAAATTTGAGGCATATTTCATACATGTATAATTTTGTATATTATATATAATTCAATAATGTTTTATATCGGTTGCTACAATTGTTCTAAACTAATGACGTAATTTGTTTGCAAATGTCAAGGTAACTATAGTGATGTTCTTAAAAAATGTATGATTATTATAAAATTTTATATAAAAAGCATTAAAATTTGTAACATATAAAGTTATAATTAACAAAAATTGTTTGATCTCTTACTAAGGATTATATAAAAATTTTGTGATAAATCAATAAATTTAATTGTTATTTGATATAAGGATTATAGTTTAGGATTGTAGTAACGCGATAAATTTAAGTAAAATTCGTTCTGTAGAGTTGGAAACGGTGCCAAGGCGCAACTCGCGTATCCGCAGAGTTTCTATAGCTGGTGCGATTGCAGGTAGGACATGGTTGTCCTCGCCATTTTTAAAAGGAGTTCAGTCGCTAATCAACCGCGGTGAGGTGCACTTAGGTACGCGCGGTGGTTGTCACATCGCAGTTGCGACTTTTTTTGTGCGTCGAAGTCTCGACATACGAGGCAATTCACGATGACGACAATGTAAAAGAGATTATACTCTTCGTTAAGTGTCCAATAAAAGTGTTATTAGAAGTGTTTCGAAGTAGACATCGACGCAAGAAACATGTCCAGTGCACCGCAAATGTCCAGTGGGCTTAGTAAGCTCAAAAAGAAACATTTCCGAGTCAAACATCAGAAGGTTAAGCTGTTTCGTGCGAACGAACCTCTTCTCAGTGTTTTTATGTGGGGTGTCAATCACACGGTGAGTATTAATGTATTTACGTGACAGCGTCGTACGTCATCGAAATGCCATCTTCTTCTTTCGTTAGCTTGAAACTGAATATGACTTTGTAATTTATAGAAAAGTAGCGTTAATTCATTAAATTTTGTTCATGTACTTATTTTACCGCTATCGTGAATTTTTTATAATTATTTTATATATATATATACATATGCATTTATATATACATGTATGTATGTGCATGTGTTGTATTATATATATACATAAATATATGTAATAAAAATGTAATTATTTATTTTAACTGAAGGATAATGTCTATTAAAAAGTATCTAATTAAGAAGGTAAATTCGTTTTATCAATATTATAAGATTATTTTAAAGGGATTATACAAATTTAGTTCATTAAAATGGAGTATAAAAGTGTAAAAAGTAATTGATAAGTAATAGATTCGCTTTTATTTCATGAATATTTAATTTTGTATACTCTTTATATATTGGAAAATGAATACAAAAGATGTATGTAAGCTTCTTAACATTTATTAATGGATGGTATCTAGATACTCAAATATTTATTTGATTTCATATATAAGATTATATGATAAATATTAGGTGCATATATATATGTAAAATGCATATAATTATTTACAAATTTTATATTTTTTGTATATAATTTGAAAAAACTCAATTTTAAGTGAATTGTGTACTTTACATTGTAGCTTGTTCGAGTTTCTAAATTTGATCTTTTTTTTCTATTTCTATTTCTTTTTGTCCATTTACAATTAAAAAATAATTTAAGATCTTATTTCTGTGCATCGCATTATAGATAAATGAGCTTAGTCACGTTAATATACCAGTAATGCTCCTGCCAGACGATTTCAGAGCTTACAGCAAGTTAAAAGTGGATAATCATCTCTTTAACAAGTGAGTTAAATTTTAATATAAATTAATATATGTTTGGTTTAAGGCTACTTTAAAAAATAATGGAAATGAAGAAGATATATTTAAATACAATAAATGTTAGTTTAAATTTTGTGAATAATTTTTTATCCAATATAGGATAAAAATCATTAATATAAATTTTAAGCAAATAACTGAGGTAATCTATTCTAATTATATCACTAAATACTGAATTAGTAGGTTGGTCACTGCTTGTAATAATAGAATCAATGAAGGTCTTCATGGCCTAAGATTATAGTTAATGATAAAGATATGCATAATCTTATTAAATAATTAAAAACATGAGAACTTCAATTCCATTATATATTTGAAATTTTCAGGCTTCAAATAAATAATTATGAACATTTATGCATGAAATTTTGTTTTAGAGAAAATATGCCATCTCATTTTAAGATCAAAGAGTATTGCCCATTAGTATTCAGAAATTTACGAGAAAGATTTGGAATAGATGATTTTGACTACAAGGAATCAATGACAAGGTAAAAAAAATTTATTTTATATTTTATATTTTACAAGTACATGTTTGAAGATAATTTCAGAAAATAACTGGGAGGTATTATTATAATGATTGTAAAATTCTATGTTAATTTGCAATATATTTTATAAATAAAAAGCAAGTTTTATTTTATTTCTTAGATTTCTTTTTTATTACATTGCACTGCATGCCAGAGATGTATACATCATGCTATGTGAAAGCTTTTTGCATAAGTTGCAATAGCTGTGGTGCACATAAAAAGTATCTGTATGTATTCAAATAACTTGGTAAACTTCTGTTCTTCATTCTGCTATATAATTCGTTTATCTATTTATAGAATATTACAGATTTAGGGATTTTAATTGTCTTCGAGGAAGATAATGTACCCAATGACTCAGGCAAATTATTGTAATTGAAAATTCAGTCTTACATTGTGTTAAATTGAAATGTTATGAAAAATCTATTTTACGACATCATTACTGATAGTGTACATATATGAAACTGTTTTTTGTTATACGTACATATCATTTATAGTTTGTTAAAATTAAAAAAAATTGATTAGTGTTATGTAATCAGTCTTTAAAAACAAATGCAGAAAAATAAGGCTAGTTAAATACTTTTGAGTTCAATGAAATCAAAACATAATGATAAAAATATATTTATAATTAATATATTGATGCAGTGACTATGCAGTATGCAGTTTTTAGTAGAGAATTTAATATGCATAGTATCTTGTACTTATATAAATATGTTTATCAGAAAATTAAGATTTGCTTTGTATGACTTCTTCATACATAAAAATATAGTTTTCATTTGGACCTATGAAGTGTAAATTCTTCTAGTAAATTGTAACATAAGAATTTTGGTGCTAGATGTCGGGCATTTAATCCTTCACGAACAGAGAGGCATTGGAATTTGGCTGGGAGTGGGAAGACCCGTGAATTGGTTCAGCGTTCTGCTACTGCTCCTTCAATAACCCTCTCTCCTTCTATTATTTCTCAAATTCCAGTCCTAAATAAGCCACTACGTTCCTACAGTTTTAAACCAAAACGTCTGAGGTTAGCTAGACTTGATTTTTCATTTTGTGCGTGTTGCTTGTGGCTAACACGTTCCCATTATTAAGCACAGAAAATCAGTTTAAAAACTTGAAGCTGATTTTACATGATATTCTTTCATGGTTTTATTCTACAAGACATACATGTTTATGCCAATATTTTTGTAAAACATTACAAAATAAAATTTTAAGTTATACATAGGCAAAGCATGCAATTAGTTGCTTTAACTTAAAATACTTTTGATTAAGTACATTCTGTTTTTTATCAGTTTGTGTTATTATATCATAATGGTACATATAATTTCAATTATAACATTATTATGCTTTATAGTTAACTTGATACTTAATTAGTTCCTTTGAAATGCATGTTAAAATATGTATCAAATATAAACTAATAGCTACTAAGTACTCTTGCTGTCTGAAGCAAGATGTTTTCAGTTCAAAAAATATATAACTTGTTTTGTTTCTCTATAATAAAAGTTCAATATATTGAAATTGAAATTACTTTTTCATTTTTCTAGATCGCAACCAATATTAGATGACTCTTCTGGGAAAAGTGGTGCAAAGTTTTACCAATCTTATGATAAACTGTTTATTATTAAAACTCTTACGAGCGAAGAGGTAGAAAGAATGCATTTATTTTTGAAACAGTATCATCCGGTATGTATAAATTATTTTTATTCACGTTTTTATGTGTATACAAATCTAACATTTTTATATTTACAGTATATTGTAGAAAGACACGGGAAAACTTTGTTACCTCAATATCTTGGCATGTATCGTTTGACAGTAGATGGAGTTGAACATTATGTTGTTGCTATAAGAAATGTATTTTCAAATCATTTGACAACTCATAAGAAATTTGATTTAAAAGGCTCAACAGTAGATCGTGAAGCATCTGACAAAGAAAAAGAAAAAGAGCTACCTACTTACAAGGATAATGATTTTGTTAAGGAGGGAATGAAAATTTATATTGGTGAAGAAGCAAAAGCTAAACTTATAGAAACATTAACTGCTGATGTTGATGTGAGTTTTATATTTTCAATATGTATTTATTTCTGTATACTATATTTACCAATAAATTACCTTCATAGTTCCTAACTCGACTGCACTTGATGGATTATTCCTTATTACTTGGATTACATGATTGTGCGCGAGCTGAACAGGAAAATAGAGAACGTGCTGAAAGAGAGGAAGAGGAGGATAATCATGAAGATGAAGATGATAGCGAATCTGGAAGTGGACTTGATTCACGGGGTCCAATGGGGGAGTATGTATTATTATTAAATATACTGTAGAGATTATTTTCAGATATTTATATAATATCTTCTTTTTTTTAGTCGTTTATATAGTTGGTGCGGTGTCGGTGGTATGGCAACGCCTCCTGAATCACCGCACGCTGCGTTGATGCGCGATACAAGTTTGCAGTATGAAGATGCAATAATTCCTGAATTAGATATTTATGCAATTCCCAGTAAAGAAGGTAACACCCTTCTGTGATTAATGTTTTATTCATTAAACTAATTCTTCAATTTTATTTTATTTCAGGTGCACCTACAAAAGAAATTTATTTTTTAGCTATAATTGATGTGCTAACTCATTATGGTGTACGTAAACAAGCAGCAAAGGCAGCTAAAACAGTGAAATATGGTGCTAACGTTGATGGTATATCAACCTGTGATCCAGAACAATATGGCAAGCGATTTATAGAATTCATGAGCAAAGCTATAGAATAAACCGTTATTTGTTGTTGTTAAGCTTGTAAATTTGGACCGCCCGTTCGAAAGTCGTGATACAATATTGTCGCTTTTATTACGGTTGCGTTTAGTGCATTGAATGTTTCTTCTGTGCACTTTGATGTTTAACTACAAAGAATTTTACTTGATACGTTAGTACTGTTCTATTGCGTATCTCAGTATTTCTTATGACATTTACATTGGAGTTAGATGCGTTGCGAGTGGTGAAAATTTTACAAATTGCCACCTTGAAGAAATTGGTAAAGAATTTCTTTTTAAAGGAATGTTCATTAACGTTTATAACAAGTGACATATTTTCTCAGTATTCACTTACAATTTTTATGTAAACATAATTGTTAAACACTGTGGTTTTTGTAGCGTTCTCTGTGTTTTAGTATCTTGATCTGTACTTTCAAAACACGAAACTGTAATTTACGTGCATTATGTGTACAGACAGAAATATGTGAAGGTTTTATGAGATATCAGAAGGATTTATTTTATATATTATTTGTTCCGTAAAGTGATACTCGATATTCTACTTGTGGGTATACATCATATACATATTAGCTAATATGTCTATTAATTTGCTGTATTAAACTCGGCATACAAGTAACATTAAAGAAACTACATCGTCGTACTATGTCGTACGTTTGTTGTTGGTACACATAATGTGCTTCGGAAACCACGTTAATTACTGTCATTTGACAGTAAATAATATCTAGTATACTAGTTTACTGGGAAATATTAAAATTAATGTTGATGTTACATATGATAATCTCAAGCGAGACGCAGTCTGAGTGTTTCGTTAATGAAGCCTACATCTATCGTAAAAACTCTCTCTCTGACTTCGTTAAAGCATACTATGATGCTTCTACTGTCTGTGGTATTATCTGGAATGTTTAAATATTCGAATTAGAACGTAACTGCTATTACGATGAGAATTCTCATTTTGGTAGGTTTAAACAGAGGAGAAAAATAATATATATTATACCTGCAAGAGGTACCATATAATAAGAGCTTCAAACTTAAAAAATTACGAGTGAACGTTAAAGTCTGTAAATGTCAGCTCCTCGGTCATTTCAGTTACCGCGAGTCGGTGTTTAGATCATCGATTCGCTTAGTTCGTGAAGTATATTTGCAGGGAACAAAGCGAGTCGTATGTATTATGCACGATTCATGTCTCCTTTAATTCATAAAGTGCTCAAAGTTAGCCAATGTTCTTTGATTATAGAATTTAAGAAAAAAAATAGGTATATCCTTCGGCACATTGAGAATGGGATGTTTTGTTCAATATTTGGAAAGATGCTATTAAAAATATTGGTCATATTGTTCTTAATGTAAAAATAAACGGGCACTAGTAGTACGTTGACTTTTGATACGTGAATGTTTGTAGCAGTATGTGAAATCTTGAACGGTATTTGATTCTCAGTGTGTCAAGATTTTGGCGCAATTAGTTGCACAAGAACTCGCTTAACAATTTCGATGCAGGACAATTTAACATAGCTTGAATTTTTTATTCCACAAACTTGTATTGCAACAACTAGCTTCTAACGAACAATATTCTAAGATCATATACTGTTTTTACTATGGGAAGGAAAAGAGGGAGAATGCATCGTTGCATAACACTTTATCTTTAAATAATCTAATAATCGATTTTTTATAATTTGTTAAAACTGATTATAATATAACGACTAATTACTTTACTAATTAAGATATTCATCTAGTCTCGATACTTTGTATGATTTTATACGTTGCTAACACATTGGAAAGATAATAAGAGAAAATGAAAATCTAATGCATATTGCCGATGATGCTGTACTATAAAATAACATTAATAATTGCAAAAATCGCTCAATTTCTGTAATGTCATAGTTTCTATACGATAAAATGTAATTTGTTCAGTAAACTGCAACTTACTGTGATGCGGTAGTACATTTTTCAAATATGTTTTTTACTACCGTATTAATTATTACTTGCAACTATTCACACGTTTAAATTTTGTTGAATTAGCAAGTTTGAAATAATATAGATTTACAAGGTGTTTGAATGGACTACCGAAAAATTCCATGATTTTAGATTTTTATAATTTGCTCCGTGTAGAAACGATGTATATATTCATTACTTTGCTGTTGGCAATATATATCCAGGCTTCTGTCGTCCTAACGTTTGTATTATTCACAGAGTCTGTGTTGTATAAGCCACGGGAAATAGATGGACATTTAACATATTACGGAATTATAAATAAAAAAGATATTTGAAAGGAATATGTTCAATTTTATTTTGTAATAAGTATAGTTAACTTTTAACTAACAATATTTATCAAAACAGTTTTATACTTTAAACTAAAAACAATATTTTTTTTATTGCTAAAACAAGTGAATAACAAGAGATAATCGTTTTCTAACTAAGGTAAACGAAATATGTTAAATTGATTTGTACTTTAGTTATTGCATAAGATATCAAAGAGAAATTTATCTCTTCGTGTCTTTGGCTTCTACATACATGTAAACATTATGTATTTATAAATTTGATTATCTGTAAAAAAATCTTCAGGATATTTTCAAAGCAAAATAACATACAAAAGTTCGTCTAATAAATTAGACACGAAGTTTTTTCAAGTTATTTTCTTCTGATTCACAGCCATCTTTTTGAGAAGAGAAGTCCTTAGATTCCGGGGACAAGTAACTACTGCGTTTTCTTCTTGCAACAGGTGAAACCTGTTTCAAGTGTTCCAAATCATTGAATACAACTTGTGCACCTCCTCCGCTTGTTGGTAATATATCACCCTACAATAAAAATAAATGTGTAGTTTATACTCTATTAAAAATATGCTTATATTGCATGACATAACTGATACTAACTTTATACAGTTTAGTTTCGAGTTCACCATCCGTATCTTGTTCCTGTGCAACGAGACAATATTTGGATGCTCTGTCTGTTATATCTTTTGGATCAGTTAATTGCGTAACGCTTCGTTTATGTCGAATATGTGGTTGAAGAATAGTCCCAACTGGAACTAAACCAGGAGGTCGATGATCAACCCATCTTTCTGCACTTTGAGATCGTCTAAAGCGCAAATTTACAACTGGAATTCTTTCCTAAAAATGGTAAAAGGTAAATAATTCGATACAATTTTATAGCATATAAAGCAACGAGTATACTTACTTTTCTACTTAATCGAATATTACTATCTTCAAATGTAACAGTAGATGCCGATTTTACACTACTTTTTGGGGTAATTGTAGATGATGTAGTTTCTACATCAGTTGTCGGAACAACTGTATTAATTTTAGGTGTTATAGGAATTGCGGTGTCATTTGCTAATGTTGAAACCGTTTCTTTAGATTCCAATTTTCCGTCAGTATCCATTTTATCGTCACTTACTAATATCTGTTTCACTAAGTTCAATTTTTCTTCTGTTCCTTTCATTTGGTTCTATATAAATATCGAAGAAATTTAATGATTGTTTGAAATGCATATAATTATAATTTTATACCTGAAGTAATTCACGTTGACGGCGAAGTTTGCTTTCCAATTCCTTACTCATTTTATCAGTCTCTTCTTGAATTTTACTACTATATTTTTCTTTCACTCTTTGTTTATCTATCGTACGTTGGTTTAGTAATGCATCCTTGTTTTTTAGCTATAAAATAATACTGTGAGTTGTTGCGTAATGAGAAAAGAATTAATAAACGATAATATATAAAATAAAATTATTACTTCTTGTTTCATATGCCTGATTATATCATTAGCACTATTTAATCTGTACAATAAAGTATCGATTTGCCCCTCTGTCTTACATATATGTGCTTCTAAAGCAGATATCTGTAAACATTTGTATAATAAATAGCAGTCATAATGCTTAATATATTTATTCGAAAACTCACTTTCTTTTTCTGTTGATCACTTGTTGTTTTTAACGTAGAATTTTCAATTTTAAGGGATACATTATCCCGTTCCATTCTTACCAGCATATTTCTAAAATTAGTTTCTGAAAAAATAATTTTTTTATGAAATCTTAGAGAACGATGTCTATTATCTGAAATGAATAATTTAGGAAACACTACGTTTTTGTCTTAGATCCGTCCGTAAAACATTTCGTTTTTGGATACGAAGTTCTAAGAAATGCATGAGCGTAGTAATTATTTCATCGTTATGTGGACTCGATAAATCCATTTCTGGAAAAGGTCCTCCGAGGCTACAAAAAAATTTATTGTTATATAGAAAAATAAGCTTTTTCTGCGTGACATAAATAGCATTATATAGTACCTGTAAACTAATCCTAAATCGACTTCTAAGTTGGCAGCACCTAGATGACCTGCACTTTCCAATCTGTTTCTAGCTTCTTTAAATATCTACAAAATAGATATACGTATAGTAACATGAAACAAATATTTATAGATTATAGTTCTTACTTTATTAGCTTGTCTTCTTCCAGGTGTATATCCTAAATCTAACTTTGAAGTTGTAGAATTAGTAACTTGTACTTCTTGACTAACTTCAGCAAATTTCAATACTTGCTGCATAAGAAAGAAATAAACGATTCGTCATCTTACAAATAATGTATTTCAAACTTAATTTTAATAAATAAATTCTTACAATAGTTTCGTCATAATCATCTATGTTAGGATTAACACAAACAATCATTCTGACACTTCCTTCTCCATCAAAGTAGTTTTTAAATAAATGCGTTATCTTCGAATCTCTATAGGGTACTATTTTGTTTGTACCCTGAATCTGATTTTCACGAAGTATTTCCAAACAAGTTCGAAGTGTCATTAACGAATTATTTATATTTCCTGTTTTAACAAATACAGTTTATATAAAATGATCAAATATACAAGTTTTTTATTAATTACCTGCTTCCCTAAGCCTTTGGCCAGTATTTTTGGAACGATTTGTACGTTCACTTCCAGCCAAATCTACTAAAGATAATTGGCTGATACAAATGACTCTTTTGTCTTGAACAACTTGTTCACCATCTCTATCTAATGGTGCCTAATAGGAAATAAATACTGTATATATAACATCATAGAAAGTTCATTGATTTGTATTACCTGTACAAGTCTTATAGTAAAAACACTATGAGATCTGCTTGATTCTGCATTTAAAGAAGTATATGCAATGTGTCTTTTACGTTGACCATATTGAAATACTTCAAATGCTTCTTCCGAACTTTTGACTTCTATTTCTGTGCAACCATGGACATACATATTTCTGTTTCCATCTTCACGAATTATTTTACTCTGTAAAGTCCTGAATTTTTCAATTTTTTCATAATTCTGATGAAGCATTGGTTATTTCTTAACAAAATATACTTACTTTGTTTTGCCTTCACTTTCATCTAGCAAATCATATACACTGTTATTATAAACTTCAGTATATGTTACAAAGACTGCATATACATTATCTGGGTCAACAGTTATAGCTTGCAATTCAGTACTTCGATTCAAACCATCATTATTATTATCACCATCAGCATCAAGTTTACATCTATGAAGAACATTAAATATTAAAACTATCCACAAACTTTTATACAAGCATATGTAAGGTAATAAAAAATAAGAACTTACAATTTAGGGGTTTTTATATTTTGAGAAATAACAAGTCTTTGAAGTTCATTTTGTCTATCTAACAATGCATCTGCTTCACTTTGTATGTCAAAACCATTCAATTTATCTGGTTTAAAGATAAACTTTTTTGCTTGGTAGTTTGCTATGCTATTAAAAATAACATCTAAACTACGGGGCATGATGCCTATATCATATAGACTGCCACACATGGTATAAGTTTTACCGCTTCCAGTTACTCCATATGTAAAGAGTAAACTGTTTTTACCATTTATAAGATTTTCAACAAGCGGTAAGGCTACAAGATCAAATACTTCTTTTTGAGAAGTATTTGGGCCAAAAATATGACTAAAAGATGTCTGTACAACTTTATTTGTAATGCGGGTATTTGCTTGTCCCGGTTCTGGTGATGTGATAATTAAAGTTGTATCGGATATGATTTTTATACAAGATATATCATTAGGATTGTCCATTGGTCTTAAACGACAAAATACTTTAACAGGTTCTTTAGGTGTGTCATCATATTTTGGTCGATTTGCACCTTTACGCGATGCAACAGGTGGTTTCGAATTCCTAAAGAAATATAAATAACAGCAATCATTGTTAAGTGTTATTATTGCTTATTTGTAGTATACTGTTGATAAAATTGTATTTGGGTTTAAGTCGACGTAATAATTTTAAATCTAAAATAAAATCGAAAATAAAACAACATAACTTACGCAGGTTTCATGATAGGATCAATTAATGGTCTGCAAAGGTTAAAGTTTACTTCATGTAACTATTCAACGACTTCGACAATTATTTTAACATTCTATTTATCGTGAGAATTATTTTACGCGACTAACGAGGTTTAAAATTCAAACATGTTTGTAGTGAAGTCAACTACTATATCTAAAAGGCGGGTTTCTATTTAGTCGAAAGAATCATTGTAAATGTAGCCATAGCTTTTCGTAATTTGATACATAGAAAAAAAAATGATTATAAAAGTTGTGCAAGAGAAAATCTGTAGGAAATTTTAAGAAATAATAAAACATAGTTTCGGTACTAAATTTTATTGGATAAAAAGATTTATGATATTTGTACATGCTATATAACTATAACTGTTTATCAATTCTTTTATTAATTAATTCCTGTATTTTAACTTTTTTATATCTTCTCTCAAATGTGTACCATCACAAAACGGTCTATTTGATGTTTGTTTACAATTACAAAGCCAATAGTCTTTAGTTTCTTCTACGGTGAATACTATAGGTCTCAGTTTAATCTTAAGCGCTTGATTTCTATGAGTACCATCACAAAATGGTTGCGAATGACTTTTACCACATAAACACCATACATACTTTTTTCCAGCTATGCAAGTGTATTTGAAAGGTTTATTATCAAATATAACACCATTTGTTGGTTGATCACTTGCGCTAAAATACTTTTTCAATGGATTTTTAGGTATTTGCATGTCACTTTCCTTTTTTGTGCAATACCATCTGACCTGAAATGATGTAATCAAAATTATTAAAATAAATTGATAATAAAATTTAGAATGTTATACTAATGTTGTAAATTATTGCTACAAAAATTAGGTTAAGATAACTATAATAGATGGTGAAAATGGAAGGACATTCCAAAACAATAAATAAAAAATAGCATTATTTTATATATTTTCAACTTACATTTTGGTAATTGAGAATATTACAACACGCAAATGGTGAAATTCTGTTTAACTTTACAGCCATAGTTAACATTTAAGGTTATCTTTTCAAAACTAATGAAAGATAAAATGGGTAAACAATGTTTTCTATTAACGTAGTGTTAGGATTAAAAATTACTGTAGCTACCGCCACCTCACAAAACTGTATAATTATCAAAACAATTTACACAGAATTCGAAAATTAGATCCGAAAGGAATGCTAATACTTAGAGTTAGTAAATAAGACTATTCATTTTGACTAGCAAATTTCGAAATAAGTAATGTTTAGTACTTTTATACATTAATATAATTTTTATAAATGAATTTTTATTTACAGATAATGGTAATACAAATTTAATTCGTTATTTAATTAATCGCTGATGGTATCTGTTGTCAAGCAAGTGAACTAATAATACGCCAAGGTATGTAGGTAACGAACATTTTTATAACTATTTTAAACGTTGAGTAGTTCGTACCCCTGTGTATAGATGGCGATATTATTTTGTTTGTGATAAATTACATTTTCTTCGTTCTTTCATTTCTCGTACTAGTGTTCATTTTTCTTCGTTGAAAATGTTCGTGATGGCTGTAAACCTTTCAACTCTTTTCACTGTTGGTTCGTTGAATAATTTATCAGTTGTTTTGAATTAATTTACGGAGGCATGGATTATTCATCTTTCACAGGATACGATTCTTTTAAATTATATTCCTCAAATTTGAAAAATTGTTGATACATATTATACCACAAATGAAGAAGCGGTTTCTCTTCGTCGCTTGTACGAACCGGAAGCTTGAAACATAATTTCGTGTAATTTCTCGAGTACTTTACTAATTAAATTAGTTCTTTGCGAGGAGCTCACGTAATGTTACATTGATTATGTTAATTATTGCTTGGGCTTTGACCGTTATGGTGTTCTGTTTACATCACCCTTGTTTTAATTACGTGTCGGCTTGTTTCCATTCATTTACTTCTTTTTTTGCAAAAAATATACGATAACCTCGCCCTTTTGTATAGAAAAAGTTTCTCGATCTTTTATACTTAATATATTAAGTAGCTTGATTCACTTTTCGAAAGTCTGATAAACGATGGTTTAAAGATTCAGAAAGTTCTGGAAAATCCTATTATTCTCAATTACGCGAACACAGTAGCGAATTTTCGATGAAAGAAAATCGATTATTGATTAATCGAACGATGAGTCTCTGCAACTTTTATATCGTTAAAATTTAAAGTTTACTCGGTACAGATATTAATTAAGTAAGTAGCTTACGGATTATCGAAGTTAGAACGAGATTTTCAAAAATTATGAAAGAGGTTGAGAACCAAGGGTCTCGGATACTTGTTTTCTCGCGCCTTTTTTCGGATGGAAAGTCGCTTTAATCACTCGGCGAATTCTATTTCCAACCAGTGGAACAACCAGATACGAATCTACCTACTGTCCAAGAAGGTTCGAATAAAGAGGTCTTAATCGACCGGGACACTGGAAACTTAACGAAATTGTCTCATTGCAACGATTGTCTAATCTGTCAAGCTGGCTTTTTGTTAATTCTTCGTTAATGCCATTGACCAAAACTTCCTCTCTGTTTCGATTCGTAACAATTACAAATCTTAGTAAAATAAAAATGGTTTGTTATTTTGAACATTCAAATATAATTTTAAACAAAATATATACATTTAAAATTTACTTTGTAAAATATTGAAACGTCATTTTTTAAATTTATTCCTCAGATAGTTGTTAACATTTTCGTTCAAATTCTCGGAACATATTTACTTTCACAAGGATTTTAACAATCAATATTACTGATTTCAGGAACTATCGGGCTGCACACGAAATGTAAATAGACGTCTTGCTTCGTGAGACGCTAGAGATCCGAGGCTTTCCGGGTCATCGAGATCCTGTTGATGATGGTCAGTAAATAAAAAACACGAGTACCATGCGGAACCCGGATTTCCTCCGGCCATTTGTTTTTTATGTTGCGGCGTTTTACGAGCACATCACTACGATTCCTGATCGGGCCGATGAAAAACTTGAGAAATCGAATTCCTGGTTTAAATGTCGCAGCTATTTATGGGTATTCAATGTCTTTTTTACTGGATCTTTCAAACATGTAATACTTTGACGTAACTTAAAAATTGACAAACTTTGAAATTCCAACATTTTTTAAAACTTCATTCTTGTTACAGATCGATAAGGGTAGAATAGAAGACAAAACTTTTAATTACAACAATAACTTCGTTCACTGAAGATTTACGTTCAATTTGTTTGCATCGAAAGAGAATAAGCAAGATGTCTTGGTTCAAAGCTGTATCATGATTAAATGCATTTGATTGCAATAATTGTTGAACCTCGTGAAGAATTCATCAGTGCGTTGGAACGCGGAGCAACCTACTGCAATTTCTATTCAAATGCGAGGGGTTTACCTCTACAGATTTCCTAAGGGTGGTTTCCAAAAATGGATTTTCGATTTATTACTCGAATCAAACGATGCGCCTATTTCTATACAATTATTCTCTTCTTACAGAAACTTTTGCCGATAAAAACTTGTAGCGAAGGAGAAGAAGAAGAAATCCACGTTGATAAAATCGAAATCGAATCAAATATTCAGGGGATTTTATCCCTGTTTCTAAACTTTTCATTATCCGAGAATATGGAAAAATCTCCGAGTTAAGTATTCTCTCTTTATCTCATTAACTCTTCATGGGCAATCGACGCATAAATACGACCTATAAGTGTGAACAATAGAAAGTTGTACGCTTTGCAAAGTGGAATTTTTACTTATTTTAGTCTAAATTAGCCTTACATATACTGTCAAAATTAAGAACACTTCGTTCTTTGATGAGCGATAGTAAAATAATAGTTCTCGATAAAGTTTCAAGTATACCAAAAGAAGTTAATTTGCTTGCAATAATTAGTAGTGATTTGGGTTTCTAGAAACAGGGGTGAAAAATCAGCATCAATCGGAAACGTCTCACAAAGGGCTTACCTTCGTCTAAGAACAGTGTTCCACGAAACAGAAAAAAATCATCCGGGGTCAGCAAGGAGAGGGTACAACGAGCTATTTTGCGATTGGTCGCTGGCGAGGGTGGTTGGGAGAGACTATATAAAGCGTTTCACGGATCATGATACATCGCAGTTGCTTTTACGTGTTGCTTCACCGGTGTTTCCACATTTTGGCTTTATCAAAACGTGTTTGTGGTATCACAACGATCATTGTACCTCGATAGAGCACCTAGGTGCTGACAATGATTTGATTCTTCCGGTGAAGTTGCTCGTGATCGTGAAAACAGAGATTGAAGAAAGGCTGAACGAGTATTTTTTAAACTGACGTGCTTTTAATTGACAATCGAAGTCTGTGACATTTTGCAGACAGTTAAACGAGGTTGAATATCTTAGCAGGAAAGTAATTTTCAGCGAGGAAGTTATTTAAACACAATAGAATTATTTACAGTAAATTATTAAACTCGTTAAATATAATTTTTAGATTAAGCTCGTGAGAGGAAATGTGATTAAGTTTTATTGGTATCAGTTTTCGAATAGATTGTAATGAAAGAATTTTTTTCTTTAGTGTAACTTCTTTTATTTTTGATAGCGTTTGTGTTAATTTTCCAAAAATCTTCATGGCTTCAGTAGTAGACAGTAGTTGGGCGATTGTAAATAGATTTTGGAATTATGTTTGCAGGTCGAAAGATGTTTTTGCGAGGAAGAAAGGCTCAGTTGGTACCGTGTTTCGGTAGCGTCGAGATTTTAACGTGTTTATGGATCGCGAGTGCGGTTTTAACCCTCGTCGCTTCTCAACCGAATTTTTACATCAGTCGATACGGTAAACGGCAGGAACCACGTGCAGGTGAGTCGTTCCTTCTGAATGCAACATTATTGTTAAATACTTCAATTGGCAAATCGATAACGATTATTTAACGATAATCGATAAAATCTAAACTTTCATTACTTTTTAATTTAACACACTATTTATTCTAATTAATGTTTTAATTGCAAACTGAAATTCCATCACTTAACTGTAATATAGATCAATGATATGTGAAAACTTTTATTTCTACAACGCAGACTTAATATTTGTACTACAAATTTTGTATGTAGAGGAACAATTTGTTGACCCGCAGCTGAAAAGCCGTCTTTTGCAAGCATAAAATGGTGGTGATTGAGGCGTACGTTCCCTCTTTCGCTGCTCCGTGTTTGTGTGACATATAAGGACTATAACTGTCAGGCGATGCGATCTTGGACTAAATAAATTCATTTGCTTAATTTACAAAGTAATTTATAGCAAACGCGAACGCATGAAGCTTTATGAATTCGTGAATTTCACGAAACAGCAAATTAGAAGAGGGATCCTACCCACGTTCAAAGTAACCAGAATTCTTAATTTTCCTACCGTCGCCGAACGCATAATCAATGCTCTTCTCTTTTAACCCTTTGATTTCCATTTTGTTCGCAATCAGAAACGTTGTGGTCGTTTAGTGTGCGAATAGTCAGCGTCGTCTTCAATTAGAACCGTTTCCGGTTGCCGGCTACATAATCTCTTCACCAGGAATTCGATCCGACCGTGCGAAACGTAACTTTCCATAAATACACCCTCTTTTGTTGCAGTCGATGCGTGATAATTGACTATACTGCTTTCTATTTGGTCACTTCTCCAATTAAACAAATTCCTTTACGATACTTCTCTCGCTTTCTTTTGCCTCTCGATTTTTGCTGTAACGTGCAACCGTTCATCCATCCATGAGTCGGAGACAATTAGTTGTACATTTTCTACAGTCGCACTGCGAAAGAGTAGCTTATTAATTGAACTTGCGACACGTTGTACGGTGAGCACAGCTAGAAAGTTGCATCAACAGGTTGATCCATTAATTATGCTCGAATTAGTCAGGATTAACGACTACTAAAATAAATGAACGTTTTATTTCGTTTGCTATGTTCGTAGAGTCTTTGTTCATGTTGGGAAGCAGATACGGACGTAGCGAAAATGTGCAAAAGGGTAGCGAATTTTTGCCAAAATTGGTGGAAGTGGTGCCAAGGATGGATCGATTCTTTTTGGGAAGTCGATACGGGAAACGTTCGCCCTCGGATTATCGGACCGTTTCTTCCGTGAATCGATTCAGCGCCGTTCTGAACTTCATGGATCAAGTCAACCACGTAAATCTCGATCGGGACAATGACGCGAACAATGGAAACGATCTTGTTCTTTTATCTTAAGACGTACCGTTGGTAAGAATCTTTTCCTTCATTTCTTCCGGAGGTTGCGTGTGGGAAATTCGCGAACTGAAAGAGTACAACTGTTTTTTAAGGGTAGTGTTTTCCTTTTGTAAAAATTTCATTCACAAAGGGGTAATCTTCTTTGAACGTTTAATTTTTTCTCCAAAGGAACTGTTACACTCGCGGATGTTTTTCTTGCTTTACAGACACGTACGGGAACTCGTTGACTATTTCTCCTGCAAACGAAACGAAAATAGCGACGAGAAGATGAGAAGAAAATATTCAAAGAAACGCGAGACATTTGAGCGTGAGCACGTTCCGATTTTCTAACTAGGTTCTCTGTAATGATTCATTGTTTTTGATCGAGTTAAATAGTGTACAAAATTTCGAGTAAAGTCGATCGCACGCGCGGAGAAGAAAAATATAAGCTTCGATTGACGCATCTGACAGTATCATTTCTTTAATCATTTTTCAACTCTGTTTAGTTCTATTTTGTTCTCTACCGCTTCTTTTAAAGTCAGCTTCGATTTACTCAATGAAACGCGTTCGAGATTTCGAGCGACAAATGTTCGCGACTTTGTAAGTTTAAAAAATCTCGTTGATGCATAATACAGATTTTGAAATCACCTCGATTGTCTCACGGGGAAAAAGCACGCGTTTTTCATGTAGTTTCACACGTAATTATTTTCGCCGAAGTTTTGCTTGTCAGTAGTAGAGGTTCGCGTTAGGTCAGCCCACTGGGAAATCCCTCTTTCTTTCGGCATTTTATCAACTTTTCGCTTTCTCGTGATTTTTATACTCCTTTATCCTTTTGTTCGACATTGCGTCACGATTATTTAACCTTGTCCGAAACTTTTAATCGTCAGACACGATTTAAGAGATTTCTCTGGTAGCTTCTTTAATCGCCTCGGTTTTTCTTTGCTCATCCTATTAATATCGAGTTTCAATCGTGCTTTCCGTTTCGTTTCCCTTTTATGACTTCACCGTTCTCGAAGAGGCGCAACAAGTTCTCGCCACGTTCGGTGAATTTGGATTCGATTATTCCATTTGTTTCTTTATTTGCACGAGTGGGCGGGTGGTATCTGACGCTTAGAGTTTTGCCGGGGATTTCTACAACGATAACAGTATCATTTAATTTCTTGGCTAAGTGGTCGTGATGCGAACGATTCCGAATCATTACGGTTCGTTCGCGATAATTAAACGATTTGGAAAATGCGAGACACGCTCGTTTATGCGATACTTACGATCACGTTCTCCAGTAGTTTCTACAATTTGCTATACCAATTGTTCTGCAATTAAGTATTTGTGTATAATTTCGAACAGAGGATGATTTTGTGAAATAAATTTGATCGTAGTCAAAACAGCCATGTCTAGGGTCATCAAGAATTTTCAATCGAATACCTCGATTTATTTTTGTCGAAGCAACTCGAGCAACATTAAATTTTCGTTTATTTAGCTAAATGAAATTCTCGGCATCGATATCGGTAACTCTCATGGCAGTCGACAGGTTAAACACGAAACGCCCTCTTATTCTTTTCCCGCCTCCTCCCCTCGCTTCTTTCATCAATTTTTCACCGTGCAATCTTACTCCCTTACCCTCCGTGAACTTATCGCCAGGATTTATAGAACGTGGACATTCTAATACGCGATATCGATTTACCATCGACCGAAATGCCAATGTGCCAATTAGAAATGTCCACGCGTTCCATTCACTTTCGCCGATGAAAACGAGCCGATTCGAAAGCAACGAAAGTAAGATGCAAGAGAGGATCCATGACATCCTCGGGAGAGGATGCAGTCTAGCGTGGAACTTCTTCCAACAGGGTGATCGAACGTAAAAGTCGAGATGTCGAGTAAACCGGATCAGGCCACTGTGTTACTCTCGATGAACAATACTTCGTATTGATTAGAAAGTAGATAATATGCACGAGACTCGCATACGGCGTGTATGCACTTTCTGTGGGAGGTAAGATTTTCGGCGAATTTCTATGGTTCATCTATGGTTATGTGTTGTATGAACATTCTGCCGTCACGTATTATATTGTTGCACTGCAAACGCATCGTATCGTGAAGTCTGTCGTAAATTAAATCAGGATTATCGCTGCTTCAGTGTTTCGCTATGAAAGTTAAAAAATTTGTAGCGATCGGAAATAGTTCGAATAACAGCTTTAGTTTAATAGAATCGATTAGACGTGCCATTAACACTTGGATTCATTCTCGAAAATTGTGTGTAAAAGTAATTATTTTTAATCGTTTGATAACTTGTAGTCGTTTGCTCGTTTATTCAGTGGTTTCCAGTTGTAAACTTTGTACAAGTTTATTATAAATACAAAGCAAGTACCTTATAATTCAGTCTATATCTCGGCTCTGCTTTAAAAAATTTCTCTTTATGGATTATGTAAGAAAATTAATTTGACCTGACATTTTCAGTTTGTATCGCTGGAGCGTTTTAGTCGAAGGCAATTATAAAGACGTCGTTCTGCTGACAATCGGACAACTGGCGAAGTTAGGATGATGAAAAGACAACTGGCAGATCGAGTGGCAAGGTCTTTAATAGATTGCTTAATCGTTTTTGGGACCTACTTTTGATGCGACCCAGAGGAGAAAGTAAGAGGAGTAAGCTTTGCGGTCGCGTGCTCGAGAAAGTTGTTTCGCTTACACGTAAGAGACCGACGAAAGATTTTTTTAAGAGGCGCTCGTACATTATGTCGAAATAGCTTTGCGATTATCACATTTTAATTTTATTAACATTTCTAGGTGGACCAAAGAACATCCATTACCGTTCTTAGCCTGAAAAGTGGAGTAAAAGGAAAATTAACGTGCTTTTTATGCATTCGGAAGCGTAAAAGAAAGTGGAGTTTACTGTTCGGGTCATCAGTACGACATTAAAGTAATTAGAGTTATGATTATGGAATATATTAATAGTTACTGTTTTTACTTTTATATACTTTATCTTTTTTTAGGACTTTTTCTTTGACTTTAGATTAGTCGCATTATTTGGAAGATTAAATTGAGTTTCAAAATTGGCGCACTTTGACGACGCCAACGCCATCTGACACAGAATCGTCGAAACTGATTGGTAACTTCAAGAGTATTGACAGTCGATAAGGAGTACATAGTTTCGATAATTACCAACAGTAGCGCTATTGTCTAATTCGAAGGAATTTGAAATTGACAATGCAAGGAGCGGTACATTTTAATTATATTTTATTTGAAAAATATCTTAAATATTTAAAAAGGTAATTTTACAAGGTTCTGAGAATATTTAGTTCTAAATGCAAGGTATGTAAACTAATTGCGGAAGATGAATAAATAAGGTATAGTAATTAGATTAATTATAGTACAAAATAGAGTTTCACTTTTATAACTCATATCAATATATTTTCAGCTAAAATCCTGCCATGTCAAGAATATTTGGAATCAACACACGCAGAGAGGAAAAATTAATATACAAAAATAATGCTATACAGAATAGTTTAATATATTATAATATTTTTCATACTTAAACTTTAGACTGATATGTGTACTGTTGTAAAAGGAAAATGTAGTAAGAACAAGATAAAAATAAAGTGTGGTAAATTAAAAATTAAAGAGTATTCATTATAAACCTTACTTTATATATTAGGAATGCAGAAACTTGCTAGATATTTCAAAAATTAAAGAAACTTCAGTAGTGATTATATGTTTCCTAATACCTACGCAAGAATTTGCTAATAACTTCATAATTACGACTAAAATATGCATATTTATGGTATTAAAAAATTCTATGGACGTCATTTTTCATTAATAAAGCGTGAAAGTATAATTCTGAACAGTGATAAGCATATAATTAGTCATCATTCCATGTCATATTTATATTTCGTAAATTTGGCGGGAAAATGGTATTTTCGCCGAATACCTCTTTGCAAATTCTGTTATCCTACTACCAGGAGCAGTTTTTGGAGCCGCGAGTGCGTAAACCACACCCCCACCACCGATCACATGTCCCGTGCGCATATGGTTCTGCGCAGTCTATTGCGCAACTCTCCTGCGCAGTCTACTGCGCAACTCTTCTGCGCAGAAAAACGTGCCACCTCCTCGGCCATCATGTGTTCCTGTTACTCCTGGTACCCGGATACCAGGGGCCCATAACCAAAGTTAGTGGCACAACTTTAAGCAACCTCCTCGGTTATCCTGTTATCCTATTACCATCAGAGTAATTTCAGTAAATGAAATCACGGTAATTCTGTCTTGACAATAGGAAATGGAGATTTTATGACGAAATCGTATTTTGATAGTACGAAAATTATCGAAGATGTTAATAGGGAGTATTAATAAATTACTAAACAAATATATTGTTAATAGCTATAAACGAGGTATGAGAAGATTGCTTGGACCTTCTACTATTAGTAAAAATTATAAAAGTTAATAAAATGTCTCTGGTTTTAGAAAAAATAATTAAAATTTTGGAGCAAACGTGTATCAGGATGCGTCGAAAAGTGGAGATGAAAGAATATTTAATTATTCGTTATTTATGCGGTAAATTTATACAAAATTGACATTAGTAGTTTGTACAAAGCCTTCTCTTTCTGTCGCAATCATAAAAGTTCACGGAATAATTCTTGATTTGGAGAAATTAAATAAAATTCACGGGTACGCAATTCGTGTGTAATACAATATGGCGCCACAGTACAGCTAATGTTTATTAAACACTGCTCGACTAAATCTTATTAAAAACTATTAAAGAATGTAGTTTGAACCTTTCTCTCCACCTTACAATCATAAATTATCATAATTTGTCGTAATTTACTACAAAATTAATAAAAATTGCATAGGTGTTTGTCACAGATATCGACTGCGCCGCCCACTACAACATTTATTAATAACTAAATAAAAACAACGAAAACGTGAACAAATACAGTATTAGAAAACTCTACAGACATTACTCTTCAAGAACTAATCATAAAAGTTCACCGTTTGATAGTATTAATCGCGTTATTAATAATTATTCCGTATCGCGCAGTAACCTATGGATTTGGCGGGAAAACGGTATCGACGGTATACCTCCTTGCATATTCTACTATCCTGCTACCAGGAGCAGTTTTTGGACCCGTGAATCGGTAGACGGTTCCCCCACTGCGCTACCTATTGCGCATCTCTATTGCGCATAATGGCGCCTTATTTCTTTGCACGTCCTATTATACCGCTAAGTTCTAACTATGCAGCAAAATGAACTCCATCTAATACTTATGAAACTTTAACAAATTTTTGCACAATTAATACTTAACTATACTGTATTATAATAAATTAATACGTCTCTGATAATTTTGGGCTTCGAGGTTGACAATGGAGGCTGAATTAGCCTTTACACGTATCATTATTCAGAATTTAACTGTTCCTTCTTATAATAAATTAATACGTCTCTGATAATTTTGGGCTTTGAGGTTGACAATGGAAGCTGAATTATCCTTTATACGTATCATTATTCCTTCTTATAATAAATTAATACATCGTCTCTGATAATTTTGGGCTTCGAGGTTGACAATACAAGCTGAATGATAATGTCGACACCACGATTATTGTACATATACTTATTCAGATAGCTTATCCTCGATTTCGATTACCAAACTTCCTCGCTAACCTGCGATATAATTAATTCCGCGTGCATTAATGGAAATCGAATATAATACATATTACTGCAGCGACATTACTGTGATGTCACAGCGATTTTGTTTTCATTCTTTTCATGATGTCACCCCAAACGTGACAATCATAACACTTTCCCCTTCGAATTTCCTACATGTTTTGGTCATACATTTTACAGCAGCCTTTCGAATGAAAATTAACGATTCCCGTCACAATAATCGCTTAGACATTCAATCTTTATTCAGTGAAATCTGAAAAATTGTGACACTGTTCTCGATTATGCGGAAAGGAAAACCCTGGTGACCCGAATTTGTCGGTGTGAAAAGTGCATAATAAAAAACGTTACGTTAGAACGAATTAATGGAGAAGGTGTGGGTTAAATCGAGTACGATACGTCGAAGGAAAGATTTGATGTGTGTAGCGAATGTTTATTGAGGAGGATCGCGAAGGAAATATTAGACTTTCCAGTACACGGAGAAAGTTATGCTCTAACGAGTCTACATAGGCGGTATGCCGCAGACTCGTCTAGATAAATAAAAGGTGCACCAGCGATCGTTGCTTCCAGCTTCGACCCAGTTTTTTCCATCGACATGTTGCGCCCCAACAATGCGTGCTAATAGAGCAAACCTCTCATTAGACGCTTAAATCGATCGCGTTTCGATGCTAAAATCTCATTTCGCTTTATCGTTACGCGCTCTGGTAATCCGTGCCAATACATTTCACGCGAGTTATCGGTTAATTCATACTCGGAGATCGATGCATCGCGAACGTTACAAAACAGTCGAGAAAACTGCGTTTCCTCGAAGAAATTAATTAACTGTACCACTTAAGGAAGAACGATTGAATCACAGAAATTCTCTACGATTGTTCGAAGAAGCCCTCGGATTTTCTATTCGACGAACAATGGGGCAAAAGTGACACGATACCTTTCACGGTTATAATTATCCGGAATTTAAGCTGACATTGGGAGGCTGGTCACGAAACGAGAATTCTCACGAACAGACCCAATTACAGATCAGTTCACGTAACGCCTGCTAACCTAGAAAATAAACTATGAAACTTCTTCTGACAGCCCGGAGAAAAAACCAGCCGAGGAAATGTTTCGCGATGATGGCGGATAAGAGGAGCGTCGTGACGCTCAGACTTTTATCTAGAGACGCTTTCGCTCGCTTGTTTCGAAGCTCACCTAATTCACAACTTCCTTCTCGAGAAACGCTCTTACTTTCTTCATCGATATACGCTCTGTAACATCTTGTCACGCGATATGATTCGCTTCGAGATGAATGATTTAATTCTCATCGATTTAGAGTTACCGATGGCTCGAAATTATAGTAGATTGTTTACTTTTTGTGACCACAGCACTGCTAGCGTTGGACAGTTAGAGTAAACTCTTGTTTCAGATGAATGATTTAATTCTCATCGATTTAGAGTTACCGATGGCTCGAAATTATAGTAGATTGTTTACTGTTTGTGACCACAGCACTGCTAGCGTTGGACAATTAGAGTAAACTCTTGTTCGAGTTGAATGATCTAATTCTCATCGATGTAGAGTTACTTATGGCTCGAAATTATAGTAGATTGTTTACTTTTTGTGACCACAGCACTGCTAGCGTTGGACAATTAGAGTAAACTCTTGTTCGAGATGAATGATCTAATTCTCATCGATTTAGAGTTACTGATGGCTCGAAATTATAGTAGATTTTACTTTTTGTGACCACAGCACTGCTAGCATTTGACAATTACAGTAAACTCTTGTTTTATCGTCACAAAGCTGTACATAGAAGATGGCAAGAGCCAAAGTGTTAATTTGATGTACCCCAACGAGGTAATTGAACATAGTAATTCAACCGGTGATAATTGTACGCGTGGCGACTCTAAACGCGACTATTCAAACGTGCCAAGAATGGCGATGGAATTTGTCCAACATTGTTTTCTCGTGACAAAAAAGCTTATCCTTCATACGAGCAAGAAACTCGATCACCGAATAAATTAATCGTTCCTCGAATTCCGTGTACCTTTGTCATCGTTCCAAGAACACCTTTATCACCAAAACGGATGTGAACGTTCCGACAGGGTTACGTGTGAAAATATTTGTACAAGGATATTACGCGAGCAGAAATGACGCGATCATTAGAGGATCGATCTCTAAACATGTTCCCGTTCGTCATTGTATGATGAAATTGCAAACTTCCTCGATCGAGAACTTCGAAAAGTGTGTAGGATTCGGATGATCTTTATTACGCGTGGCTAAATTAGTCACGAGAGAAGGATCCTTGACGTTCACTTCGAGTTTGGCAAGAACTTTCACCGGTGCTTGAACAATTGAACGAAATTACAGCTTCAAACAGAGAAGTAACGAGAAACTGTTGTAATAATTGCGTTTGTTCTTAACGCGTCGGAAATTTGAGCGACAGAAAGCTTTGGACTTTCGAAGCGTACGTGGTTCGATTAGGCATCGATTTCTTTTGCACGAATCCTCTTCTATGTCGTAATCGAATCGAATATGCTCGCTGACGATCGACCTCGCTGTTTTCTCTTCATGCTCCTGTTCAGAGGCACAATGGCCAGCGTTTATTTTTTCCTGCGGAATTAACGGTCGCTTAATTGCCCGGAAGGAACGAGCAAACCGTGTAAAATCACCGACGAGTTAATTGTTCTTCGTCGATAGGTTCCTCGAAAACAAGAAACTTCTCGCATTTATACTTCGCATTTTCTTATCGAGCCACGAGTTAGTATACTTCTCATGAATATTAAACTGTTTGCAATTTTTTCGTGCTCAGGGGACGTCGGCAAGTTTCGTGGGTGGCAGTTTTCGCTTGGCGTCAGAAAACCTAAGTAGCCCCGAGTATTGAATAAAAAAAGCAGCCTCCTAGAAGATTGAGTTCATAATGGGCCGCCTTATGCGTCGTTTGTCCACGCCATTGTCAATTTAACGCGAAACTTTCCACCCGCTTCAAAAATAATCATCTCAACTTTCTTCTACTTTAATGGAACAGCATTTTCTTAACCAAAAGATGCTTCTCGTGTCCGATTTGCTTCGAGAGTCTCGGAAGAAGTAGCTAAGTTATTCGCTGTTGAAACCCTTCTATCGAACGCGTATACTTCGAAGACTTACAATTTTTATTTAACACTAAAACGGTCCACAAGAATCTTGTTATAAATGACACAATTTGGTGATTCTTCTGATATCTGTATTGACCTTCATCAAGATAAAGAATCAATTCGTGTACTAATTCATGTTTTGTTGTTTGTTCATTTGACTCCATTTTTCGTCTCAGATTAAGTACGTATACGCCGGTAGGTTTTTAAGGAATAGCTTGAGACAATAAGTCAAGAATACTTCGAAGAAATGCGCCATTTTCTGAACGTAAAAGCCTTACTGTTTCCTCACTGTGCCTCGATGTTTTACGAAAAGTTTTGTAAAGAAGAAAAGTCGGATCGAAGGACGACGTATCCTTTCGATCGGTCGATTTTTCCGTTCGAGGAGACAGAGAGAAGAGTCAGGCAACCGGCGTCGAGCTGGTGGGGACACACGAGAGAGTTTTACCTTCCGAAATGAAACTACTCGGCGGAGAAAGTGAGAGCCGACGTAGCGGACGGTGGGCAACGACGAGCAGGCGACCTGGGCTCCTCGAGACGAGAGGATAGACATGGTGTAAGCCCTCCATCGCGTGGATCTTCCTTTCAACGGATCCTCTGGTTGATCGTGTTCAAAGTGTCTGTATTATTTGCTGACCACGAAGAGCCAGAAATCCTGTTGAATAAACGAAGAAACATCGGAAGGACTCTTTCAACTGGAACTTCGACCTTTCTTCAATTCTTCCGAAGATCGTTGTGTTCTTTCTGCGAGAAAGAAAGAGATGATCCAAGTGCGAATGCCTCGTGAAGGGTCTTTGGTGGCTGTGACAGAATGTTGCTAAACGTTTGTAATCGCGAGAAAATCGAGTGAGAATCGCGGTTAAGGAAACAACTCGGTGTTCGTTGTGTTATGGTTGTGAGGACTGTTCAGGATAGACGCGGAAGAAGAAGAGGAAGAAGAAGAGACGTTGGCGAAGTAGCCAGTTCCTTTTGAGGATCTCATAGAAATTTGCGAGAACTGGCTTTTGTACTGACCGGTAAGTGGAAGAGAAAGAAAGCTTTTTCAAAATCGATAGATTCTTCCTGATTAAATTCAGAACTTTGACATTTTGAACCTTTCGTTTATGAAAGTCTTGTATGCCGAAAATACGTTGACTGGAAAAATGGAGTGAAAGTGAGAAGGTCTGAATCAGCTTTTAAAAGAAAGCCTATCTCAGCTGTCCACCGGTACACGAGATAGGCAAATGAAACTACCGATTCTAATGGTCGACTAAAGCAGCTATTACCGCTAACTAAATTGCCGGTCTCTGCCGCAACCTTTGCCTACATTCGAGTTTCCATTGCGGTTCAACAGGTTCCCGTCGCGATCCCAGAACAATGCGTTATCGTAACAAAATCGATTTTATTACCCAATAAAACGGATGACAAATACTTTCTCAAAAAAGACTACTTTCTCGATCGGTATCGTACAAGACATCTTGCGGTCGATTAAAAAAAGGTACATCCAAAGAGTCTGGAACGAAGAAAGCGTTCTTAGACGTACAGCGAGTAAGAAGATCGGCAAAGAAAAAGTGAGATTTCTCGTGGCGAATTGGCAGTGGCTATCGAAATGTTCAACTTTCCGACCTCGTAGCCAGTGAAAGTACTTCCGTTCTTTTCCAAAACGAGACACGAGGGGACAAAACATTAAGGATGCACGCTTGGGTACCGTTCTACCGATTGCCTAAACACCACTCCTCGTTTACGTAACATTCGATAGAAGTTTGAGGGGAAACGTGACACGAGGAACGTGTCGGTCTAACGTTCTTCCTCCATGGAACCTTATTACCCTACCGCCTCATTATGGACGCCGTTCATTTTGCGGACGTTTCATAAACATTACACCGTTTACTTCCGTGCGCAAACGTTCAGTAAATTCTTTTTTTTAATTCTGTAATTAGAGATTCGATCGTACATTACGCTTCGGAGCAAGAATTAATTTAACACGTAAGATTGAATGAATAGGAAATAGAAGTATCGAGATATTAAAAATGATAAAACGTACTATACGTTTCACGCTTCTGCTCCGACTCTTTCTCCTCGCCGATACTGTCTCGAGATCCAATTAAACGATATTTGCCATTGAAACTTTCCGGCAAGCCATTCATGAATATTCAATCGAACGGACGAGTTATCCGACACACTTTTTCTCGATTTTCATCTCGCGCCACGACAGGTATTACGCTGGTTTATTCGTTAATTTCTCTGCTAGAAAGTAACAATGCAGATCGTAGCCGCGATCGAGCGCCGGCTAGAAAAGGGAATAGAGTCGGCGAAGGGTAAACGAGCAGACGTATCGCGGGTGAAAAAGTTGTAGGGAGCAGAGAGAAAAAATTCGTTACACAATGGAAAGTGTTCGTGATGAAAGGGTATTGGTGAACTAGACCGCGAAGAAGCGTAGCTCTTTCAAGGCCACGAAGAAAGAAGCAGAAGCTGTGACGTACAGATTTCTTCGAACCGGTTTTCATTAAAACATGGCTCGCGTATTAAAGGGCCGATCGATATTTCTTTCGAAAATCCGCCGGGCAGGAATTTCTAGGCCCCTTTCGAAACGAGCTAATTAACACTTTCAGTCTTGTTATCTTTTCTCGATTGAAGTCGAGGAAGAAATTCCTGCAACGAAAGTAGAAAACGTAATGTCGTTCGCCATAAATTATCGGCGAATTAAAAATTCACCAAAGGGCGGACCGAGTAGAGTCAAATAGTTTTGTTGGCGTTTAAAGGAGATGTAATTCGTGACATCGTGAACTCGGTTTTCTTCGAAGAAGAAAGTTCTTCCCGGGAGTGAATCGAGGATAAACTGAAATACGATCAAGGTTCGACGGAATGCTTGCAACTTTCTTGCAAATATTTTCAAATTTAAGACGAAGACAGGGTATCGAGAATTTCTGTATCACTCTCGATCGAACAAAGAGAACGAGGCCGCGGTCGTACGAAAACAAAATTTCACGCGTGCCGTCTTCTTATTTTGGCTTATTTTTTTCTCTCCGTTAGCTTTCGGCGAAAGTAAACGGCGTTCGTTGCAGAGAAAGTAATGGATCGCGTTCTTAATGTTGGTTCACACGGAATTCGGGATGTGGATTGCGGTGTGGCGCCAATCGGCTGGCACCAAACAGCACCGAACCAACGAAAACGAGGAAAAGAAAAAGGCGCCAGGATACGCGTGCAACGCACGTGGGCTTTCACGAACAGCTGGCAAACGAAGCTACAATTATGCGAGTATATCTCGTACACACGTATATATGCAAGAGAAGAAACTCCGTACTTTCGACCATCAGCTTCTACGATAGAGTCAAGCTAGTTATAGGAAGGTGAAAGTTCGTGCGACGCTGCCGAGATTCTCTTCTATCCGTTTTATCCATTTTTTATCCGTTCAGCTCACTTTTCCTTCGATTGAGTTCAGGGAAAAACGATCTTCTATTTATCACTGTCACACGCTGAAAATCCTTTTAATTTCCTACGTTCGATAAAAATATCGCGAAGTACATCAATCTAAGGTTTGAAGAAAATCTACACGAGATGAAACGCTTAGATCTTTAAGCTCGAAATTGATGCGCCATTAGCGTCATTTAGCGATACATTTAATTCATCGGACTTTCTATGTTTCGAAACCGGTCATTTGACACGCAACGAGTTAATAGAATTACGAGTTTCAATTTCTTTTGAAGAACAGAGACGTTTTCCCTTCGCTTTCTTCGATTCCTTATACGCTTACATATAGATGGAAAAACAATAATTAAAATATTATCGAGACTGTAACTGCGTTAAGTTGATTAGCGACTTTAAATTCCAGTTAGAAACTGGAATATATTTTCTACCGGGTTTCACTTTTCTTGCCGCTTGGACTTGACTCTCGCGAGTCAACATTCTTTCGATCGTGTTCTTGAAATCCATACAACATTTTCACCATTGACACGATCCAGTGTCCCATTTGCACCTCGTTCGATAGTTACGGAGTCTATTTGTCATCTTAGTTGAGAAATTTTTCTTCGCGGAGGAAGTAGGATGGATCGAAAAAGAAAAGGAACATGGTCGATGGTTCGTAACTTCCGGTGGAGCGGGTGGCTCGGCATGAACGTGAACTTCACACTGTCGCGCATGCAGAGGTGCACTTTCACTTCTGCTGGATCTGCACGACAGAGCCAATGACCTACTAACACATCGAACCGTTCTCCTGCCACGATGATGATATTCCAGCAAGGACGTTCTACGTCGATTGCGATCAACTTTTTCTGTTCGATCAATCGTGCCACTCCTGAAAGAATTTTTCAGGACCTTGAAATCTCGCCCATTTCGTTTTATAACGTTAACATCGCCGTTACTTTTTCAGGGTCAAACGACACGCTCGATATCCCCTAACCGAGAATGGGAAAGTGATCTATTGCACAAAATTTCCTTTCAGAGAATTCTAGTTTCTTCGTTTCAAGGTTCCACGCGCTCGATTACGATCTTTCTACGTTATAGTTACATTATTGTATCGACGATCACATCCAAGTGCATCGAACTTCTTGAGATTAACCGTTAACCATGCAGCCAATGAGTCTGTTCGGGTATGGATTTTAAATCTATTACGACACAGTGTTGCACCGTTACGTGGTTAAATTGGCCTGAACGCGGTTGAACTAGCGATTAATGCAGCTGGCACCGACGGTTGCCCAACCGGCGGGGCATAAAACTTGTCCGGCATTTTCATTTCTCCATAATTGCTCGAAGATGCTGTTCGTACCATTATGAATCTCGTATAACCGATGCGTTACTCGGTTCCGGGTGAACCTCTTTTACTTTCGCCCGTTACGGAGAGACGTGACGCAAACAACATATTTTCGTTTTCTCGAAGAAGACGAATTCGTTCGATCGAAACTCGTTTTCTACTCGATGCCTCTTGTTTCCGGCTTTCTGTGGACGAGTGGGTCACTCTTGAAATCGAAACAATTTCAGCTCTAGTGGGCGTTAATTTACGTCACAAGGCTCTGAGAGTATCTATAAGTAGTCAAGAGGTTAGATGACTTTTTGTGTTTGGAATATTGCTTCCTGCAATCGAGAACACTGAAGCATTTTCTTGGAAAGTAAATAGTCCATAGAAACACGCGATCGAATCGTGGACGTTGGTTGCAGTTCAAGGTACGATCTTAGACATATTAGCTAAAAAAGATCGTTCGTGTAGAAAAATTTGTAACGGTTGCGTGTTCCAATGGCTCGTTAACCTCAGCCACGCTACGTTTCCCTTTTTCGTCGTAATGATCAATGAAAGATCGAATCGTGGTGAAATGACTCGTCAAAACGAGGGAACAGATTCGCACGATCTGATTTTTGTCTCGTTTTTCTCTCCAGAAATTTATTTACCTCCTCACGCCGACGCTGTTCAAACTGGCCAACTCCTTTCTGATAAGTTTGCTTTAGTCGAGGATACACCGCCGTATCGGGCGATCAAATTTGCACGGTTTAGGTAAGAAATTTCGGGAGATAAGCGTTTTCGGGGCAGGCAGAATTATGAATAACGTCGCGCATAATATTTCAAGACACGAGGGAAGATAAGGGAAGATGAATGGTGACTCTTTAGTCGTTAATTTCGTTGAGAGTTTTACAAACAATTAACATATTTGGCGTTGTTTCAGCAAACGATGGGTGCAGCTACGTCCTGCCAATGGTTGCTGCTGGGAATACTCCTCGTCATCTCCTCGAATCGAGCTCAAACGGAGACCTTAGGATCGAGTATCAGCAAGTCGGAAACGATCTACAGCCCCGGTTATGTCGCGACGAGAGACAACGACGGTAATCGAACCGATTTAGCGCCGAATTCAGCTCGCAAACGTCGATATGTCCGATTTCCGACCGGTCCAGCCGGTTACCTCTTCGAGGGAGGCGGTCCTCCGATAGGGAGGAACATCGGTGTCCATCCTGGAGTACGTTTTCCATCCTGGAGGCAGCAGAAGGCCCTCTGGAGGAGTCCCATCTCGGAGTACAGCAGGCCAGTGATGGGTCATCGAACGCCACGGTTGATCTTTCGCGACAACGATTTTCCTCCGCCGGTGGGTGGCAGCGCACCCTCGTCCTTCTTTCAACAGTCCAATCACTTGCCAGACTTCGAGGACGACATCAGAGGTAGAATTTTTATTTCCGAGTTATAGAAAGTTTCATTGAAATATCGAGGGATGTAGGTTCTTTATCGTCGTTCGAGATTTCTGGTGTACAGAACGAATTATTGTTTCAGATCATCGAAAGCAAACGCTCGACGATTACCCTAGGTTAGAGTCAGGTACGTTGTCCACGAGGAAAGCTTCGATTCGTGGGTCAATTGCGTTGGAAGGCCGTTTCACGATCGTTGCGTCGCGTTTCGTAGTTCGCGAATAATCGTAAATTAGCCAGCCGGGTGCAATATCCAGGTGTCGTAACGATTGTGACATCGGACCCGTTTCCGTCATGCTGACGATTTCCGTCACCGTTGCGACAGACGCTCTTTCCCGTTTCTTTTACGATTCCGCTCTATCTTGTCGCGATTCGACTCTTTCGATTTTTGCTTCGATATTTTTTCAAAGTATTCTGAAGCTAGGCTTGGAGTAATCTTTGAGCTACTCGGGAAATTGAATCGCGATACTTTTAACGTGTTCCGCTTGGAGAAATCGTGAGGGGAAAAAGAACAGTTTGGCCTGTTTTGTGCAGAATCGCGTCAACAAAAAAGACCGCTGTGGAAGGGTGACGATACGTTGTGCGCTGACGGACGAAGCTGCGAATTTTTTCTAATGTGCTGGATGTCCGCTGGCCTATTGGACGGCAGTTGCGGCGGCATTATGTATGCTTGTTGTCAGCGAAGAGAACCGAAAGGTAGTTCTGATTATAACCTGATTGAGGCACCTAGAGATCAATCTCAGCCACTTCCGTTGGATACTTACACGGAGAACGCCAATGATGATCGTAAGTCCTTCCTACTGGAGCATGCAATCCGATTCTTGCACTGGCATGATCGATCACGCATGTATTATTCTTCGACAATCTCTCCCGATCACTCTTCCTTTCGATCGACGAATCCCTTTCGTATCTCCGATCCTAGTCTCGCACTTTCTTCTTTCGGCGAAACATATGTTGCTTGCAAATTACTCGTCTCCTTAGCACTTGCACTTTCCTCCGCATGTCGACGACTGTCTTCACTTTCTCCGTTTGCATACTACGAAGCATGAAAGCACCAGTCTTCGATAACTTAGATTCGTGGATTCACGCGATGCATGTTTAGCAATCCATCCTATTTCCTCCTGAATTTCTCCAATTTAACTCGCCCTGTTCAAAGATCGAAATTGCATGCCGATCGCGATAAAATCCGTCCTAAGCTACTTTGGCTCTTCGGTTCTCTCGTCACGCGAGTCCACTCGATTTCGTAGCCGCTTCCGGTTTCGCAACGAGACAGTCCCTCCGAAAAACGAGTCTTCTGAACGCGGTTAATTTTCAATTAGCGGAAGTCTTACTGAATTACTCCAAGTCTAATTCGGTAATACCAAATCATAGATTCGACGCGTGCTTGTCAAGGTGTTAGAACTCTCGACGTCACGGTACGTTCCAAAATACTTTCGCTACTAACTGTCCAGCAAGCGCTCGATTGACCTATCGATCGATAGATCGTTGCACAGGGTCTGTAGGTGGTTGTGATTGCAGGCTGCGGCATACCCGCCTCGAAGCAAACCGCTCAGAGAAGAATCGTCGGCGGCGACGAAGCGGGTTTTGGCAGTTTCCCATGGCAGGTCAGATTTGCAACGACAAATCGAACTCGATCCGTTTCGCGTGTCGCGTTTTAAACAGTGAAAATGTTCTACTTTCCCAGGCGTATATTCGAATTGGATCCAGTCGATGCGGTGGCACTCTGGTTAATCGATTCCACGTCGTTACCGCTGGACACTGTGTGGCCAAGTGAGTACCTCACCAAAGAAAATCTATTTCTAATAAATATTTATTCATCGACACTTTTTAACGGTACCAGGGCAGCGGCTCGTCAAGTCCAGGTCACCTTGGGCGACTACGTAGTGAATTCGGCCAGCGAATCGTTGCCAGCTTACACTTTCGGCGTTAGGGAGATTCGCGTTCATCCTTACTTCAAATTTACGCCTCAGGCTGACAGGTAGATCGACCTTGGACGCGTAAATCTAACAGAATAAATTTATGGAACGAGATTACTGTTCATCAAGGTTCGACGTCGCTGTTCTTCGACTGGATCGACCGGTTCACTACATGCCTCACATAGCACCGATCTGCCTTCCCGAAAAGAACGAGGACTTCTTGGGTCAATACGGTTGGGCTGCCGGATGGGGTGCACTGCAGGCTGGTAAATAGGACAATGGTTTATCTACCAATTGAAACTTTGCCAAATATTCGGATAAGTATTTCGAACGGTGACTCGCGTATGCTCGTACAGTCTCGAAACAGACACTACATAAAAATCTGTCTCGAAACAACCTGATTATTAAAATCAGTTAAGTATCTCTGAACGAACAGGATCGAGATTGCGTCCAAAGACCCTTCAAGCGGTGGACGTACCTGTAATAGACAACCGAGTTTGCGAGAGGTGGCATCGTTCGAACGGCATCAATGTCGTCATTTACGACGAGATGATGTGCGCTGGCTACCGTGGCGGTGGCAAGGACTCCTGCCAAGTAAGTATTTACTTTGTTATTAGCTTCGGAATTCGAGATATCGTCAATCAACGGGTCGACTTCAACTTGGACGAACTTGATGCCAGCTTATATTCTGGCGTCGTTTGTTCCGCGCTAATTGCGCGTAACACGATACACAATGAAAGAACGTGACAATTAATGTCTTTGTCCGATCTAACTGGAACGATCTGGGATTCGATACAATGAGTGGGAATATACGGCGAGACTTTCTATGCTCGTCGGCGTGAAATTTATGAAGATGACTGAATCAGAAAACTCCTTTGTTAATGGCATAAATCTATTAACGGTCTTTCGATATGGTTGTAAACCTATTTTTCCTACCGCAATTAACGGAATCTTGATAACGTGAATCCTGCATATTCTTGGGTTCATTCATATTCGGCGAATAAGTTATTAACTCTAATGTAGGATATAGTAATTTCACTGTGTAATGGAAGCTTTCGAATCCATTAGTTATCGGAATTTGAAAATAATCTTAATTAGTAGCATGGACATGAAAGGCCGAGCGATAAAGTGATTTGTTTGCGCAGGGTGACAGCGGAGGGCCTCTGATGTTGGAGAAGACAGGACGGTGGTACCTGATAGGCATCGTTTCGGCGGGATACTCGTGTGCCCAACCGGGTCAACCAGGAATTTATCACCGCGTCGCTAAAACGGTCGACTGGATAACGTACGTGATCAATTCGTAGCAGAAGGCGATTATCGAAGACAGAAACTTTGCATGAAACAAAGTTCGTGACACGTTACTCGATTCGATTGTCGCGAAGGTACGGTGCGCGGTGGGACAGAAATTCAGCCATTCCGTGCTCGAAGGTTGTAAATATTGTAGCAATAAAAGAATGTGGTTTCGAATGTTAAGGAACAGACGATTTTCTCGTCCGGAGCGAAAGAATCGTTCAAGAAACGCCTCGATTGTTAATAAATATATTTTTTTACGGAAGGACCGAGTCACTTGTATAATTGCTTCTTCGTCGATCACCGAGGCGCTCGAGTAATAAAATTCCTCCTCAAAGTTACTCTTCGCCTCGGTTCTCGACGTACGATACGAACAGCGTCGACGTGAATATTTTGTACATCAAGTGCGTGTGATATTCGTTTGTATTCGCGCTTAATAAATATTCGATTTCTATTTTACAACGTGTGTACATTTATTTCGAAACAAATGGCATTCGGGAAACCTTCAACAGCCATAACTGCGTTAACAAACAATATCTTTATATTTTCTCTAAATACAAAGGAACGGTACAGAAATTTCTCAACTATCGTTTGCTATCGTAGCCAGCGATTTTGTTATAAATTTCGACAAAGTCGTTTTGATCTTAAGCTTCGATAAGTGGCGCAAGTACTAGTTTGTCAAGGAAGATTCATAGGACGATGGGTTGCGAAAAAACAAGTCATTTCCATTAAAAACATACTTTGTTATTAGACAACCGCTATATCTCAACGCAAGCTTAGCGTCGCAAATAGTAGAACAACGCGTTTCTTTTTAAGTATGTGTTTCCATTGCGTAATATAAGTACACATTGATCTCGTTGCCCGTTTCAACGATAAATAACAGCGACAACCGAATAATTTCCGCTTGCTCGAATGATAAACGCGTCGAACCGTCGAGGCTCGATTAAGTATGATGCGTTGGGATAAACTATTTAGTATATAATTGCAAGTCCCTTTTTTTCACACCAAAAAGAAAACAAGAAAAGAAAGATTAACTAATCTCCCGCTTTCGCGACGAATCGCGTAAGTAACCATCGACGTCGTCAACGAGCGTCGTTCTCCGTGCTTTCGTGTAACAACTAATTAGCCGGGAGCTAACGAGATCAGACTAGATACCGCGAATCCTTGTAAAGAGAAACGAATTCGTTCGTCGCGAAAACGGGAACGCGATTCATTTTCCTACGATGCCCTATGGTTAGAAAAAAAATTCGTTCGAATTCTGTAAGTACCTCGATATCGCGATGAAAAAGACCTCGGAACGCGAAGGAATTCCAAGGGGAACAGAAAAAATAGTGTCTACCTATCTACTTCGATCGACCTGCGTCAAGGGTGTCAGTCTTCCACGAGAAGACGCTTGTTCCCTGGGCAGGGCGAGTTAAAATTCTCATCATCTAAGATAAATAATCTAACGATAATACTTTCTCGAGAGAGTGGTACGCTCGAATACTAATAAAAGGAGGAGGACGAAGAAAGACAGAGGTCAAAAGGGACCCCTCTATTTCGGTCGAAGATACGTCTTCTGCTCGGAGGGGGGATTTTCGTCGATCACCGATGTGTCGTGAACGCCGTGGGCATTCTAAATGCACTGTGCGAACGATCGCGAACGGAAATCGTGTCAAGAATTTCGCTCGATCGTTCGTTCTTGAACATTCGCGATCCTTGTCACCCGACTGTCGAATCTTGGAACGTTACTGGATCGTTTAGCAGCTTTCGTTCGCAATTGTCATGGGACGAGAAATGCATTGACCGATTAGTGGCATTCGCGTGTGCGAGTTCCACGAAATGCTGGTTCTCTTCTACGACGGAAGTATGTCGAGTTCGAGGACGCTCTGCGTGCAAGGAGACAGCCCGTCTTCGCTCTTGTGGATTAAAACGTTTTTGAGATCCCTCAGCTTTTGCGGTTGTAGAGCCATGGCCGTGTTTCTGGGCAGCGTCGCGATGGGATTCGTGCTGTGACTCTTGAACGGTTTGTCGCACCGATTGATCCCGTTTTCCGATTCCGAGTTGTGCCTTCTCTTCGACGTTAGCTCCAAGCGTGGCTGCTTGCTCACGGAGTCCTTGTCCTCGAAACAGGGGACCGTTTGCATGGACACGGTGTTCCTGCGGTCGTTGAACAAGGACCTGGGATTCAGGGTCACTTCTCTGGCCGAGCCAAAGTGTTTGAAGTTCGCGCAGACGGGACTGTTCATGAAACTGGTATCGACCGGGCGACAAGGATCGGGCACGCGTTTCTCGATCTTGATTTCGGTGACGTTCTGACGGATCAGGATGTCCGGCGCCGCCTCCGGCAAAGGCTCCTGCGAGATCAGCGGCCATTTTAAGTCACGAGCCATATCGCGTTCGATCGCGAGAAACTTTCGTCTGGATTTGTCAACGTTGTGCCAGCGATAACGTAACTTGCTAAAAACGAGGTAGTCGACGAAGAAGTTCTCCATCAGCAACGAGATCACAAGATTCAGGACGCCGTAGCCGACCAGAATGAAACGGAAGCCGACGTTCTCAGGAACTACGAGCTCGAACCAATTAGCCAGCCATTCGAACGGAAACGTAGCGAGGTAGACCGAGAAGAGACTCAAGAAAATCAACGAAGTGAGCAGACCGTAATTCGTGAACAACGACTTTCTGTACGGGTGACCTTTCGAGAACGTGACGGCTAGAATGATGTACTGCATCGAACTGATGATGAAGACCGTGTAGTTTTCCACGCAACCGACGTCGTCCTTGTTCTCGATCGCCTTGATCGTCGCGTTGAACGGAACGAACCAATCCATCTGTTGAAGATGCCAGAGACTGGCGTATTGGAACACGGCCACGATCAGAATCTGCGTAACCAGACTGAGAATCGGAGTGGTACTGATCAAACTGTTCAGCGGCGCCGTTTTAACAAGCGGACCGTCGTACGTCTCGGTACGGCCGAAGAAGAAAGCGAAGATGGAGATGATAAAGAGATCGATGTACAGAAACTCGATGTCCGTCAAGTTGGATTCGATTCCGTACAACAGCATCACGGATATGAATTGAGTGAGCGAATAGCTAGCCATGTACTTGAAGATCCCGAAAGAGGTGACCAGAGCAGAGCGACCTTCTCGAATTACGGTCAACACGCAGGAAATGTTGGTTTCGCGGCTGGTGAACGGTGAAGCTACGGATGATTCGGTGTCCGAAAGAGAAATTCCTGTGTGAGCAGCCTTCAAAGCTCCGCAATCGTTCGCCCCGTCTCCCACCATGGCTGGAAAATATTTTGAAATCGTTATCGATTTTGTCGAGTGCGATTCGGTCTGTAATTTGACGAAAGCGTTAAGCTACTTACCAACGTAGTATCCTAAACACTGCAATTCCTGGACGAGCTGTTGCTTCTGATCCGGGGACATTCTTGCAAAGATTGCGCCGCGGGTGACGAGTTTGGGAATCAGTTCTGGGTAATATTGTTTGACTAGTGCCCACGTTTTGCCTGTGAGTGCAAACACGTATTTGTTTTTCGAGTGCTGCAAACTAGAACACAAATATACAGGTTAGAAATAGCAGGTCGTACATGAAGGATAAGTTTATCGAAGGATACTCACTCGTCGGATAAATAATTGACATCGTTTTCGAACTGATTGTTCCCGAAAGAGCCACTCTCGACCGTGTCCAAGCTAGCTACGCTATTTAAATCAGTCATTTCGCTGAGATCTCCGTGACCCATCGGTGAAATTGGCGACGGTTGACTGTTGCTCTTCGTGAAGTAGATCTGCGGCTTCGTTTGATTTTGCTGGGAAGCCGAGACCGCGATGACCGGTGTTCCCGGCTTCACGATGTCGCAGTCTCTCGCCACGGACAGGGCCGTCAACATGTTGTCGCCAGTCACCATCACGGTTTTGATACAGGCAGTGTTTAGAGCACTGATAACTGGCGTGGTTTCTGGTTTCAATCTGTTCTCCATGATCACGAACGCCAAGAAGGTTAAATCCGACTCGGCAGCTTCGCGACTCAATCTTTGAACTTTGGCGTAAGGAAGACGATTCAAAGATTTGTGCGCCATAGCTATCACGCGGTAACCTTCCGACGTGTACTCTTGCAACACGGCGCCAAAGTCTGCTGGAATGGATTCGGCTTTCGAAAGGCTGAGGATCATCTCTGGACTACCCTTGCAATAGAGATCGTAATGATTTGCTCCCAATGTTCTGGTGATCACGCTCATTCGTTGAAGACTGGACGTGAACGGAAACTGTCGAACGATCCCAATTTCCAGGCCTTGCTCCCCCAAGTCCGTCGTGGAACCAGCCAACGCGCTATCGAGATTGTTCAACGAAACGTTGTCCACCGCGTCGGAAGACATCGAGTTTTGCCGGCTGATGGAGATCCTTATCTCGTTGGGCAATTTCTTCAGCAGTTTCGAGCCCTTTGGCGGTCGAACCACCGTGGGAAAAAGCATGGAGAACTTGGAGGTGTCGGACACGTCCGGTTCCTCCAGTGTCCAGCCGGTCGACTCGAACATCTTCAGGTCGAGCGGGTCGCCAACCGGTTGATTGTCGATTATAGTGATCCCGTGACACGTTACCATTCCGATGAGGAGATCGTTCAGAGGCAAGGAGGAGATATCTTTGATAGGCAACTGGAACTTGTTATCGACTGCGGGTACGACGCCCCACATGTCGAGACCGTCCTCGGTCAACGTTCCAGTTTTGTCGAAGCAAATGCAATCGATCGATCCCGACACATTGATGGTTCTCGGACTGGTGCAATAAATCTTGTTCTTCTCCAACCTTTGTTGCGCCACCAGACGACCGACGGTCATAGCTGCCGGTAGAGCCGGAGGCACCACGATCGTGATCAAGTCCAAAGCTTCCAGAGCGATGTGGCTGCTCTGCACACCTCTCATGATCTTCGTCACGATGGTGTAGATCACGCCGATGCTCGCTATTCCAGCCAACAGAATGACGAACTTGTAGGAATCCTGTTCGAACTTGAAATCGACCGGTGGAGGATACATGATGGATCTCACCAGGCCGCCTTTACTCGTGTTGAAGCCTGTTCTGACAACGACGGCCAAAACCTGCGAGAAACGGTAACAGCGTGAGCTCTATGGTATTGATCGTAATTAGACAATTGATGGATCGTTACCTTTTCGGAGCCATAATATCTCGTCTGAATGACGCGAGTACCACAGAAGAGGGTATGTCTCGCGTGCTCCTTGGTGTCGTAGATGATCTCGCTGGACGAAGGGATAGGGGTTTTGGTGACGGGGACCGATTCTCCGGTGAGCATGGATTCGTTCAATATACAATTTCCGGTGAGAAGCACCGCGTCGCAAGGCATCAGGCAGCCGTGAGACGGAATAACTAAAATATCGCCAGGTACCAATCGTTCGGCAGGCACGGTTGCGGTTTGTCCAGTCATTCGATCTCTCATCACTGTTGCCACGTCGGAAGAGTGAACGGTGGACCGTAGATTGTGTTGGTTCTGTGTAAAAGAATCTTTTGTAATCGACACGATCTTCGCGGATAACGAGATACGACTACGAATAACAACGTACTCGACGAGTCTGGAAGACTGCCATAAGTATACCGATGCTGGACATGGTCAAAATGACCATGGCGTAGTAGTAGTAGTTGTCGGCAATCCAGAGACAGAAACTGAACAGTTGGAAGACGTAGAATGGATTAAGAACTTCGAGAGCGAGAAGCGTTACGATGCTCTTCACCGGAATCACGATCTCGTTGTTTCCGTAAACGCTGCGTCTAATTTGTACGAGAAAAATCATTCATCGGATTTAATATAACGGAGACAAACGATTGTTAAAGTCTCAAATTTACCTCATGTGCTGCTCATGATAATTTAGCCCTTGCATCTGGTGCAACGTCGAAGTTAAAACGCCGACGTCCAAGCCACGAAGTTTCAGAAATTCTGATCTCTCGTGGTCCCACACGTAGGTTAACTTCTTGCATTGAAAGAGAACGATGGATGGAACCTCTGCGAAGAACGATTCTTAATGAAATACGATGCTAACGGAGAACGTTCTTCTTTGTTCGAGAATACTTACGTTTGAATTGTCCTCCGACTAAATGCAAAGACAGCGTTGGGTATTCTTCCTTCACTTCCTTGATGGTTATCATGCTGCCGTTTTCCACCCATGGTTCGTTGTCCATCAACGACTCTCCGTCGAAAGGCTTGTTGCTTTAGAAATATCGAGACAGTTAGACGAAGTTGATCGCGAATTTTGAATGATTAATAAAAGGAGACACTAACACTACATCCTGAGCAGCCAAAGTCTTCAGTTTCTTCACGTAGTAGCTCGTGTGCTTTCCTTGGAATTTCTCTACCAACAAAACCGTGTCCGCGTCTTCCAACTGGCACTTGGAATGAGTTGCCAACAGCATCAAGTGCGGCACCCAGTGGAAGACCAGCCTGAGGAGTCCTCCGGTGACGATGATCAAGAACCAAGTAACAACGGTGAAGATGTTGTTCCTCTTGTAACTGAAGTAAAGCGGATTAGTTGTCGTCGTCGGCGAAATAAAATAATGTCGTCGAACTTACCCATATATTTCCATCTGGTCTTCTTCGCCAGGATTGATGTAATCGATGCCATTTTTCAGGTGAAGAATTCCGTTACCTCTGGTACCTGAAAAGAGAGAGGAATTCAATTAGCGACGCGTTTTGCAATCGAATCGAGAGAGGTTCGCGACACGATATTTTAAGGCGATTTCGTTGTCGAAGGTTTCAAGGGCGGCACATCGAAATTGAATAGCCGCCAAGCGATCTATAGGGGCGTCCGGAGCGAAATCGCGCCTCTTACCCTCCAAAAGTTCCGTTTTCTGTTCGCGCTGATGATCAGCAGTCGCGTTGGTAGCGCGTGTTCCAAACACGCTGTACGCGTTTCTGGCGAAGCTCAGGTTCAGTTTGCTCGGCGTGGGCGGCATGACGATTGCGGGAGAGGGGGACGAGGTTCTCGGACAAATATTACTCTTCTCTTTCGTTAAAATTAGCTACAATTGTCGAAAAAAAGCGTTCTCGCCAGGAGATCGAGCGAAGGATACCGTTAGTTTTCTGGTATCGGGTACTCTCTTTCGACCTTTCTTGTCCTTCTTCTTAATAATTGATCCGTCGTTCGTCTCACTACTACATGTTATCACTACTTTTATCCAGCTACGTAAGTTATTGTCTATGGGTCACTCGATCGAGACCCTTTCGTCGTCCGTTCGACGACCAATTAAAAACGACACCAAAGTTCGTCAGGGTATTGGTTCGATAGATGGATATCAAGGGGGATGGAGCACTCGTGTGACAAGAGAGAAAAACGGGAATCTAGCCGAGACCGGAGGATGGTTCAGCCGTGGATCCCCTAGGAAGAGTGCAGGGCGAGGCGGTCGTTCTTCAAGGTAATAACCCCGTCTGCTACCGACACCGATTGCCCGCCATTTTTGGGTCCGTCTTCAAAGTTCTCGACTTAGACCTCGACGTGGCGTTCCGTTGCATTTGGCTGGCATAGAGGATCGACGACGATTCGGGTTTTCTATCGAGGCTCGAGGATCGAATACGTTTCCACGAGACCGACGAACGCGACGACGAATACGACGACGAAGACGAGGACCAAGACCGAGCGGCAGGACAACGAGGACGTTTAGAATGATAGGACTGTAGAAGCTGATGCTATCGTTTCGGATCTGCCCCCGATTTTCTGGATTCGTGTCAGTCGCCAGGATCAGTGAGCTTTCGCCATCCAATTCGTGGCGTGGTGACTGCTCGTTCACTTTCGCTCATACCGCGACGTAAGCAAGCCTGTTTCGATACTCTGCCGGACGATCTCGGACGAAGCGGCTGAGGTTCCTCGAGGTCCCAGCAGTCCACCGGACACTTCTTCGTCTTGAATTTGTTCCTGATGGTCGGTCCAACGTCGCTTCGACCTCTGCCCGCGAACTCAGCTTCGATCGACTCTCTTGTAATCGCGTGCCTCCCTTTTGCTGTCTGTTTGTACGATCTCAAATACATTACGGGTTATAAAGTTATTTTGAATGCCGTCGGATGCTTCGATCGGCAGAGAAACTGGATACCCCGGTGCCGGGTGCTCGATCGGAGATTTCTCTCGATCGACAGAGATCCGCGTTATCGGTCGAACACGATCGGGTCGATAAATGATCCTTCGATCGCGCGATTCCCGATAGCGTGCGGAAAATCACTCTTCGAGATCGATATCGCGAGTCCTCGAAAGTTCGCTTTTAAAAGATTGCTCTTCTATTCTTAAGTACACGAACGTCGCACGAACGTCGAATAAAATTGATCGGTCTCTATTAATAGAGAAACCGTTAACGGCTAGGTGTGTCTCACCAAGGTTCACCTCACGATATTCGCGAATTTCGACGAGCTATATATAATTGATTACGTCAACGTCAAAGTTCTTTTTTTTTTCAAGGTGATCGCACGATTCTCGCGAGTCCTAAATTCGTTCCGTCACCGGCAAACGAAATCACACTCGTTTCGCGACACCGAAACTCTTCTTTCTGATCCGGTCGATAAATCCTTGACGATCGTCCTCGCGAATAATCTTTCCTTCGTTACGATCGATTCTTTCAGATGATCCGCTTAAACGATTCACCCTCTTCGGGACTTCTAAGTACAGAGAACACGGTGCAATAGTTTGTTCCTAGCATCTTGCTCATAATGAAAGACCTTGGTACGCTGGTTTCGTCCGTTTGTCAGTTTCGCGGTGGCTAGAGGCCAGCCCGTTAAATTAGGAAACAGAAAAGAAAAAAAATCTCTCTCCTCCAAAAAAGTCACTTTGCACACGATCGTTTCACTTGCGTTTCACGCATCTGTGGCGTTTTTAAAAACCACGGCCGACCAGTTTTTTCTCTCACAGCACCCACCGTGTATCCCCGTGTCGACATGCACCGTGTTGCTTTATAAGCGTTCGCGTTCGAGGAAAAATGACACTTTTCCTTCTCGCATCCCTTCTCGCTTTCCTTCTCGATAACTGCACGTATTCCAGGTAATTTTTCCTTCTGCCGCGTTCGTGCAACGTGCTCGTGATGGATCTAAGATGGCGACCAAACCCAGCCGTTCCTTTCGGTCTTGCGCTCCGAATTGCACGCTCCTCGAGACTAGACGTCGTCGATTCTTTTCCTGGCTCACAGCACGATTTATTCGACGTTGTTTCGCCTTCGACCGGTTCGTAGGATCTTTGTGAAGCACTGACAAGTACGCGACAGCTGACACAGACCGTTCGCCCCAATTACAACGAGATTCCAGACGCAAGTGTATTAAGGGAATCGTTTGGCATTAGCAGAAGACTTGCGCTCTGCTAGCTTCCACATCCCGGTGTTCAGGGCCGTATCGCCTCGTTCCGTTTCTCTTCAGGTATACGCGTGTCACGTTATCCGACGCTGCGAAATCGTCGCCGATTCGAATTACGCTACGTCGACGTTTCGTCACGCGTTTCGTAAGATATTCGCCGGTATTTGCACACGCTGGCTGATCACCGTGTGAACATTTGTCGCGACACGAATCTTATTGCATCGTCGAACTTTGAACGATTTTCTTCCTTTCGTTCTGTGGACTCTCTACTTTCGATAAACGTTAATTATGTCATATCGAACCAGGAAGCGTTTTCGAGTGGTCTGCCGATAAATCGCTAAGTTTCAGAAATTCGAAACATTTTAGCCCAGTGGCACTGGGATCGTAGTTTCGTGCCTGAGATATCCCTACCATTGGATTTTGCCTCGACCTACGACGACGTCGTGGCTCGTGACTCATTTATTTCCACTAAATCCTCCGTGGTGCCGTGTACGTCCCCGTTAATTGCTGCTCCAAATTCATACGGTTATTTCCATGGCGTCCCGTCGTTAAATACCTAACACCTGTTTAGGGTTCGCCGCTTCAGAAGCAGACAGAATCGAAAGGTTTCAACCTACGCGCGAACTCATAGCTCCATCTTTGGCGCTCGACGGCTGTCTCGGTTGCTCCAATTGGCCATCGGAGTATTGAACGAGTCCGAGGGCCTCGTGGTCGATACTTCGTTCGAGCTAACTCTTCTTCTCGAACAGCACGTGCCAACCGACTGAAACGTTCACACCTAACTTCGCCGCGAATGGTGGGGGTTACCCTTGCTTATCCTCTTCCGCGTAACTCCCGTTTTAAACCCTTCCAGGCAAACTCGTCGCTCCCTTTTATGTTCGGGCTTAACGAGAAGTTATGCTTTTTGGCAAACGAAGCAGAAACGCTTTAAGAATCCGTAAGAGGATTTCGCCACAGGAATTAGCTTCTAGTTTCCTTATTTTCTTGGACAGTTGACTTCTTTTATTGGATTACGCATCCTTGCGTAATTCGCGGTAAACGATATGTATGTTTCTCGAATTTCCGAGAAAAAAAATTTGTCAAAAATTCTGACGCTATTTTTTCTCGGTTATATGAATCGATTCAGAAATTTATGGAATGTCTCGCTGTTACAAATCGTCTGACATTCCATTCGCACTAGGTAGAAGACGGTTTAAACACGGGTCAGATTGTAACTCGCGATGATTAACACGCATGGTCATTAGACAGAGAGAACGTCATTAAGATTGCATCTTAGTACTCGTGTCCCGTTTCTAATCAAATTTGTCGAAAAAGAAAAAACGGGATAAGCATCGAATAATTTTGCAACATAACCTTGACAGATAATTTCTTACTGTTTGTCGTCAAGATGTTTTATCGTGATCTTTCCATCTTTACAACGGAATTTTTCAAGATCAGCATAAGACTTCACGAGAATCGCTTTAGAAAAGATAGCAAATATTTATGTAAGGTGAACATAGTAAATTGTACAAGAATCGATTCTTGGATACCGAAGATGTATTGCTCTTTCTGCAGCTTGCGTCATTGGTTATTCTTGAAAAATTGCAACACTTCCGGTTAATTGATACACGCTTTTATTTACTATACACGTACCCGACTATCCGATTACGATTCACGCGCTCACCTCGCTATTCTATCGATCAAACGGAAATCTATAGGAATGTTTTTTCCTTTTACGCACATTCGCTGATTCAGTTATCGAACACGTTTCGTGGTAAACACCACGAATCTACCGCGAAGCACGATAAGAGCAGATGATCGTTAAAGCGATCAACGACTTATCGATCGTAAGGCGGATCTCGAGGTGTTTGGAAAACAGGGGAGAAGTACAATGGGCGATACGAGTTGTAATTTCGTAAATAATTTTTGATATTAAAGCGTTGATTGCTGACGGAAAGGAGATAGCCGGGGCAATAAATTAAATTAGGCAACTAAATAATTGTAAACGCTGCCTGCGTCGACGCGAATTAATGTTTCCATTGTGCCATTCAACGCGTTAAGCCTGACATAATTAATTCAGCTTTCATGTAACGGCGACGTTACGCAAGACTGTCATTTTCGTGACGATGATCGAAATTTTTTTTCGCCTTATCTTTGGTTAATTCAGTGTTATAATATAACTCTTTTAACAAGTGCTACTTGAACGAATAGGTCGAGGTTGAACGCTTTACGATTCAGCGACACTCGCATTGGCGTAACTATGACTTTAAGGTGGATTCTAAGCAAGTGTTCGACGTGTCGATGAATCTGGGCAAAGTTAAGCCAGCAATTAAGAACAGTATCAATCGTTCTTTATCGTCGTCGAAGCGTACGAGGATTCCAATGATAAATCAAGATTCTGTTTGAAGAAATTCAAAGGCGTATCGCGAAAGATACGCACGCCTCGACCTCCGTGCTATTTTCGAACATGGTCGACGAAATTCGATGAAAATCGTCTCATCTTCTGGTTACAGTCGCCTAATTCATCTCCGTTTAGAAACGCGAGCGCCTGTTCACCGAGCCGTTTGAACTTTCCGAGTCTATAATAATCCAGTGACTCGTTCTTGACGAGGTCGAAATTTCAACGGAGTCATCAACGTTTCCGGTGAAGAATTATTACTAACGTTATTTACGATCATCCGCGGATCTTCGAGTTTCGAGAAGAGCGTATAACTGCAGTCGGACGTATTTGCATTGTCTTTCGTGTTATCGCGTGGAAACCAGAACACATTCGTAAGCTTAGAGAGAACAACTGACTCATTTCGTGCTTTATCTACCGGAAGTTTGTTGTTCGTTTTTCACTTGTAATGTTGTCTAAATGTCATCGATGATTCTGCGTTACAGAGGACATCTGTCCCTCGAAATACTAATTAAGAGAACAGATCGAGGTCGCTTAGGTATTACATAATTTAATTAAAAATTGTATGCGTTTTCCATTATCCACGAGTTAAGATATCGATATCGAACGATTTCATCAATGATCGATCAAGAACTTCATGATCAACTAACGAAAACACTTCACGCAATTTCGATAACCGAAATGTCGTTATTGATTATTTTGCTCGACCCATCAGGATTCTGAGTCGCGAAGGAAAAACACTAGATTCGTGAATGGCGGTCGATCGCAATGAGTAACCTTCGAGGTTATCTCGATTAGAACTCCATGTGCTCATTGTACATCCATGGACACGAACTAATCGATACAGAAATAACATTGTGTCGATGAAAGAGATACGAGAATTATTGGCCCACTTTAATTACGACGATGAGGTAATTCGCTATTTATTTCCAATTCGATGATATTAATATCGTTCAGCAATTCCGTGAAAAGATATTGCACAGGTATCTTGTACGGTGACGCTACGTTGCGATTCTGTCAGATAAGATCTTTCCTTAGTTCCGTGCAAAGTTGCAGAGACAATCTGTAGGGATCAGACTCGCAACGATCGTTGCACAAACTTACGCTGATAACGAACAATTGAACATGCAGAATTGTGCGGAAATATAAACGAGCTGATCGATGAGTTTAATCAATTGAATCGTTCGAAAAGGAATTTCATTCGCGGAATCATTTTTGGCTACGTGATTCGGTTCGAAGAAAATAGAACTCGAGAAGATGTGACAGAACTCTGAACTCGTCGAATGTGGCCAGTCATCATCCACTTTTAAAACTGGCAGCTGCTGCCAAACGAGAGCTCAGATTTGTCAATTACACGCTCGAGTCCACGATTGTGTAGCTGTTAAAGGGTAATTCTCGATCAGAGAGGCTCGTTAAACTTCGAGCTTCGAGACATTGGCCAACGCGTTAGTTAACGAGTTCTAATATTAAAGGTTAATTCGACGATAAGAAAGTTTCGTCGTGCATCGACGCAATTACGAGCGAATACCTTTCAATCCTCCGCAGGAAATTTAATAAATTCCTCGTTAACGAGCCTCCATATAAAAGGTGATGTTGCGAATATGTTTTATGCATTATCTTAAACGCACTATCCACAAATTGCTTCCGTAAATAATAACAATGATTCACAATATCTTCGTGCTTCAAACTTTGAACTCTAATCAGAACTGTTTATAAGTTTCTCAATAGGAAAAATAGTAAACATTCTACTTCCATATGATATTTTTCAAACCGTATCTTCGGAAATAACTTACGTTTTACTAATCGAGTCATAAAATATGGTCAACTACGAATGGCCATGCTCGAAGTCAATGTCTTTTATCTCGGTAATATATTTGATAGCACTGTAGCATTATCATACTGCTTACGCTATGTACAGTAAGTTTCTAGCGATTCAAACAGGTGGTTGAAACTTTACGAGTACGTTTCGTATGTGCAATTCGCCTAGCGAAACGAAATCATTTTACAACCGCATGCATCTGGCTTCGATGTTGAGCAATCGAAGACAGGTTGTCGACTGACGCAGAAGAAAGTTTCACTCCCGAACGTGGAGCCAACTATTCGTAAACAGAACGTTCCTTCTACGGAAATCATTGATCGAGCATGATACATCATTATTATTCGAGTACCGCTTTGTATTTACCATTATCCAGCTTTTGCTAGTACAGTGGGACCAATTGTATCGAAATATGTTTAAAAGTTATATTGACAAATGGAAGTGGCAGTATAAGACTGCGTTAAATACCACATTCCCACAGTGGGAAGATACCCGAAGCAGATTTCGCAAGCGACGAAGTTTCAAACAGAAGCCTACCGTTCATGGTGTATCCTTAAGCTCGTTCGAAATCGTAGTATCTTCCCCTTGGTATTTCGACGGCCACGAAGACGACGGCGGCGACGAGGACGGTGGTTGTTGCGGGCATTTAGGAATAATCGAACACCAGGGGTTTGCCGGGCATCGCGCGTCACGTGGGGTTTCGTCTTTCGAAATTCGAGGTGATAGAAATTAAGGGAACATAGTTGTCCTTTTTCCTTTTTCGGGGCCGTTTTCGTTTCCGTGGCACGCGCGGTTGCGCCGTCGAGAAGAACGCTACGCGACCGCGCAGGAAAGCAACAGGGACGCGCAACGGAGCGTCGAGCAACACTGTCGATCCAGCTCGCGAGTTACTCGCTCCGTTACCGACTCGCGTAATTGTGCTCGTACCGGCGATCCGCTCCTATCTACCACTCTGATTGGTCGAAAACCGCTTCTTATCAGCGGACATTTTTCTGCTAAAACCGATGATCCACGACCAGCCATCAACCTCGCTTATCAAACGATCTTCCGATTTCTACTATCAACCGCTTACCCGGCAACTCGATTATTCTTCGTTTGACCTAACATAGATGCCAACGACTCGTCGCTGGATTACGTATATATACGTTTATCGATGGGGACGGTGATTTAACGTTGAGTCATAATGGGATATAGATTTTCCCTGACAGCGGCGATTAAATGCCCAAAGTTATTTACGCGGCTTAACATTTCCTAATAATTATTTTAAATTTGAATGAACCTCTCTTATCGGTATTTGCGACAAAAATTAGCTTTCCTGCCAAGTGAATTCGCGTACGTTTTCCGTTTTCTTAGAAGAGAAAGTATAGCTTCGAGGTACCGGTCTTCGCGCTTCCGCGTTTCTTTATTCATCTTCGTTCTCTTCTGTTTTCTCTTCTTCGAACGGTCATCTTAATTGCTTTATTTGCATTCCAGCAATTATACCTTTGACACGATTCGCCAAGTCGAGATGTTTAATGTCGACGCGGTATCTCTTCCATCGATTTTTGTTTCTACGAGCTTGTCCTCGAAAAAATATCAGTGATCATTCGAGTACCTGTTTTCGTACTTTGTCGCGAAGCACTTTCAGATTTCGAGCGTTGATTCCGACGATTGGATGGGAATGATAACCAGGAAAATGAACGGGGATGCACTGGGAAGACATCTTTGCCGACTCTTTGTTTATTCTCTGCGAGACACTGGATACAATGTATGCTTTAAAAAGCAGTCAACAAGATAAAACGTCTTTAGACGTTCACAATGATTTATTGTCAGTTGTGCTAGTTAAAAGGTAGTTTTAAACAGAACGCAGATTTCTTTATTAGGCGCTCGACCGTTAAATAGTTAATTAATATAATAATAATTAAATATATATTAAAATTTATCTCTCACTCTCTCCCCCTTTTCTTTTCGTCCATTCCTCATTTCGTTCTCAACGCCGATCAGGAAGTTAGTCTTGGAAAGCAATCCCTCGCTTTTCAAAGAATGGTGCAAAGTGTCATTCTTTATTCTATGAAAAAAGACAAAAAAGAAAAGAATAAAAAAAATGAAGGTTCTGATCTATTTACAGCGAACCAAGTAATTTATTGCAGACTGGACTAGGTAAATGCGAATGATTGTCAACGAAACAGGAAAAAAGAAACGATTTCGTCCATCTGTGTATCAATAACGTCTATCAACTTTCTAATCGGTCCGACAGTTAAGAAGTGAACCGACCACGCGATTTCTTCGCAAGACATATGTCCCCCTTCAGAAATCCTTCTTCTTGTCCTTGTCCAGCACGTCATCGTGGTAACTGATTTCCTGTCCAGCGACAGCTGGATGAAGATAATGAGGCTCCACGTCGATCTTCTCCTTCACGTCAGAGTCCAGCACTATCGAGTGATGAGGTCCTCGATGAAGCATCGTAGTCGTCGAGTGATGTTGTTGCTGCTGCTGCTGCAGTTGCGGTGTCTGTTGCTGCTGCTTCCCGGACGACTGATGCTGATGTTGATGCTGGTGCTGATGCGAGTGTTCCTTCTCCTCCTCTTGACTGTATTTCTTCTCTAACATCTCTCTCAACTTGGTCAGATCTACTTCCTCGAATTTCGAAAACACTTCCTTAGCGTCGGACTCGTCCAATTTCACCGAGTCCTTCAGCTGCTTGAACTGCAAGAATCTCTCGTTGGACTGGACACCGTCTTTGGTAGTGTTCTTCGAGACGTTTAAGTTGGGATCCAGTAATAGATCCGGTGTTTCATGAACTACGTTCACGTTCTTGTCCAAATTTTCCTCCGTCAACGACTGAAGTAATGTGTTGTAATCCGGCTTTATCCTGGAAGTCTCCATGCAGGAGCTGCACGAGCAATTGGTGATGATTTGAACCTTCTTCTGCATCGTTATCGGCTTATTCTTCTCGTCCTTGCAGTCCAGCGTAACCTGAAACGTTTGGACAAGATCGTTAGCAACGATAAAACGTTCTCGGCGGTTCGAGTCACCGGTTCGTTAACTGACCGTGTGCCAGACGCTGTCCAAAGGTTGGCAAGAGTCGCAATAAGGTCTTATCAGGTCACCGGGAGCGGACGGTTCGCTATGGGGCACCATGTACGAGAAACAAGCTCCGACGCACACGTTGTTGTCCAATTCCTGCGAAGAACATTGCGGCCAGGTAACCACCTGCTTGATGGGGGTTGTCTTGCACCAACTGTGCTTGTCCGGGTACAGCACGATGTTGTGAACCTTGAAAGGATAACCATCGTCAGCTCGTATAAGAGACTCAAGGGAGCATCGTAGAATTTTCTAAACCTTATGTTCACGATGGGCGTTCAGCAGGCTCGATTGGAAGAACAGGACGATCGCCAACGTCAGGTGACACGTCGATCCCATGATCCCTGAAACAATAGAACGAGAGAGAGGGTATCCGAATCTTTCTAACTGAACGGATGGCGAAGTAATTGGGGGATGTGTCTACTTTCTAATCCCTTCTTTAGACCTGCGAGACCTCAGACCCTATCTTTACTCTTCCTAGACTTCGCATTCTACGCGAACTTCTCCCTCAGAGAGCGGATCTAACAAACAGCGTGATTCAAGTTTCCCCGATCTTTTAATCACGAGTTCCAACTTTCTATCCCGTTGGAAGATAAACGACCGGAAAGCGAGCGAAAGAATTTCGCGATTGCGATTCAAGGTGTGCTGCCTGTATCGCGTGCACGTGTGAACCTCGTATTCGCTGGTCCCCACCCCGAATGAATGAAAGTCCCGGGTCTCCGGTGGTACGGCTCTCGAGGTCTCAGGTTCGACGACCGTCTGAAATTACGTCACCGGGATTTGTCGTGCTGCCGCTTCTTCTCCCTCTCTTCTCTTTTCCCTTTTTCTTCGCGTGAATTTTGTTTAAAGCGAGCTACACGCGACGATGTATGTATAGAGGGCTCGTAAACTCGGTGGGACCACGTTTTTTCAGGGAACACGGGGCGAACAGGAGAGAGGAGCGGGCTTGCGGTTGTTGGCGACGACGCGATCGGCTTCATTCATAAATCGTTTAGGACCGATTCCACGATTACCCGAGAAGCTGGATGCTCGAGTTTTCAGTCGCCGAGATGTCGAGATAACGGAATTCCCCAGGGTCTCACGGGAAAGAGGAGACTTTCTCGTGGACGTCCCGGCCATAAATAGCGCCGGATTTAGGCTACGAGACTCGAATACGAGATGCGCACCTCTTCCGGCGATACACGGGATTTTGTAAGGTCACGTTGCAGTAGCACGAGAAACTTTCGGCCACTTTAACCGAAAGGAAAAAAGAAATTTCCTCGGACAGCGGCGGATAAAATAGACTTATCTTCGACAAATTCTTGAATTTACGATCTCTGGAGGGTTGCGTACCATTATGGGAATATGCACATTTTGGGTTATAAAACGGAGAGCTAGGAATTTACAATTGTATGCTTTGTTCCTAGACGTGTACAAATGAAAGTACTTCCACTCTAAGTTATTAGCGAACGTTTCCAAGAAACAATTAACGACGAAAGCAAGAGATTAGCAGCTCGGTTAATCGACTTCAAGGAAATTGGTTTATTTTCACGGTTCGATCATTAATGAAGCAATAATTCCGCATCAGTGGGATAAAGGAAGAAGCAAAAGGGTATATTTATAGACCGGTCGGATCAATGGCGGCGGAAAAAAGCGTCAATCTCATCGTACGATCTTTCTTGATCCTTTGGAGATCAGCGAGAACAAGTGGTACGAACGACAAGGTAAAAGGATGTGCAGGCCCAATTACGAGAGCTCGGCCCCTTTTTTGGTCCCTTGAAAAATTTCCGATCCGTTTAACTGCGAAGCATCGGGAGGAACCCTTCGTGCATCCTCCGTCCTTCAGGAATTCACTTTGTCGTTGGACTCGCGAGTTGAATTCCTGACAACAGAAGGAATCTCGTCTCCCTCTCCAGGACAATTGGTCCCCGGTATTTCCAGGAGAGGATCAACTTTTCGTTCCCCTCCGATGCATTTCAATCCACAGCCCTTTTCTTATTCTCCCTCTGCTTCCCCTTTATTTCATTCGTGGAATCTTTTCTTTTCTCTCCGCTGTTTTCGTCTACTTTATTCTCGCGCAGCTCTATTCTCTGCTTCCAAGAAACTTTCGAGACATCTCGGCTAATTTTCCATGCGAAAAGATCGATCATCCATCGATGGATTAACTCGTTCGGGAATACTAAATTCATCATTCATCGAAGTTTGTTTCATTTCTCGCGTGTTTTGTGCAGCATACGAAAGAACCCGTGCTCTCGAAACGAGGTGAAAGGAGAGATAAAATAAATTATCGCGGCATTGCGAAATGAATGAATTCGGGGACGAATACTCGAAACTCGTTGGGAATTTTAAGCGAGATAGTGAGATTATAAACAAAATTGAATATAATCTAAAAAAGTGATGGATCTTTGTATCACGGCGAATTCACAAAAAATGGTGTATTTAATTAATGAACGTCGACCAAACAAGCGTGAAAGAAACTCGAGGCTGAAGACAGCGCAAATTAGCCTAAACATATGATAGTCCGAAAATTAGTGTTCTCGTCAGATTCTTGTTGAATCACCCTGTAGGTGGCGTCGAGGGGAAGTGTGTGGCTACACGGTTCGGCCTCCCATCTCGTTTCTACGAGCGGAGATTTGAATGACCGAGTAGGGGATACAACAGGGACGTACTTAATCCGGATGAGTCTCACGGCTTCCAAGTACCACTTCATCATCTCTCTCCATACTATGATCCTCAGTTTTCTTACACACAGAAATACGACTCGTGTATAACAAATTCTCATCCTCTTCTCCTCTATCATTCAAGACGATTAAGGTTAACCTACGTCCGCTTTATCCACCCTTAGAATGTTTTTCAATTAGACCACGTTTTTTTTAAACGATTCAAATTTTGTTTAAACCGATGTATGTCACCCATCCGCTGACACCGTGGAGACTTCGACAGAATTACACTGTGCAATCTTTCCTCTATTTAATTCGTATCGATTCATTGAGAAGATATGCGACCTTCTTTAAGGTATAATGAACGAGAGTTTCATTAGTGCACGCCGTCGTAGCAGAAAATTTGCAGGAATACGGGGTCAGAAGGGTTAAAGATGCAGGATTGAAACGACTACGGCCCTGGGTGGGTCGCAGCCAGAAGTCCAAAGCTCTTTGTTGCTGCGCCACCTTCTCTTCTCGCCTCTAGGTCCGTGTCGGTGGCGTGGAGGATCCTCGGTCCACCTCCTTCTTCACCTTCCTTCCTCTCTCAGTCCCGTTCCTTCGATTTGCTCGTGTCGTCGAGAAACGAGGAACGAAGACAGGCTGGCCACGGGCGTGCAAGCGAGAGAACGCGTCCAACGGACAAAGCTGGAAGATAGGGTCCTGCGCCCAGCCGCGAGATTAATTTGATTTTCAACCAAATTTGACGCGCCCCCGAGCCTAGGCGGACGAGCACAAAGGGTGCCGCGATCTCTGCACGCCACGAACGAAATCCGTTCGTTTGGTTGGCGCTGCTCTTCCCGCGGGACCTTTTAAAAAGCACGGGATTAAACCCGTCCTATGGAGCTTAACACCTACGAAAGTGGGACGGAGAAAACCGGAGGTCCTGACGTGACACTCTTCCAGGAAATTTCTAATAGAAATTCATATTTCATTCGGACTTTTCTCTGACTAGAGAAGAATTATGTTTAGCAAACCTGAACCAACGATTTGAACTTCTGGTTTGGCAACCTTCTAGAGAACAGCGACTCGATAACGAGAGAACGTTATAGCTTTGCCAAATTGTGATTATTTATAAGAAATGTGATCTCTTGGTAAATCTCTTCTCGACTCGATAAAATAGCTGAAGCTGCTCGACCGGTGGAAGCATCGGCGAATAGTAGTTCGAGTACGCGGATACCAGAGAAATTGCTACCGCACAGCTGGCTCACCTTCACCAAGCTTCAGGTCTTAGGCGCGACCATATCTGGAAGAATGACTCGTAGTACGGGTCACTGTTGAAGCTTACTATTTGCTAAATTCCTTTCCTCGCGATAAAGACTAGCTTAAGAAGGATACGCGGTCGTTTTACGCCCGTGAAATCTTTCGTTACGCGTCTCGACGTTGACGAAGGGTTCTCTGTCGAAAAAAAGCTCGAAGAATGCGTGGTCGATTACCGCGATAGATCAGAGCGTAATTTTAGAGCACAATATGTTCTTCCACTTTAATGAGAAATCCCTATCTCCCGATTTGGTCTAGCCCAATTTCGCATTTTGCGACCGTCCTTTGCTCCTCTTTTTTCCTCTTGGCGATACCGGTGCCGTGGCCAAACTAATAGGGGGGGTCTAGCAGGGTGAAGATCCAGAAGGGGAGCAAAATAAAAGAGAGAACGGGCCGAGGTAGGGTGTAGAACGCGCCAGAAGCGAGAAGGAACCAGGGAAGCGAAGACGCGAAGAAGCGAGAAAGAAGGGGACCCAAAAGAAGAATAATAAGAAGGAAAAAAAGTTTGCCAACAGCACCGGAGGAAGCCCCGAAAACACGTTGGACGTGTGGCGCCATCTCGGCTCCTTTTTTTTCTTCCTGTTCCACCACCACTCGCCGCACACCCCTTGTGCTTGTTTCTCGTGCTTTTGTTACTTCGCCCATACTAATTCTTCGCGAGCTGCACGGCGTGCCCAGAGTGTGTGTGGGGAGAGATCGAGTCGAGAAGGGGAATGGGGCCCCGAAAGAGTCGAAGGGGCCTCATGCATCGACCAGTGTCGGATTAAGCTGCTTTCGCACCCTCTTCGTTCCTTGATTAGATCGCAATTTTAAGCTCGCTGAAATTTCGACACCGTTCCTAATCGCTCCAGCCTCTCGATCATTCTTGCGCGTTGTTCGCTTTCGTGTCGGGCGAAACTGCGTCGGAAAAACTCGACGGACGCGCGTTCGCGAATTTCGAGCAGCGCTCGTTTTAGGAATAACCGAACAAGAGCGAAACGCAAAACGTGTGTGTACACCGCTTTAAGAATCTTGCGTCGGTGTGGTGGCCCCCAAGAGAGAGTGGACCACATACCTGCAAACGAACGTTCTTAAAAGGGAGGGCAGAGCCCAAGAACAGGTCGTTAAAATGTAATGACATTGTTGTTTTTAATGCTCGCCTCTTTAAAACGGGCCCTTTCGTCTTCCTCGAGCCTGCTCGCTACTTCAGCCGTTACTAGCTCTCTCGTTCTTCTTCCTACTTCTTCTCGTTTTTCTATCGGTAGAGGAAAAAAGTAGCCGCGACTTCTCCGTTTCTTGCGATCTAATTTCCTTTTCCTTTTAATGTCTCCGAGAAACACCTCCGTTTCGAGGACCGCGACAAAAGTAGGAGAAACTCGAGTTCATGATTTAGTAGGTAGGTGTTCCTCTCTCAAAGAACCGGCAATTTGTATTTGGCCTTTTAATGATCCCTTTTGGTAACCGATAACCCGTTACCTGAGGTGCATAGACACCATACCGCAGCGAGATGACACAGCTACTTTGGTCGCTTTTATAGCCTGGCCGTGGATTGACATGGACCCCCTAGAAGTCTTCGTCTCTTTTTACTTCGTTACGACGCGTACAACATAATCGAAGAACGTAAAATGGAGGAGACACGGGACTTGACGAGAACTTTAAAACGGCAATTTTCTCGAAGGGCGTGAACGTATTCGTACATTAGGGAATCGAAGCTCGCTTCGGTAACGTCAGATTTAAAACGGAACATCGTAAGATGTAATTAAGCGGGCCGATCTTCGGGGAACGAGACCGGTTAATGATATTTCGATGTTTACGAGATGAAGCAACGTACCTAATAATAGATTCGAATTTGTGTCATCGTGTTTGTTCGTGGAATCTCTGTAACTTCCCTTCTCCTTCGATATAGCCAAGGTATAAGCAAGTATCGTACGCGTATTTCGTTGGATATCTTTTGAAATTGGTCAATTAAACGCCAGTGGCAAGTCGAACCAGTCGCAAAAGGTCTTCATTAGAGAGGACCAGTCGGCTACCGCGCAACAGTTTAGCTCGAAAGTTAACTGTTGCGTCTAAGAAGAGCTATCATTAACTCGAGAATAGGGTCTGGTATTAGGATTAGTGGGCAAAACGTTTCGGATAGGGTGCTTCTGAACTATTTAGCCTCCCAGTCCTTGGTCTCGCACACTTTCCACGGACGGCCTGTGATCATCGTAACCTGCTCAGCTGGCGTTAACTCTCTTTTGCCTCGGAAAGGAAATTGTCCTCAGGGTCTCTGATAACGAACCGCGAGCCTCCATCTCGAAGGATGCGTAAGCGTTGCACGTTTCACCGTTTCGATCCTTCTAATCGGGACTGTGTAGGGAGTCGAAGATGAAAAATCAGCTGCATCGCGTCGAGGAGGAAAACTTTGTTTCTAAATTGGCGGATATCTCGACGCTGGTATTACGATCCGGTAACTCCGACGAGCGATCTCGAAGTCGGTAACCAGCTTGGCAGCCTTGGCTTTTCTGAAGAAACTGTCACTCACCTCCGTGTACGTCAGCGACGTTGCAAACTACGCACCACTCTAGAAACGCCGTGGAAAGATCAGTAAACAGTAGGAACGAACGAACGAAGAAACGAACGATACGCACGGCGTTCCTCGCGATTCGTCACTCGGTACTCGGCCGGATCTTCTCCCGTTGGTCTCGACAGCCGAGACTATCGGATCGGAGGAGATCCGCGACGAGAAAATTGAAGAACGGTTTTTGCCTCGAAACACGGAGATCCGATATGAGGCTGAGCCGAACCGAGCTGAGCTGAACACGAAACTGTGCTGCCGATCTCTCGTGTTCCGTTCTCCTCCTCCTCCTCCTCTTGCTCCACCTCCACCACTACCACACAGAGTTCTCCTTCAGCTCCTCCTTCTACTCGGTACGTTCGGTTCCGCGCCGTTCCCGTTCCGTTCTCTCTCTTTCTCGTTCTCCCAGTTTCTCCAGGTATCCTCGTGGAAACAGAAAGAGAAAGGATCAGTCACGGAACAAGATGGTAGAGGGGAGGAATCAACGGTAAGCAAGAGAGATCTTTGACTACCTCTACAACGACGTCGCGTGTACTCTGTAAAAAGCAAGATCGCCCGAGGCCTTACACCTCGAACCAGTAAAACTTGTCGTATATACTAGTGCTAAAGCGCCGTTCGTCGTCGAACCTCTCCGATCGCCAGTTTCTCCGTTGCCCTCCTATGGCGACGGACATCCGAACAACGATACTCGAGGAAAGAATCTTATTCTACTTTAAATCGGAACCGCTTCCGAGTCGGACGGAATGAAAGAGGCGACAGTTTCATAGGAAATTTATTTCTTCGTTATCGAGTCTCGACTAGTCTTTGGTTTCAGACGGTTTTGGTTTCGCGAACACACCTCGTCTTTCTATTTCGAAGGTCGAACAACTCCTCCGTGTACGTCACGTATGGTAATCGCACGCCTAAGAAACTAAACGATCCTCTTTACAATTTCTCTCCTGACACTTCGCCCCGTTGCGAAAGGACCCGTAGCTTCTTTGTCGCCGTCAGACCTGATCGACGCTCACGTCGACCCGATTGTCCGTGAAATTGCCGCTATACTGGCTTTGGTTCGTGGCGGTTTGCCTAATACGTTCGACTGCAGGTCCCAAATCGTTGTTCAGGTATTCTCTGAACTCCAGACACTTTTGCTTGGTGTTGATGTCGTTAGAGCTTCCCCAGATCACTAGACCGTCCGCGCCGAGATCCCAGATCTTTCGTAGAGTGGCCTCGAGATCAGCCTGCGAAGATAAATTCGTTTTGAAGGCTGGTTCCAGGCGTTATCGGGTGAGACGCATCTATCGATCCTCTAAAATGTTTTCAAAACGAAAGACTTGCCTTATTCAGATACGTGTCCCTTTGATCCTGGTACTTGTACCAGTAATAGGGCAAAACCCTTTTCCTGGTCGTCGTTTGCTTCGCTATTCTCAAAGCTTCTTTCACTCTACCCCCGACTAGGCCGACTCTTTGGCCGCTGGTCAGACTCAGCCTCAAGTAAACCGAGGGAAAAAGAACGTCTTCTAGCTCGAACAACCATGACAGTCTGAAAGAGAGAAAGACTGGATTCTGGCTTGCCGTTTACTTATCGAGCCTGATTAGATAAGACCCGTGTAACTTGGGACGATTCGAATTTTCAACCGTGACAAGATTCTTGACACTGACCCACTTAAACGTAAGCGTCGTAATCTCGACACCAACCACTAGTCGTAATCTCGTTACCTTAAATCGGCCGAGAAACTGTTCAGGGTAACTGGAGCACGCGACCGAAAGCCGTTAACTCGACGAGAGCTATCGGTTATTACGATCGAAAATGGAAGAATCGTTTTGAAAGCAAAGTTTAGTTCGATTGTACGTACTTGTCGTTCTCCTGGACCGTGGCGCTATCGCACTGAGAACTAGGTTGATTCGGCGTCAGATTGTAGCAGTAAGGGTAAGCGTAGTAGCCCCAACGGGCGGACGGTCTGTTTTCTTTGGCAGCTTTCAACGTCTCCTCCATAAAAAGTTTACCGTACTTCTCGAATCTGCGTTTCGCCTCCTGTTCCACGCTCCGGCTGTCCCAGAACGGATGCTCCCGGCGTACGATGTCTATGGAGAGTTTCTTGTACGGCTGGAGGGAAGCCCAATTCTGACGGAAGATCGGTCTCCAACTCTCGAAATCGATCACCCCGACACCGTGAAACGACTCGTCCGGTATCTGATTGATCAGATGTTCCCGAAACACTTCGAGATGCTTGGTGAGGTTGCCTTGTTGCGGGACACCACCGTTTCTCTCCACTACGTTCCCTGAATAACGTTCAAAGTTGTCTGCTTTCCCCTCTCCATCGACATACGGTCACGGTATTAAGGAACGTGTGTATTGTTTTACCCGTCGAGTCCTTCATCAATGCCGGGAACATTCCAGGATCGTAAAGGATCGCGATCTGATCGCCGCGAAATTGATCCATCGCGTTCTGTCGGATCCCGTATTTCTCCGACACCTCCTCGAATCGCAGTCCGTACTTATGGCACATAAAGGTAGGCACGTTCCAGTAAATGTCCAACTCCTGTTTGCCTTCGTCTTTGGGCGCGTTCGGTAGAAAGCTGACAAGAGAAACGAGGTGTTAGCAGACCGGCAATCATCCCAGGGGCCAATGACACGAATTAGATAAGATATTTTCAGAGCTGAACTTGAACGCTCGACGGAAGGATGTTTCAGGATATTCGGAATGCGCTCGCCAACACCGCGCGTTCTCTTTTTACTCGTTTCAGGTTCTTTGTTTCGAGCTACGGCTTCCGAGTGAATTTCACGGCAAGGAAAGAAAAGGCGAAGCTGATTGTTTGCAAGGCATCTCAATTAACAATGCACGTGTACCCGAAAAAGAACGCGTCGACGAGCAGCGTACGGGCCAGCAGGAGCAACACTTGCAGCATCATCCTTCGACTACGACGACGGGAACATGAATTCGAACGCGGTGCTTCAACTGGACAGGTTATCCGGCAAGTCTGAAGCTAACCAGGGAATATCGGCTCGCCGGTACGCTTATCGATCGGTACCTATCCTTACTGTTACGTAGGACTAGATGACTTCACGATGACCTCTGACGAGTTCCTCGTGAATATAAAACGCGAACGACGATGGTACAACAGCGGTGCGACTGAATTCCGCTCGATTTCAGGCCACTATTTATTCCACATCGTGTGTCTCGTGTTCCCCACCTACGTACGTCGCCTCTCCGTGCTGTTATCTGACTCCGGGTATTGTTCGGTGATTTCTCGTTTCCGTTTTTCCCTTTGCTTTTATCTTCCTTGTCTAAAAAGGGTACGATACACTGGTCAGATCATAAGATTGCCTCAAATCCCTAACGATACAGGATGAATCGCGAGAAATCCACCTGTACTCAACCTCCTGAGAAAGTAGGAACACAATTACCAAGTAGTATTCGATTCGCTACTTTACCTGACTTCTTTCGAGGATCCGTTCGACGAGCCATTTGCCAAACTTGAACTCAACTTCTGTAGTGTCCATCCTGGAAGACTGGTCGGTCCATGTAGCCTTGTTCTAAACGATTTCTGCACCTGATCATTGTCGTAATTGGAAACACCAAATTATTCATTCCGTTAACCATCTATGACGTCAAACACTATAAGGATATCGTAGACGATACTCGCGTATGCGGGCAGCCCATATTTTTCTATTATTCCAAAATTATCCTTATTTCGTTAGGTTCTGCACATTTTGTAACAATGTCCGTAACGAGCTAATAATTATCGAGCGAGGAAAGTACGAACGAGTTTGACCAAGGACGTGCTCCTATTTTTACGAGATAAGATCGTCGTCGATGTAATGTTTGGTTGCAATTAGATGGCAATACCATTCGTATTTGAGCATGATTAATGTGTTTACGGTGACAGCTAGACAACTTATCGAATCTGAAAACAACGAATGTATTCGTTTAATCTTTATGTGCGAATTGATAGATGAAACGCTTTTACAGGGGTGTAAATTGCATTTCGTGAGCTTCTTTTTACGCGTTTCGATAATAAGACGATAAGGATCAAGGTGACGATCGTAAGAATTATTGTAGATAAACATTCAAGGATTTTTTGTTACCTCTGAAAGTAATTACGGTCATGGATGCGACATTACGGTATTCTTTTTTAAAGTGGAAATTATCGTTGTTCCTTGACGACAAGTCCGCTGAAAATCGGATGAAATGGCTGTTAATAAATAAACGTTCGGCATTGTATAGATTTTAGACTACCGAAACTATTATTCGACATACCGAATAGAACGATGACGCACTGTGATAACGTAGTATGTTACGCGATACTCTGCTGTTTACATATAGGAAATGTGATATTTGCAAAAGTGGCGAAGTATGGAATAAAAGAAGTCGAAACGATTTTATAAATAAATACTTTTAATCGCTTTTTTTGGTGACTTTTTGATTATCTGACATCCCTAAGGAGCTAGTTAATCAAAATTCGTTATAATTGAATTGTACATTCAAAACCCATACCCGTTTCAGTCATCGTTCATTTACACAGTCGCCATTCGTGCATGTACATCGAAGAGAAACTACTATCGAGCAACTCATGTCGAAGATTTCCACATGAATAGCTCGTACATACAGAGCATTTGGCGTAGAATCAATAACAGTTAAATAAATTAAATAAATTAAGTCGTACTCGAGATTCGGTCTCGTATCTAAACGGGCGTGTAAGTGTCAGCTGTTTTAATCGCTACAGGGCCATCGTTTCGCGGCTTTTATCTTGAAGAGACCTCGCATGTCGGTCGTGCGTATATTGTGTTAAATATTGATCTGCCAGCGGCTGCTACGAAGACCTCGACTTATATTAAGGACGCACGTTAATTTTTGTAATGGATACAAAATGCTAGGTCTCGATCTTCACTGAAAACCGTTTAGCGACGGAAGAGTCTTGATTCTCTTCCGGAAAGCAAAGTTATCTAAAACACAGCTTGTAAAATGCCGTGTTAGCGGAAGATATATTTCAATGAAGTTAACGTCGGAACATCGTAAATTTACATTTAATGTCGCTGCTTGGGACAGAAACGTTTCTCTTAACGACACTCCTTAAAAACTGGTTTCTTTCTGTGCCTTTTCAGTGTCTCACCGCTATCTAATCGACGCCGGAAACGGACCCTCTCGTTACGTAACCGTGTCGCTCGAAGGGTACCGGAAAGGAAAGCGATGCTAAGACGAACCATCGTCGAACCTTACGTACAAACTACAATATATGATATACACGTGCGATAAAGCGATAATATCATTTTTGTGCAGGGGTACACGAGCTACGAAGAGAAAGTGAGATTCATGGACAAAGTTGAAAAATGGGGTGAACGAAGGGTGTAAACAAACACATGGAACACTTTATTTTTCGACCTTGTTTTATTTCAACTCTTCCACGCTCACTTCGGCATACTCCTACGACTTATTTAATCAAAAGGATGCTGAGAGAAACGTAGTATTTTTTTTCATGTTAAATTAAATAGCGTCCAACGGATTATCGAAAAACTTTGGATAACTTCGCGACCGATGTATAACCAGTAAAGGAATCCTCTTCCCCCCTCCCCGCACGGCTTTTGCAAATAACTAACATACGATATTTATCTACATTGCTCGAGTCACGCACATACGTATATACACACGCGCTGCACATGCATATTCCAAACTCGACCCTGAACTAGTATCATGATCATGAGCGGAGACAAAGACAAGGGTAACATTCGCGGAACCGATTCGCTAAGATCGATGGGGGCATTCTGGTTGATTTAGTACGGAAATATCGTTGAGAATGTGTCCTGGATACTCGTCGTCGCTAGACGTCGAGGACATATTTGTTCCCGTTTCAGTGTCCCTCGTCTCCATTATTCTTGTAATATCCGTTCCCTCTCGTACCTTTATCCCTCGGTAAGCTTGCACGTGCGAAAAATGATTTTCTAGACAACGAATCGATGAGCTAGAATTTCTACTGGAGCACCAAACCAATTTTTCCGGGTGTCATGCTAGGACAACGCCAATTGTACAAATAATATTGTAGATTTCCGTCACCTATACCGAACTTCAAGGGTTCCAAGAATTCCTTGTTGTCCATAAGATCCAACGCGTTGAACACGTCAAAATCGAGCTACAAAAGTAAGGAACACAATTGTTTCTTTCGTTTAACGCTACTTGGGAACCATAAAACTTACGTTACGTGCTGATATCAAAGCGTCGGTCATAAGTTCGAGCCAAGGAGTCGCAGTGGATACGTTGTAAAAACTGTATGCAGCCCTGAGCATCTTGTGCGTCTGATGATGCATTATAGAACTCGGTAACATATAGTAACTAACCATGTCGGTGATGTTACCGTCCTTTTCTACCACGAAACTGTTAATGATTCCATTCTGCGGAAGGAACCAATGTCGAAATTCTTCGATCGAGAAGATCGGAGCCAAATCGAATTTTTCCAAGTACTAAAATATAAATTAATTTAAAGATCGGTTGAAATTCGTATAGTTTGTAATCGTAAGAAGTATTCTAGTAGCAATTATTACGTCAGTTAATATTTTGTGAGCCTGTGGTATGTCCGCTTCGACCAACTTTCTGAATCCTGGCACTTTTGTGTTCTCTGGCAATTTGTACAGTTTCAGAGTTCTCTGCATAGTCATGTTACGAGATAAATGAGAGAACTTTATTTCGATTAATTTCTTTGGATTTAAAGAACGATGCCAGTACCTAAGGAAATGATTTGGTTGGTTAAATAACCATAAATAATGGTTGCTATATTAAGATAGAGATAGGATTAGTATAAATGAAACTGCTCACCTGCATGTTGCTATTGGTTTTGGCAACACAACACCAGCAGTGTACACAGCCTGAAATATACCTTGAAGGTTAACTCTCCTAGTTATTTCTCGTATTAACACTGGTGCAACTCTTTTTGATCTCAATTTCTTATGTACACATAAGAAATTTATTTCCACCATTTTTTGAGAGCTAAAATTTTTGTCATGTTAGATAAAAGGGAATACATTATCAACAATAATCTGAAACCTACTGATTGTATACACGCAGAGTAGCAGGAATAGCTGAAATAAAACCGACTAGACGTCCACTTTTAGTGACTCTTACCCCACAGTACCATTCTTTGCACCAACCAGGGGGTTGTAATGCCCTAAAAGGATATTACTAAAACATATTGTTTTGATTTAAGCCCTTATATTTTGATAGCCTCTATTTTATTTACCACTTTAGAAAGTTTGGTGGATAGTCAAATCTAAACATAGCATCATCATCTTCTACATAATTTTCAGATAACAAAGTATACAATTCGGATAAAACTAATGGATCATCAAGATTTAATGTATCCCACTGAAAGTCTGCTGGTAAAGAATAAGGTTCTGCCCTTATAGATGTTTTATCAGGTTCAATAGGTTCATTTTTTACTATCTTTTCATCTACAGAGAAAAAATAATACAATTTTATGTTTAACAAGTTATTACAAATTTTGATAAGCCATCTGTAAGCCATTAAACACTTTACCCATTTTTGGTACTGGCTGTGTGCTCCAGAACTGGTAAGGCTTCTGCATAGCCTCTTCTTGAGTTTTTGCAGGTTTCTGCTGTATGTTAAGTACCTCCATCGCTCTTTGTATGCTCTTTATAGAAATATTGCACGTGCCGTGTAGTTCCAGCTTATCTTTATGGTCAGATTGGTTATGGTTTTCGCTAGCAGTTTGCGCCATTTCATTTTTGTTCTTACGATGTCTCTTCTTCGAACTGTATTATAAATATTTTACATTTATTGTTCTATCACATAACAGTAAAAAGTGTACATTAGTCAAGCAACACAATATACAAGCATTACTCGTGAAGAATCAAAAAGGTACGAGGGACTGGATAATTAAAACTAGGTAAAAATGCTGTACATCTCACAAAAAAAAAAAAATTTTGGACATTATAACAAAATACATAATGATAGAACAATTATAAAAACGCATGCTACCGATCGACGTATATTAGGTTAATGTAATACATAAACATGGGTCTAATGCTTCTGAAGACTTTTAATAATATTTATTGATACATGACGATTTATGTTATTTCGAAATTATAAAGAGATGCGATCATCGATAATTATGTAATGGATATAAAAAAGGTCTATAAAAATTGTCTGCCGGTCGACCATCGGTTCTAAGCAAAGTGAACCGAAGCAAACATTCCTTCAATTACATTGATTAACCAGTTAACCGAGAAATTTAAGTTTAAAAATCCTTCACGAGATGAGAAATTAAAAACATGCAATAACGAGTATATACGTTGAACGCAGAACAAATGTACCTATTATAAATGTAGCGAAGAAAGTACAGTAAAACGAGGGTAAATTACATTTTTATTCAATGAAAAATTAACAATTGGTGTACATCAACCGCAACGAAGTGAAGTTTTGGATTGACGTGTATATACGTCGATTGCAGTTAACCGGTTAAAATCAAATGGGAAAGGTTCCTCAGAAATCGAAGAATCGTTCGCATACCTTTTAGATTTCCCCTCTTTTTCATAAATTTCGTCTTTTTTAGCCTCTCGTTCCACAACTTGACTCTTTTCCTCCATTTTAATATAGATTTTGACAATGCGCATGCACCGGATATAGTGGCTCCGCCTAGTAGAATTTAGGCGGAAACGAAGTGGTCACGTGACATACCGCCATTACCGCGGCTTCGAAAAGTTGAATCCGCGTCGCTCTCGCGTAAATTATTCAATTTTTAGTGAAATTTATTCGATCGTGCAAAATAATTGTTCAGAAACGTTTCTTTATCGAGTGCGGAACACGAGTCAATAAAAATTTTCGTTCGGGAAAGTGTATCGCAAACGTTTTCTTAAAAAGTGTTACCCGCGTCGCGAATCGCTGTACCGCGAACGTGGTGCGCGCTAGATTCTCATAATTATTCGGTACAAAGTTCGTTAAAAGAAAGAAAATACGTGTCGGGGTAAAAAAAGTGCGGTATCGAGTGCCACGAGAGGATCGAAGAATGAGCAGATTGGGTATGCAGCGCAGAATTCATTTTTCTTGGAAAAACTTTGAATTTGGTGAAGGAACACGGAATCTTCTAAAAAGAGGGAACGACAAAATGGCGGCGGTAACTGCGCGGGAAATTTGCCGAGGCCGCGTAACCAGATACGTCACACTAAACGACGATCATCCATCAACGTGAGTGAAAATATACATTAATTTTAATAACGTTTTATATTATACATATGGGCAAATATATTACGGTACTTGCAACAAATTAAAAATATATTTTCGAAAACGATAGCGTCATTTCCAAGCTTTAGATTTTTTATCTCAAATTTATCGAAGTATTAAAAGTAATTATACGATTTATAAGCAATAAAATTATAGTGCAATGAATAATTCAGGGAAAAAGTACGAAACAAAAGCGTGACAAGTATAGTTTTCTTTATTTCATTACCAACAGTATTCTTACATTCTTCATGCCGAAACAATGTATAATTTCTATATCATAATATATATATTCATTCATTTATTTGTTTGTTTATTTATTCATGTGTATAATTGTTAATAATCGTAATAGCAATAAGTAGTCTGTAGTAGGCGAGTCTGTAGGTATGTAAACAGCTTTTAGGTACGCGTACTTAATTCCAGTTTATCGATAATTCAAATCCCGCGCGCGGCCCGCTCGCATAATTCATCATTTGCATATCTATTCTCCAAACACCGTACACTCGTAAATTTCATTTCTTTTTCTTTCTACTTTTTCTCTCGAGACATTCCGTATCCGACACGAGAGCTAAACGTTCTCTACGAACGATAAGCATCAAACAAATGCAATCTCGTTTCCCGCCAATTCTCGACACGCTATTCCAAAGCAGTCGAATTAGGTGTACGGTGTTTGGAAAATTGTAATTTTGTAAGTTGAACAGTCTCCAAAGGTGGAAGGAACACCGGTGAACACAATCAGGAGCTTATCAAAGTAAGTGATTAATTATTTTATCAATTAAAAGTGGAAAAGATTAACACTAGAACAACCAATTCGTTTTAAACGACAGAAATAATAAAAATGAAACCTTGTTCTATTTTCGTTAAGATAAATAAGTATTACGTATTCTAATTCGTTCTCCATCCTGTATGTATTTATGTTCTCAATCTGCTTTGCATTTAAAAGCAGCTTTTACAACGTTGGTTGTTCCAGTGCAGAGTTTTCCTACATTTTTCGAGTCGCGATCTCCTTTTATAACCTAGAAGGTTAAAGAACCTGCGATTCTCCAGTTTACATTTGCATAAAAAGTCATGTATCTCGAATATAAATCTAACTTAACATTTAACGCAATTACTGTACTCGTATCCGAGCAACCGGTTTAAAAAGCGAATATAAAAGTCGAATATTTGTTGCATCGAATCAGTTTTTAACCGAAATAAAATCATTTAACGAGCACGGTAGGTGCACAGATCGATAGCCGGAGGTTGGAAAATCCGAGTTCCATCGTTCAAATAAAATTTGCGGTTCGTAATAAATTTTTAACGATTTCCTAATTGCGTCTTCGAAGTATCTATCTCGCATTTATGATTTCTCCGTCGGAAATAATCCAAGAATCCCGGGTTAAAGTTCTCGGCTGAAATGTACGAGACGTAATAAATTTCCCGTAGCCTTCTAAATGTGACGTCTTCGAAGAATCGATCAGGTAATTAGAAAGGTTCTTCTGATAGCAAATAATCGAAGAATCTAATAAGGATTACTCGAGACGTTTCTTATATTCCGGTGATCGATCGTTGAGCAAACGAAGTCGAACGGAATCTCTCGCGGAAAGTAGGGAAAATCGTGGAACGGGAAGGTCGAAAAAAGGAAGTCAAGTTACTTTATTTGTCGAACGAAATGCATGCTCGCGAGCCGTACGGGGAGTTCGCGGGTTCGCTTAACAAGTGCCTTGAGGATAACGACCGATCGTTGCTCCGGCAGGTACTGAAATTCTGAACGTATCAGCAGGGAACACTGCAAACGCTTTAGTTTTCTCGCGCAAAATGTATTCTTCGACATTTCGTGATCCCTCTGAAACGATAGTGCAAGTCTGTAAACCGAGAAACAATCCTGTTCTTATTGCGGTTGTTGCGTTTGTTTTGTTCGTGGTTCGATCGCGACAAAGAGAAAGGTTCCTTATAAAATTAGTTAGCACGGAAAGTGTTCGCGTTTTCTCCTCTCGCTCTCCTTTTCTTTGGCACCAAGAAATCTCGCGAACACTCCGTGGTTAAACCCATCGTCGAATCCCATTTATCTTCTTTAAACTCGAGCCGAGTTCTAACAAGGCATAGCAAACTACGATACTAGATGAGAAAGAGAACAATTCCTTTTTTCCATCACTGAGAGACTTCGAAACCGGGTCCTCGGTCGACTACAATCCGTATGTTTATTTCAGACAGCGCAGGATTCTCCCGGAGGATCCGAGATTCCGCTCTTGTTTTTTATTTATTCTTTCGATCGTTTGTTTCCGTTTTTTTTTTTTTAACGAAAGGTAAAGATGGATAGGTTTGCTTAACAACGTTATCTTACGTAGCTAGAGTACACGCGATCGGTTGGCAAAATAATTCGCTGCTAGTCGCGATTCGCGAGGATCGCTCGGCAGATATGTTCGAATCACGTAACACGAAGGATTCTAACGTTTGAAACGGGAACGATGTTTACACGTTGAGAGGTAACGATTAAAAGGGGAGAACTATCCAGACGAGAAGACGAGAATTAGGATAAACGGCGACAAGGTCGTCGTTTGATTTCAACAGGGTCAGAGACGGTTTCGAAAGTTTGCACGAGTGGTTCCAACAAATTGGACCTCGTCGAATTTGCACCGAGAGAGAGCGTTTGATGGAGATAGTTCCCGGGCTGCCTGTCGCACGGTTGATCGTTTCTAAACTAGTTTCTTCTTTGTTGCTGGTGTCGTCGGTTCCTCAGCAATGATATGCATAGAAGAGCGAGGCCAGGAGCCAAAAGGCTCCGCTCCCGTAGAATCGGCTGCCCTCCACTCCGTTTCTACCGGGTCGTTTGCGTTTCGATTTCGACTTGGCGCGACGTTTGCGCGAGAAGATCGCGTTCGTCGCGTTTGTCGGCGACTCGATGTTGCAGTAGCTCAGATCGCAACAGCTGATGCAGATCTGAAACGAAATAACCGAATTTATTTCACCTGATTCCGTGGCCAAAATCCCCTTCTCCTCCTCTCTTTCCCCTTGCTCTTGCGCGATCGACGGAGAGGCGAAAGAGAGACGAGCCAGCCAGGTACTCGGAAAAATTCGCTATTTCGCACCTGCTGGGTGTCCACCGGGATACAACCGACCGAGGAAGGACCACATTCCGCGCTGCTGGCACAGCTTTTGCTCACCTGTAACAGAATCCACGTTCCATTACATTCCTCGCTCTGTCTTGCACGAATTACATCGTTTTTCTTCCTGATCCATCGATTTTCCTCCTTCTCGCGTTATTCGACTTCTTGCATGCAGAACACTCCCTACCGTTCGTCAGCGAAACGCGTTTAACTCGGACAAACTCCTTAAATAATCTTCCACTCGCTTTGAGCGACAACATCTTTCGCGTACTTGAAATTGTAAACTTTCCATCGGCTTAAATTACCATTTTCCCAGACAAAATGCGAAACAAATCTGAAATAATTTCTAAGATTTCGAGTCCAGGTTCAAGGGTTCGTTTCAACCAAATAAATATCGGTTCTTCGAAAAATTCCTACTGTTACCAGGCACGTAGAAAGTGTTCGGTTTAAAGATCGTTTCTCTTCCTTGTCATCGTCGAGCGTTCTCATGAGTGCACGCGAGATATCTTAGCATTGATTAACGAGCAAAGAGGATCTCGAAGCGAAGTAGGAAAGACGGGGTTCTAATTGATTCCGATGTTCATAATTGAAAGAGTTCCTGGAGAGTGCTTAGTCGAGCAGCTCTTAACGGACGCCTGTATTGTCGCTCTTCGAATGTACATTCGCTTTCGCGAGTTTCTCCATTAACAAACACGAGGATCGATAATGCATTCGATGCTACCGGGGGTCTATTAGCGGAACGCGATAAAATCAGTGATTGATTTTCATCGGTGGTGCATAGCGCGCGTAGCGGTTTAGGTAATAAACGTTCTAGCGTGTCGCGGTATCGTGACCACGGAAATTCGAAGAAGCTTCGGATGGTTTCGGTAAACGAATCTATCAAATTTTCGTGAATCATTGACAGCGCGGTAAGAAGCCTTTCTTGGCTGTAATTTTTGACGCGTTAAATCTGTAAATTTTCCACGGATATCTGGACAAACGACGGATAGTTACGTAACGAATATTTAATGGAAAAGTTTCTCGGGGACGAACGCGTTAATCATCGGTATATAGAGGCAGAAAAATTCCATCGATTGCGTAAACTCGAGTCTCCATTAGAGCATAAGAAGCGAACGAAGCGGACTTCGCGTTCCAATTCGAACGAAACGAGCCATCGAAGCAAGGACCCGGTACTTGTAACGTTTCTTGGCAACGACAAAGTTAATCGCGTCACTGTTTCCGTCTCGATTGCTTAGAGAAAAAAAAAGAAATTTTGCTTGCCAAGACGCTATTTCCTCGGCTGTCCAAAATGTGCAGCGATCTGCAGAAGTCCCGGCCTCCTGCCGGACACGGTGTATCTATCGCCCATTCGTTGCACATCTGTGAACAAAAAGAATCGAAAATAACTGGATTTGTAGCTCTCCGACCGTGCCGCTAATTTCGTTTCCTCCGAAAGAATCGATCGCGCGAATTCGAGGGAGAAAGAAGGATTGTCCCATAATAATATGCGTTCGCACGATCATTTGCGACCCACTAACGTTCTAAGGCGTAGAAAATCTGACCTAAATTGCGCTAAAACGCGGCGTTTATTCTCTCGTGTCTCGTACAATACTAATTGCGGCTCTAGACGAGCTCGTCTTCTCGACGGACTTCTCTCTTTAGTAGCCTTCTCTGATACGAGGAAAGAAGGTCTCGTAGTTTCACCGAACCGATGAATATTAACAATTTTCCCGAATAATTTAAACTTTCCAACAAGTACCGCTTACTCCGGTAATATCTGGGGTGTTAGGTCGACACAGAGCCGTGGGTGACATTAAAAGGTCTGGCTGATAAAGCGTTAACGCGGAAATGGCGTCGCTTGTATCGACAAAATCGAAAGCCTTTCAATTGGAAATCCGACAAACGAGATACACGTTCGTCTGTTAGGAGAGTTTAATTATTACACTCGTAAATCCTTTAGTCTCGTTTAAAACATCGATTCTCTTTCTTCGATGTTCGGTTTCTCTCTAATCGCGTACTAGATTCTCTACGAGCTTCTCCCGAGCGGTCGCTCGTGTCAACCTAACTCGTTCGTCAGTCGTAGCGCACTACATTGGGAAACAAACGTTGATTCTCGATTGTCGTCGATCAAGGGAATAACCCGGAAAGACGTAGTTTCGAAATCCTGCGGATAAAGGGTAGCTGGAAGCTCGTTACTTCCAGTCGACCACTCGCGACAATCGTACCGTTGCTTGCAAAGTTTCTGGACGCTCTGAAAAGATCAACCGGATAAATTGCCGGGGAAAACGATGGGCATCGATTCGAGCGGAATCAACGATTTTCAATACAGAGTCCCGTCGTAGACAGTCGCGTATTTAGACGCGATTAGAATTGATTCGAGGCGACGAAAGCTCCGGCTTATTTGTCGTGCCAGGCAATCGGTACAACCGAACCCGATATTGGCAATTCGTTTCCGACCGCTACTTCGATTTAACGGGTTAAACGAGAGCCAGAGAAAAAGGAAGCAACACAGGGAATTGATGATCCGGATCGAAATTTAAATTCTAGTTCCTCTCGTGCAGGACGTTAAACCGGAAGGTGTTTACGGCAAGAAATATATAAATGGAGGAGATGAAAGGAGTAGGTGGTTTAAAGGGCGAGATCGGTATTTCGAGCGCGGTAGGTGGAAACGATCGGAGGCGCGCGCGAGTTAGGAAAGCAAAGTTTGAAAATAGAATGAAGATCGATGGCGAAACGATCTCCTCCCGGGGGCTAAACGAAATTGCGGCCGGACCCGGCACGATACAAGCATTACAGACACTTAAGAGAGCGTTTAATGGACTCGTCGATACCTGGTTATCGCTGACGTTGACGCAAGTGTAGCACGTTAGACCTGTAACAACAGAGGGGCGTTGGAGTGAGTAATAGCGTAGCACAGACGGGGACCGGTTGCGAACTACGAGGACAAAGGGCGGAGAGAGACCTAACAATTAAACACGGTCTGGCGTTCGTTCGATATAATTCCGGCTGCGATACACTTAACACCGTGGAAAATAGATTGTCCCGTCGAATGGAGACTCATAACAGCCGACGGATACGCCGACAAAGCGTGCTCCTTCAAAAGCATCGTTAAACGGAACCACGTGGACATATTCCGTCACTCCCTTACTTGTACCCGGCTTACCCTTCTAATTAATACTTTCGTCGTTTTACGCTTTCGTCTTTGTGCCCGGAAATTGCTACAGAATTTAATTCGTCCTTCAAGTTTCAACGCGATTATCGAACGTAAACTTTCCTAACGGATCAAACTTCCGTTATATGTATAGGAATTTATTTAGCAAAATCTCGATATCTTTTCGCGTCGATGGTTACTGTTTTTGAAAGAAAGACATTTTGGGACATTTATGGCAACGACGGCGAGAACAATATGTTGCAAGTCGGGTGTACAGACATCGAGGGTTGATTTGCTGGAGGCAAGGTGGAAAAAGGTGAAGTGGTCAGTAAGATTTGTAAGCGTTCGAACGGGTGTAGGAAGGTGGAAGGATTAGTGGGGCTCGATTGCAGGATTCGAGTGGATAAGCCCGAGTTACTCGAGCAAATCATAGGTCCTTTTGGTATGGTCGCGACACCGATACCTACGGTAAATGTCTTCCTCGTCGCCGGTGACTCCCTTCAGACCGTCCTTCTGCTTCGTCTCCTCCTTTCCGTTTCCGTTTCCGGAGAGGACGTTTCTGCCGCAAGTTTCCGCAGCCAGCAGCAGCCCGACCATCACCCACGTGATCATTCCTCACATCTCTGCAACGACAGAAATAGAGCTGTGTCTTATATCATTGGCTGCGAAATCTCTTCCCTCAGCGCTAAACCCTCAAAGGTTTACGTATTAAAATAATTCTAATAATCTGTACATGGTACATTCTAAATTCTCAACTCTCTAAATGAAAATGAACTTTCAACTTTCCAAATGACCACATTTCTGAATCTCCAAGTTCGCTAAGCATGCCATTTTCAAATTTTCGAATCCCCGAATTGCCAACTTTTCAAATTTGCAAGCTCCCAACTTGCGGAAGTTCGGAGTTTCCGAATCTCCCATTTCGAAAGTTTCAAATTAGCAAAAGGTAGTTGGTCATAACCGATGTAGGACACGGTATCAGTAGAGCTAGAAGAGCCAGCCCGGACAAAAAGCCTAGTTAGTCGAATGCAAGTAGGGTGGTTGGAACGGTGAATTAACAGCATTGATAACCTCACCCAACGGGCAATTTCGAATGGTGAATTTTCAACGGGATCGTAATTCCTCGACACGGCGGTGAGAGCAAAAAGAAACGGAAAAAAATGTATAACGCCGGACAATACCGTGTATCAAAGGATTATCGTGACGTTCGATAAATTTACTCTTATCACGCTTCGGTACATGACCTATCGCAGCTTCTATCGATCCTGTTGATACAACCTGCTCGATGACGATTAAAAAATGACCCGAACTCGTTAGTAGAGCCGTGTAATAAAAAAGCTGCGATCGGACGTTCGTTAAATCTGGTTACGAGAAAAATTGTCCTCCCTTTCGTTCCTGGGCGTTCTGTTCCGGCTGAGATATTGGAATTTCAATTTGCGTCGAGTTGATCGAGAGGATTTATCGTCTTTAGACGAACGAGAATGGCTCGTGACGGAGGACGTGGAAAGCAATGAGGAAAACTAGATGGTAGAATTCAAATTCGAGTCGGGAATTACTGGCAGAGGGTTGAAAGGATAAATCTAATCAGAAATCCCCGTTAAACAGGAGGATCGCGGGGTACGGCCTCTGGTAACCCTTAGCGTCTAATTTTTCTATGTTGCTAATCAAGGTTCGTTCGACGTTAACGATCGTGCAAATTCTCCGACGTTAAGGGATATCTAATCTACGGACATTCTTCCGTCCATCGCTCGAAACTTTTCAGGAAATCAAGGAACTTCGAAAGGAGGAAATTGAATTTGGAATCCTTGAAAACATAGGAGCTCCGCCAAAGTCTTCTAATACCGAAGGAAATATCGCGTCGATATTTGGACATTTTTCTCTTCTCTCTCTCCCTGGAGATTGCACGCGATAACGGTTTTATTCGAGTCGACCCGAAATTGTTCGGTGGTCGAAATAACTAGCGAGTCCAGGCCAAAAGCAAGTATTTCGCTATCGGGGTTACGCATCTCCCCTCCTAATTACCGGTCCCACTCGGAACGTTATGATCCACGGTCCAATGGTCGTTGGAAAAATAAACGAAATTAGATTAATAACAAGCTCCGTGGACGGGCAGTCGTGTCACGATATCGCGAGCTCGGAACAAAATAATCCTATCGATTAATGTTCGCATCGTTTCCGAAATAGTTCAACGAACGCTCGCAGCCGGGTACTTTTAGCCTCGGCTATCTTGTAGCTGTAGTTTTTCCAGCTGCGCGGCAATCAAAGCGTTGATTAAGGGAGCACAAGTACCGTAACGACTTGCCGTAAAAAAATTAATTAAACAGATTGTACCGGTACACGTTGATCGGAAACTTTGGCAGGCAATGTTCCACTTAATCGATAGAATGCAGATCGATGAATACACCGTTGCACGGGTCCATGTTCTTTGACGCGAAGCACGTCAATCAATCGGCCTTCGATAAGGCTGATCCTTTCGATACGCTTCTGTTAACGATTGTCGCACGCGAAGCTTCTACCGTAATCAAAGCCCGACAGCGGAGCACCGTGTCGAGGTTAACCGATAGTGAAAAAGTTGCGAGCGAATTCTCCGGTTAGATCACGGCCGAAGTAACACGATTATTTCGAGCGTATTCCGAACGTACGTTGGCCAAGAAATTCACGAGCACTCGAATCCAGCTCGAGCAGAGGGTTTTATCGTTGGATCGGTTGCTCGAACACGAGCTAACTTTAATCTCCTTTTACGGATGACGAATGGTAATGGCCATTACCGCGAGTATTCTCGTATTTTCTTAGATCGTTCGATCTACTTTCTATGCTCTACATACGCCGCTGATCTCGGAAGAATCTCCCTCCGATCTGTACGCTGCATCCGCGAATTTCAATGCTCGAGGGCCGATCAGTAATTTGTCGAAAGATAAGAGTGGCTCGATTATAGATTTCGTATTTAATATCCTGGTCCATTCGATACGTCGAATCCGAACATAATCGCTTAATTGCATAAATGAAACGATCCACTCGATTATACGAAATTTGTAGAGTCGATAACTGATAAATACCACTATGTCGAGTAGCGTTCGATTAATGGACTGTCTTCGTCGAATTGCTGATAGAGTATCTCGGTCGGAAACAATCGGCTGTTTAATATTAAACGACACGCAAGAAGCAATTGTCGCGGCGGAAATAGGATAAAGATGTCCGATTCGTTTCGCGGTAATAATTGGAGAAGTAAATGAACGTAGAAGGTAGAGCGTTGTCGAGGATGAGGGAGGGTTAAACCGTGTCCAAAGTGCGGGATCGATCCCTGGTTGGTTTAAATCCGAGCCGAACATGTCGTCCACGAGATTCGGTCGCGGGTAAACTGATCCACTCGACCGTTGGACATGCCAATCGATGGGATATATCCCAGTTCCAAGCCAACCATGTGTACCGGTTCTTCGGGGCGTAGATCAAGGTTCAATTCTACGGCTCGGTTGACCTATCACTGCCAGCTCCCTGTCCTATCGGGCTTTCGAGTACGTCGGACCCTTTCAGAGATAAGGTTTGATCAGTTCCTTCTGTGCGAACGGGAGAAGCGAGCCAGAGTAGGCGGGCGATACCGTTGAATTTGTCGCGATGCTGTGCGAGGAGACGCTTCCATCTAAACGATGTAATTAAACCGTGGCCAAGAATCGAACTCGCTAAAAGGCAAGTTCGTTGTCCCCTAGAACGTAAACTTTTACGACGGTGTCCCGCGATAAAAGCTGCTGGACCTCTCCTCGGAATTAGATCGTTCCCTTTTACGGTGGTTTAGATTAGAGGAACACGCCATGCGTTTAATAGTTTATCGTCGCGCTCTGCAATAGTAGAAATAATGGAAGGAAGCAGGAACGAATCCCCGAGGATCTTTTAATAAATCACACCGAAAGCCACTTTTGCCCCTGTTCGAGCAAACGCTCGAGGATCGGTCTTTTCTCTTTCGAACGGACATACGCGATTAAATAAATTCGATCGATCTCGGCGTTATCCGGAATCGTCTAATTTATCGCTCGACCGATAAATAAAGCGGTTTCGTTCCTGGTCGTTGCTCGAAATTTCGGACCGCGCCAACTCGGGACGCGATTGCCTATCAACGTAAACCACGCGACGCGACCTTTATGGCCGATTATAGTTACGTTTAAGAGCGAACGGATTAAAAACGTATCCTGGTCACACGGAGGCACAATGAAATTCAATCTGGAGCGTGCTACGGACACGTTCATCGCTCGATCTTCGGTTTTTTCCATGATAATAAGGCTCGTCCCTTTGTTCTTCTTTCTCTCCTTTTATCCGCTTTCGATTAAAAGAACTTTTGTTTCCCTGCTTGGAGCGAACTCGACCGTGAATTAGGTTGCTCTTTCGGTTCGGGGTTAGAGAGTCTATAACCGGTGTCGCTCCAGAACTTCCACGAGCAAACATTGGCCCTGCAGTTATTACTATGCTGTGAAGGTCATCGATCAAATCTCAATTTATAGGCTGTCACACTTGTCAGAGCGTGAAATCCGACTCGCTGGAAATCGATATCGAGGCTGAAATTCTGCCGAAATTTCTCGTCCGATCGGTGGTAAATATTGAAATGTCTGTCGCGATTAAAATCGTTCTATCAACGGTCGCGATAAATTCGTCTCGTATCGACGAACAATGCCCATCTTTCGCTCGTTCTTAACGTCGTCCTTCAACAACGTCGATTCTCGATTCGCCCCGTTGTTCTTCGAGTTTTTTTATCGATCGGACGTTCATCGAAATTTTCTATTCTATACCGAACAGCTTTTCAGGGCTTCTATTCGTTTACATCGATGCGCACTGGGGTATTTGCATCGTAAAGTTAACCGAAATTGTTTAATAATATTAATTACCGTTTGACGCGCGCAATTACGGTATTATATACAAAGAGAACTTCGTTAAAGTTTATAATAGCAAATTGACATTCGATGAAAATCAAGTGTCTATCTAGCTCGTTAAAATCCATAATTCAGCACTTTCAACTTCGGCTACTTAAATACCTCTCGAAAGCTTTCGTTTTGGGAGGAAAAAGTTTGAAGGCGCGTAAAAATCGTTAGGGGAAGAAACGAGGCTATTACATCCAGATTTATCGCGAAATGTTTAATTTTTCATCGAGGCGTTAATTCTTGATATTTCTATGCCCATCAATTTTCATTATGTCGTCGCTGCGCCAAAACCGCTTTCGACAACGAGAAAATCAGTCGCGGGGAGATTGATTTAATATTACGGTGCACAGATTGCGGCTCTTTTGTGCAACCTAGAGGATGTCGCCGGAGCAACGGCCTAGCAAAGTCGCGTTAGAAACTCGGGGCAAATTCGCGCGAGATGCTTCATTGCTTCCCAATGACCGAACTAACTCAATCCTAAAACGCTCTTCTTCGCCTTTCTACCGTCTCCTGTCTTCGCGTTAAACGTTCCTTTTAAATCGATGCTTTCCAAATCGAGCGGACGGAATTTCGTTTATTAAAGTCCCGTGCGTGCAATCATTTTCGCGTTGCATCCGCTAGAATTTACGAGGATTACGTTCACCTTGTGTTTTCAATTTCATCTCTCCGCAACGCGAAAGACCGTCGTTTTTCTTCGGGGATTTATAACGATTACCGATGCA